GGAAACCTTGATATTGTAAATAGTGCAACCATATTATTTTGCTACAAAGAAAAAGCCTTCTATGGAAGAGATAACATTGGTCTATATGTTTTTGTCCTTTTTATTACTTTGGGCTACTGGTGCTGGGTCACGCTGCTGCTAATGTTATTCTGCTGTACATTTATGAGGAGGGTCTTTTGTTAATAAGCCCACTCACCCAACAATATTTTTATCCAGTCACATTCAATGTGAAAGACTTCAGATTTAAGATTATGGTGAGTGTTGCTAATCAGAGCAGTCAATACTGAGCAGGGACCACACTACACAGTGATAGCATCATGATTCCACTTCAACTGCCATTGGCTACATCTGATGGCGTTTTGGGATTTGCAGAATATGGATGGTATTTTAAACTGTTAGATATATTATTCCATAGGATATTGCCATGGCAGTTAAAGGACAATCGTAGCACCATAACTGTGCAGAGCCCAGTGCAAGATGGTTTCAGTGCTTCATGTTCATTACTGTGTGAAATGATTCAAATTATATGTTACAAGTATATGTGCCTGCTTTCACAGCTATAGCTTTCAGATACAATGGACTGTCTGTGGTCTACCTCGTCTTTCTCCTGCTTCTGCCACTCTGCCCGAAACCTAATGACGTCACATTGAAAGGTAGGTAACTATGTTCCAAAACCATCAATTTTGTGAGGGCCAGCAGCAATCAGGTTAGCTAATGGATGAATTCAGTAATGTAGCAGAATGTGTAAGTTGCATGAACTAAGCTGATTGTGCCTTGCTCCTATGTGGCTATAGTCCAGGCATGGGCAAACTTAAGCGGCTGAGGGGGAAAAGGAAAGGGCCTGAGGCTGTTAGGAATGGTGGGAGTTGAAGTCCACAACACCTGGAGGGCCCAAGTTTGCCCATGCCTGGACTATAGTATGGAAGTACAGAAGCAACAGGATTAAAATAAGATAACTCTCTGTAAGATTTGACTCAATCTAAAAACTATGTACTGTCAGGGAATGAAGGGAATGCTTATCCACACCACATCTTTCAAATAAATATTATGTGCTTGTTTTTCAGGGTCTACTGGGCAGCTGCTTAGAGCAATCAACTGTACTAGCTTCATTTTCGTCGCAGTCCAAATGGCTTTTCAAATTGCATTCTACTACCTGCCACCTAATGGTAATGTCAGTTCAAAATCCAATAGTAATAATTTGTTCCAGAAACAAAAACGTGCATTTGTTTTGGTAGTAAATCCTAATTGCTTAACAAAGTTCTTTGTAGGTCAGGGTAGAGAAAGTGTCATTTTGCATTCCCTAGTTTACGTAGTCCCTGAAACCTAACTTAAGGAAAATTTCTAAAGATTCTTTTGAGCTTATTTTAGTTGATTTTTCATCCCCAAACTAATCAACTTGCCTCCAAATCACTGTTGAACATGACAATTTAGTCTTCAGCAGCCCCAGAATCTTGGGTAAAGGTAAAGGTTTCCCATAGACATTAAGTCCAGTCGTGTCCAACTCTGGGGGTGGTGCTCATCTCCATTTCTAAGCCAAAGAGCCGGTGTTGTCCATAGACGCCTCCAATGTCATATGGCCAGCATGACTGCAAGGAGCGCTGTTACCTTCCCGCTGAAGCGGTACTTACTGATCTACTCACATTTGCATGTTTTCGAACTACTAGGTTGGCAGAAGCTGGGGCTAACAGTGGGAGCTCACTTCGCTCTCTGGATTCGAACTGCCGACCTTTCGGTCAGCAAGTTCAGTAGCTCAGCAGTTTAACCCACTGCACCACCACGCCCCCACAATCTTGGTAATATCGCAATATTTCTCTGTACCTTACAAAACATCCTAAATAACATTTGGAAGTGATATTGTGGAAATGGGAGAGAAAGCAAGACAGAGACTTTGAAGGGTGATGTTGAAGACCCTGAGAATAGTCCGTCATTTCTGTGTTTTCCCCATACTAGATTTCTTATGGGAGGAAGTGCTGAGCCACGTTGGTTTTCTACGGTAAGTCTAAAACGGTAATTTACTTTCTGCTGTATACTTCTTAAATACTGCATACCACCTTGGTCTCCCAGGTGCAAGTACTAGTTTGCCTCCCCTCTCATTATATCCCAATCCCATATCATCTCATTGGTAATGAAATACAATATTCTATTTTTATTTTGAAGTGATGTTTTCCAAATTTCTGAAATTACACATGGAAGCATCTCTCTAATGTCTTAAATATCACTTCCCTTTTTGGACCGCTGTTGAACTTATCAACTCAGACCCCTTCCACACAGCTGAATAAAATCCCACATTATCTGCTTTGAACTGGAATATATTGTGGTGTGGACTCAGATAACCCAGCTCAAAGCAGATATTGAGGGATTTTCTGACTTGATATTCTGGGTTATATGGCTATATGGAAGGGCAGTTGGTGTGAAAGTGATTTTTGTTCAATAACAATAATGATCTTTGGCACTTTGTCCTCCTACAAACCACGTCTCCTTCTCATCTATAGTTTTTGAGAAAGCATATCAAATATAGAGGTGCAATTCTTTCTCAAAGCATTTTGTTGTTGTTCATTCGTTCAGTCATTTCCAACTCTTTGTGACTTCATGGACCAGTCCACGCCAGAGCTCCCTGTCGGTCGTCACCACCCACAGCTTCTTCAAGGTCAATCCAGTCACTTCAAGGATGCCATCCATCCATCTTGCCCTTGGTCGGCCCCTCTTCCCTTTTCCTTCCATTTTCCCAAAGCATAATTTATAATTTAACTGCATTAATTACTTCCATCGAAAATAAAGCCATGAATTTTCTGTGAGAACTTTCTCTGTACTAAAGGTTGATCTGGGCAGCAATTCACCACTTAGTTGCTTATTCATAGAAACATAGAGTTGGAAGAGACCTTGTGGGCCATCCAGTCCAACCTCATTCTGCCAAGAAGCAGGAAAATTGCATTCAAAGCACCCCCGACAGATGGCCATTCTGCCTCTGCTTTAAAGCCTCCAGAGAAGGAGTCTCCACCACACTCCAGGGCAGAGAGTTCCACTGCTGAACAGCTCTCACAGTTAGGAAGTTCTTCCAAATGTTCAGGTGGAATCTTCTTTCCTGTAGTATGAAGCCATTGTTCCCCGTCCTAGTCTCCAGGGCTGCAGGAAACAAGCTTGCTTCCTCATTCCTATGAGTTCCCCTCACATATCTATACATGTCTCCTCTCAGCCTTCTCTTCAGCGGCTAAACATGCCCAGCTCTTTCAGCCGCTCCTCATAGGGCTTTTTCTAAAGACCCTTGATAATTTTCGTCGCCCTCCTCTTGACACATTCCAGCTTGTCAACATCTCCCTTCAATTGTGGTGCCCAGAAGTGGACACAATGTGATTCCAGGTGTGGTCTGACCAAGGCAGAATAGAGGGGTAGCACGACTTCCCTGGATCTAGACACTAGACTCCTATTTATGCAGGCTAAAATCCCAACTCTGGTTGACTAGCTAATTTTACAAGATCTGAAAAAATGGAAAATAAATTGTCATAAATGCCCTCAAACATTATTTGAAAAATTAAATTCAGTTTCACTCCTCATGATTATAGGATTGCATTGTAGGCTGACTGGCAGGGCCACCTTGATTTCCAGGCCCCTTTGAAATCATAGAATCAAAGAGTTGGAAGAGACCTCATGGGCCATCCAGTCCAACCCCCTGCCAAGAAGCAGGAATATTGCATTCAAATCGCTCCTGACAGATGGCCATCCAGCCTCTGTTTAAAAGCTTCCAAAGAAGGAGCCTCCACCACACTCCGGGGCAGAGAGTTCCACTGCTGAACGGCTCTCACAGTCAGGAAGTTCTTCCTCATGTTCAGATGGAATCTCCTCTCTTGTAGTTTGAAGCCATTGTTCCACGTCCTAGTCTCCAGGGAAGCAGAAAACAAGCGTGCTCCCTCCTCCCTGTGGCTTCCTCTCACATATTTATATATACACTTCTCTATTTGACCTGCCTCTAAAAGCATAATATAATAGAAAAGGATACATACAGAGTGTGTGTGTGTGTGAGTGTAAAGGTAAAGGTTTTCTCCTGACATTGAGTCCAGTCTGACTCTGGGGGTTGGTTCTCATCTCCAGTTCTAAGCTAAAGAGCCAGTGTTGTCCATAGACATCTCCAAGGTCATGTGGCCGGCATGACTGCATGGAATGCCGTTACCTTCCTGCTGGAGTGGTACCTATTGATCTACTCACATTTGCATGTTTTCTAACTGCTAGGTTGGCAGAAGCTGGGGCTAACAACGGGAGCTCACACTGCTCCCCATTTTCGATCCTGCGATCTTTCAATCAACAAGTTCAGCATCTCAGCGGTTTAACCCACCGCGCCACCAGGGGCTCCATACACACACACACACACACACACACACACACACAGAACTTTGTTCACAAAACAGAAAAAGAAGCATTATTGTGACAATTCTGTAGAATATTGGATGGTCTTGCTTCTGTTTGTTGAAAAATGTTTCTGCCAGTTTGTTAAGGATTAAAGCTGACTGTAATGAACAGGACATCGTTAAAAATGTTGTTTCAATTAGGCTATCCAGGAGCTCCTCACAACATGCTTGACACTGGTCATCTATTTGTGTTCAATGGTCCAATTATTTATTGTAGCAATAGCAACACAGCAATAAGGAACCATCAAAATTAATAACATGTAGGATTGATATCAGGAAGTTTGTACTCTATACCAAATGAACTTACTGCTTCCAGTTAACTTTGCCATGCCTTTCTCTGTAAAATTAATATATTGTCTATGTCCATAAATTACACAACCGACATATTTATGACTTTATGAAGCACTCTCTTATTACAGTTGAAGTGAAACTGCAGATGGTGTAGAACCAGGCTCTAAAAACCTTTATTAACCTAGGATATTAACTTGCTTTTTATCTTGTAGGTTTAGCTGTCTCAGTGCTGGAAATATCACACGTCTTTTGGCCCCTGATATTGGAATATTTGTTGTAGGCCTCACAGTCACACAGCTTTGCAAAAAGATGGTGAAACACCAGAAGCAGAAACTGCAAAATCCTTCGGAAAGCCAAGATCTTTTCTGTCTTGATCAGGAAACAGACATCATGGTGGGAGATGAAGAAGAGGTGGAAGAAGAATGGGAGGAGGAGGAAGAGGTAGAGGACATTACACATAAATGAGAACAAGAAAGCAGAGCGGCACACGCTTTCCTTCACAGAGTAGAGAAAACCAATGTAAAGCTGTATTGCCTAGCAAGAATAACAGAGTGAGAACGACAGGTAGTCCCTGAGTTACAAACATCCAACTTATAAACAACTCATAGTTAAGAGTAGGGGTGAGACAACAGGAAGTGAGAGAAATCTACCCGTCGGAAGGGAAATCCACTTCTGAAAGAGCTAATATGGGGGAAAGGTGTCTCCATTGAAGCTTTATCACCAATCCTTGTTTCCACAGTTTCTGTTTGTAATTATTGAGAAACACCGTTAATTTTGATTACTGTGAGCTTTCTGGGCTGTATGGCCAAGTTCCAGAAGCATTCTCTCCTGATGTTTCACCCACATCTATGGCAGACACCCTCAGAGGTTGTGAGGTCTGTTGGAAATTATGCAAGTGAGATTTATATGTTTGTGGAATGTGCAAGGTGGGAGAAAGAACTCTTGTTTGTTTTAGGCAAGTTTGAATGTTGCAACTGGCCACCTTGATTAGCATTGAATTGCCTTGCGGCTTCAAAGCCTGGATGCTTCCTGCCTGGGGGTATCCTTTGTTGGGAGGCATTAGCTGGCCCTGATTGTCTCCTATCTGGAATTCCTCTGCTTTTTGAGTGTTGCTCTTTATTTACTATTCTGGTTTTTTAATACTGGTAGCCAGATTTTGTTCATTTTCGTGGTTTCTTCCTTTCTGTTGAAATTGTCCCCATGCCTGTGGATTTCAATGGCTTCTCTGTGTAGCCTGACATGGTGGTTGTTAGAGTCGTCCAGCATTTCCGTGTTCTCAAATAATATGCTGTGTCCAGGTTGGTCCATCAGGTGCTCTGCTATGGCTGATTTCTCTGGTTGAGTTAGTCTGCAGTGCCTTTCATGTTCCTTGATTCATGTCTGGGCAATGCTGCTGCATTTGGTGGTCCCTATGTAGACTTGTCCACAGCTGGTAGACTCCTGCAGAAGTGAGAGGATCCCTCTTGTCCTTTGCTGAATGTAGTATTTGTTGCATTTGCTTAGTGGGTCTGTAGATAGTTTGGAGATTGCGTTTCTTCATAAGCTTCTCTATGTGGTTGGTGGTTCCCTTGATGTGTGGTAAGAACACCTTTCCTCTGGATGGATCTTTGTCTTTACTCTCGTGGCTTGTTCTTGGTCTTGCAGCTCTTCTGATGTTTGTGGTGGAGTATCAATTGGCCTGTAGAGCCCAGTTTAGGTGTTGCAGTTCACCTAAGGAGGAGGTGAGGTTCACAGATTCTTTTTTCAGTCTGCCATAGGTGTTATTGCGATTCTTTTTTTGAGTTGGGTGATGGTTGGAGTTTTTATGTAGTTATCTATCTGTGTGTGTAGGTTTTCTGTAAACTTTGTGGCCCAATTGTTGATTGGGTTTGCGAATGACTAGGACATCTAGAAATGGCAGTTTCCTTCATTTTCTTTTTCCATGATGAATAGGATATGTGGGTGAATGCTGTTGAGGTGGTCCAGGAAAAGTTACCCTAACGGTAATCAGGAGTGGCCATGGCCTGAGCTCCAAGCTGGAGCAAGTACCTCTCCTCAAAGACATAGGGTGAGATGTAGCATGAGAGATTATGTAACTTAATTGGCAATAGTCCTATATAGATGACAACCATTAAGAATTAAAGTGGCCACATGTTGTTAGAGTTTTAAAAATAATATCAGTGCTTTATTGGTAAAGATAAAGGTTTTCCCTGACATTAAATCTAGTCGTGTCCGAATCGTGGGAGGTGGTGCGCATCTCCATTTCTAAGCCGAAGAGCTGGTGTTGTTCACAGACAACTCCAAGGTCATGTGGCCAGCATGACTGCATGGAGTGCCATTACCTTCCTGCAGAGGCGGTACCTATTGATCTACTTGCATTTGGGTTGGAAGAAGCTGGGGCTAACAGCAGGAGCTCACCCTGCTCTCCAGATTCGAACAACCAACCTTTTGGTCAGCAAGTTCAACAGCTCAGCAGTTTAAGCCACTGCACCACGGGGGTCCCATAAATGCTTGATAGACCTGCAATATTCAAAATATAGCAATATATCATGAAGATTTCAGAAGCGAGCAGATGTGTTTAATATTACCAGAGTAATTTCTCTTCATTGCTTCTGAACAAGGAGAAATTCAGTGTAGGTAAACAAATAAGCCAAATATTTCTTAGCTTTTTCTAAACTATAATAGGATCATGGAGATAATGTTCACTATGGCCATAATGGTGTGCACACAGGATACTAATAATCATAATCAAATATTCCACAATAATTTATCTGCAGGAAAGTTTTTGTTAGTAGTATCCTATTTGGAGAAACAATATATAATACTGCCTTAATAACCAAGAAGGAAGCATAGTAGTATCTGTTTTCTTCCTTTTACATTGGCTCTTCCTTGATGAGCTTAATTGATTCCATGTTTACAGGAATTTGAAACAGAAACTGAAGACTCTGAGGGTGAAGAAATGGATGGGTCACTTGGAAAGGACAATCTGAGAAACAGCCAGCCAGGCTTCCTTCAGAAAATCATGTTGTTCATAGTTGGCTTGAAGATCCTCTGTGAAAGTATATTCAATACTGCTGGCAAAGTGGTGGCGGTGCTTCTGCTAGGACTAGCAGGTAAAAGTGCTTTAAAGGGCATCTTCACACATAGCATATCTATTGCATTTTGAGCTAGATCCAACATAGATCTTAAAAGAGTTTCTCTTGCATGGAAAGAAAGAAGAGAGATGCAATATTTAAAGCTTTGCTTCCTCCCCTCAGCCCACGCTGCCGAGAAGGCCACTTGGAGCACCACAGTAGGATCGTACCATGGGAAAGGGAAGCCATGTAGATCCCACTGGACCCCTTCCTTCAACAGGGAATCTCTGCTGGATCCCAGGTTTTTTTTTCATTGAAGGAAGACGCCCCTTCCATTCACATAATTTTTGGAAAATGGCATTCATAACCTTTTGGGAAAACCAGGAATCTCTACAGGCTTTTGGAAGCATGACCCTTTTGGAGATTATTTGCACAGTATTTGGAATAATCATAACCTTTTGGAAAGACATGACCTGTTAGAGATTGTAACCTTTGGTAAAATATGATCTTCCTGAGAAGAGTTAAAAACTCGCTTGAGTCAACCTTCTCCTTCATACATGTACAGTGTTCCCTCACTTATCACTGGTGTTACAATCCAGGACCACCTGCGGAAAGTGAAAATCCATGAAGTAGGGACACTCTCTCTATATCTATATCTATATATCTATATCTATAATCTATAAAAATGCTCTGTGCATAATGAGTACCTTAAAAACAAAAGAACCAATGAATGAAATCACACCAAATTTGGCAACTAAACGTCTCACAACACAAGGAGTGACCATCACTCAAAAAATTATGATTTTGTCATTTGGGAGTTGTAGTTGCTGGGATTTATAGTTCACCTACAATCAAAGAGCATTCTGAACTCCATCAACGATGGAATTGAACCAAACTTGGCACACAGAACTCCCATGACCAACAGAAAATACTGGAAGGGTTTGGTGGGCACTGACCTTGAGTTTTGGAGTTGTAGATCACATACATCCAGAGAGCACTGTGGACTCAAACAATGATGGATCTGGACCAAACTTGGCACAAGCACTCAATACTCCCAAATATTAACAAAGATGGAGACTGGGCCACAGCAATGCGTGGCAGGGGACAGCTAATATACACACACACAGACACACACACGCACACATATATATCACATTCTGAGGGTGAGACAGAAGCGAGGAGAGGTTTAAAGGCACCATGCACCTTTTTTTGCTAGGTATAAGGAAGGAGCTATAAGGCCGTAATTTACAAACCGCTTTGTATCTCCTCTCTCTCTCTCTCTTTTTATGATTGATTGCCTCTCTCCCAAGGGGGAGGGTGAAACCCCCTTCCACACTCAATTGTTGCCAGGAGGCAAAAACCCGCGAAACAGCGAGTCCACAAAAAGCGAACCACGAAGTAGCAAGGGGACACTGGTTTCTTCACAGCAAGGCAATTTGGTTTCTTAGCTGTTAGACTCATAAACTTGCTTATATATTTGAACTGTTAGGAGCAAAGGTTATGCCAATGCACAAAACCGGCAGAATTTCAGAAATGTTCTTTTCAGTGCCCAAAAAATCTACTCTCCCATAAAATATTTTGGTTTTAAATCACACTCTCAAGAGACAAAAATAATTAGTCCTCATTAAAAGTAACATATCTGGTTTACTCACAGCCTTCATGCATGCAGCATACAGGTACATTGCTTATCAATTCAGTTACAGGTAAGATTTGAAATAGTTTCTCTGTGCAGATAACAAAGGACATCTTTTTACCATATTAGCAGTAACATCTTTACATTCTGAGAGTCCAATGGAGTCTGAGACCAGGGCAGTCCCAATCTGATCATGTGGTCTGCAGCCCTTCCCACAACATAGACTTAAGGAAAACTGCACACCAACAAATACATATACAATACAGGAAGCAAAACAGAATAATATACAAACAAATTACTAGTGGAGGCTTGAAGGAGGTTGCTATTTCCAACAGTAATAGACAATCTAGATCCAATGTTTGCGGCATCAACCAATGCAGTGTTTCTCAACCTTCCTAATGCCGTGAACCCTTAATACAGTTCCTCATGTTGTGGTGACCCCCAACCATAACATCATTTTCATTGTAACTTCATAACTGTAATTTTGCTATTGTTATGAATTGTAATATCTGAGATGAAGGATGTTGTTTCATTCACTGGACCAAATTTGGCACAAATGCCCGATACACCCAAATTTGAATACTGGTGGGTTTGGGTGGGTGGATGGGGGATTTGTTTCTGTCATTTGGGAGCTGTAGTTGCTGAGATTCATAGTTCACCTACAATCAAAGAGCATTCTGAACTCCACCAACGATGGAATTGAACCAACTGCACACAGAACTCCCATGACCAACAGAAAATACTGGAAGGGTTTGGTAGGCATTGACCTTGAGTTTGGGAGTTGTAGTTCACCTATATCCAGAAAGTACAGTGGATTCAAACAATGATGGATCTGGACCAAACTTGGCACGAATAATAGGTCCAAATATATGCCACCGGTGAAGTTTGGAGGAAAATAGATATTGACGTTTGGGAGTTGTAGTTTTGAATGGGGGACCATAGATCTTTGTAGATCACCTATCGCAAGCAGAGCATCCATATTTCAGAACGTCATCTCAGCATGTTCATTGTTGACTATGTGTAGGTTGCCTGGGAAGTATGATTCTAAATACAATTCGGTAAGGAACAACAGCAAGGAGAAAGTAACTACAGTTGGCCCTCCACTTTTGTGGGAGTTATGGGTTTGTTGGGTTCTAGTCCAGGGGAAATGGTACCACTTGATTTTGCAACAGAACCAATTTCAAAGAAAATATAGTTATGACAAGCATATAACTCTGCCCTCTGAACTTTGATTTTTCTCACCCATAGGTATTATACTACCTTCTGCGACTTCCGCTGTTTATTTCTTCATCTTCATGGGTTTATGTTCCTGGTGGTCTTGCCATCGCCCAATTAGCCCAGTTGCTTTTAACAGTTTGTGTGTCTTGGTTGCAGTATTCAGTGCTGGACACTTAACTGCTCTCTATCTGTACCAGCTGCCTTACATTCAGTACCTTGTTCCCCCTGAGGACATTTATGTCAGGTAAAAAGATAAAATTTGCACGGTGGAAAAGTGCAAAATGGTGATTATAACACATGAATTGTTTCAATGTGATATCACTTTCCCCTCCCTTGTTTAAAAAGATTAAACAACAATATAATCACTGTTTTCTCCTTCTCTAGAGTCTTGGGCATAGTACCACTCATTATGACAAATGTTACCATGCCTTGGAAGCTTCAGGTCCATTCCCAACTAAATTGGCCGGCAGCTTTGAATCCTTTTGCACTTCTCGCTCTGTACTATACACTGGTCACATTGCTCCAGCAGTGGGCACTGCCTGCTAAGGTATGGGATATATTACAATGCAAAAGGCATTCAGAATGTATTCTTGCTGATTCATAGCCCCAGGCCTCAATTGTGTGTTGAGTCCATATTACTTTTCACCTATTAGCACATTGTGACAGTTATCAGAAAAATGATAAACAAATCTAAATGAGAGCATATTGGGTTAAAACATTAAAATATGACTAAGCACAAATAAAAATTAACCATGGAAGACTAAAATAAAAATCAGTTTATGTTATAATAATTGTCTGTGCTATCGCCTTCCAAAATGGTTACTATCAGGCATTGCTTAATGAGAGTTTTTTTTAAAGAACAGCAACAATACATTTGGCAATTTGTTCTACTAGTAGTACATTACTTCTGCCTGCCAAAAATAATGCAGTTAGAAGTCTATTACAGGCAATGGAATACGTAGCAAAGTGGAATCTATTCTCACTATGGAAATTGCAATAGAGTAAAACACTGGACCACTCTAACAACCAGACTACACAGAGAAGCCATTGAACTGACCTGGTGGTTGTTGGAGTGATCCAGCATTTTTGTGTTCTCAAATAATATGCTGTGTCCAGGTTGGTTCATCAGGTGCTCTGCTATGGCTGACTTCTCTGGTTGAAGTAGTCTGTAGTGCCTTTCATGTTCCTTTATTCATGTTTGGGCAATGCTGCGTTTGGTGGTTCCTATGTAGACTTGTCCACAGCTGCATGGTACACGGTAGACTCCTTCAGAAGTGAGAGGATCCCTCTTGTCCTTTGCTGAACGTAGCATTTGTTGGATTTTCTTGATGGGTCTGTAGATAGTTTGTATGTTGTGTTTCCTCATCAGCTTCCCTATGCTCTGAGTGGACCCATAGGAAAAGTGTTCTTGTCATACATCAAGGGAACCACTGACCGCATAGGGAAGCTGATGAGTACGTAGACGTGAAAATGGATAGTGAACTATGGATGACTTCAAATGAAACTGACAAGGTAAGGCACTAAGTATGAACTTTGTCATGGACATCTTGTTGCTTGTGATGATCAGTTTGGGGAATGACTGGATATTCAAGGATACAAAGACACCTCTGAAATATCTGGAGTGGGATGACCACTTGAAGGAAGGAGGCAAAAATAGTTTTCATTACATGAAACTGTAGCTCGCTGTCGACCTTTGCAGCCCAAAAGACAGTCGCATCTGTTAAGTAGGAAATTTAGGTATCGCTTATGAGAGGCTAATTTAACTAATTTACGATGCCATAAAAATCTCCAGCAAGCATGCAAAGAATGAGGAAGTACTCCGTCAGGGTCAGAAATGGACGGTGAAGCGACAGCTCTCCTGGTGGCCAAAATACCCTCATGAAGCTGGAATGTTAAATGGCCTCTGTGTGTCTGTCTATATCTGTTGTGTGACTGTGGCATTGAATGTTTGCCATGTATATGTACATTGTAATCCTCCCTGAGTTCCCTGTGGGGTGAGAAGGGCGGAATATAAATACTGTAAATAAATAAAAATAAATAAATAGTTAATTTTGGAAGCAACGAGGCTGTAACAAAATAATAAATAGTAACAAAAAGTTCAACAAGCAACATAAAATATCATTTGCTGAAACATTGTAATGACAGAGGATTACTTTTCAATGTAATGAGCAACAGAACCCTTTAAAAAGTCATTTTCCAAGGTCTGCTTAGTGGTAAAGAATCAAAGAGTGAGGGAATGATTTTAGAGTATCTTTGGGCCCTTCCAGACAGGACCTATATCCTAGGATCTGATCCCAAATTTTCTGCTTTAAACTTGATTATATGCCAGATGACCCGGGATAAACAGAAAACCTGAAATCAGATCCTGGGATACATGGCCTGTCTGGAAAGGACCTTAATTGCACCTAAGAGGGGAGGACTATGCTATTTATCTCCATCCTTGCTCAATTTTATTTGTAAATAAACCACCCTAACCATGAGTATTGATGTTGTTATTGTTGTCATGCCTTTCTCCCAGTTTGAGACTCAAAGTAGTTTACAATAATTAAAAAGAACATAGCTAAAAATTCACAAGTTACAAGTTCAAAATGTAATGAAACCATCATAAACTTAAAGGTAGTTAAAAGCACAAACAATTAAAAGGAAGTGGGTTGTTGTAAGTTTTTCGGGCTGTATGGCCATGTTCCAGAAACATTCAAACATCCAAAAACTTTGGGCAACCCAGTGATTCTGGCCATGAAAGCCTTAGACAATAAATTAAAAGGAAAATGTGAATAGAAGAATTAGAAAATGCCAGAAATCTTTCTTTTTGAAGAAACCCAGCACAATTTCAGTGCTGCCAATGCAACTTCTCTTCACTTGGGAAAGTGCAGAGCACCATTTTCCCTTGGTCCTAGATTTTGTGAAACCTCTGCTGTACAAAATCCAAATTGTTTCCCTTTCTGTCCAGGTGTCTTCTGCTTTGTGTGGAAGCTTGCAGGATGTCTCTCTCTTGCAGTGTCAGAGCCGGAACAGCTGTGATATGATTGCTTGCACCACTGAAGGAGACAGCATTTTCCTGTCAGGTAATATGTTAACTGTATGTATGGTAAATATGCACATGGTTAGATTGAAGATCTGAATGTTTCATAAGAGAGCACTGCCAGATTAACACCAAATCTAGTGGAGTAGCTCTGTAAGGCCCCTTCCATACAGCTGAATAAATTCCCACATTACCTTCTTTGACCTGGAATATATGGCAGGGTGGACTCAGATAACCCAACTCAAAACAGTTGTTGTGGGTCATTCTGCCTTAATATTCTGGTTTATATGGCCTTAAGTGATGTAAAAAACAGAAAATGAAAGAGACGAATCTAATTAAAGGCCAACAAATCTGTGTTTGGATATGCTTTTGTAGACCAGAAGCCAGTTCACCAAATATATAAACTATTATCCTCATTTGACAGAAAGAGTGTATATATGCAGAGTACAGAGACCAAAATGGGATGAAAGGGCTTTTCTTTTATTTTCCAAAGGACATTCTATTTAATCACAAGATGCCTTCCCTCAAGTGAAATTCTGTGAGACCTGGCGTGCAAAGATGTCATTAACTCAAGGCTGATGTCGAATAGTCAGCCACTCTGCTTTTTTTATCCATTGATCCAAAATGTACATTTTTTTGCAGAAGATACAATACACCCGGCAAATCCAACTGATAAAGGATATGACATTGAAGGAAATGGATCGAGTACCTTCTCAGCATTGGCACAATTCATTATGAATCAGAGCTACATCACTGCCCTGATTGCCATGATGGTAAGATACAGACATAACATTTCTCTCTGTGCTTTTGCATTGCCACCCATGCTTTCTTTTAGACCCACTTCTACACTGCCAATATATCATCCAGATTATCTGCTTTGAACTGGATTATATGGCAGTGTAGACTCAAATAATCCAGTTCAAATGAGATAATGTGGATTATCTAACAATTCAAAGTGCTGGCTTTAGCCTATAAAGCCCTAAATGTTTCTGGCCCAGCTTATCTATCCGAACGCATCTCCACTAGGGATTTGAGATAATCGGAGGAGGCCCTGCTCTCGATCCCACCTGCTTCACAAGCATGTCTGGTGGGGACGAGAGACAGGGCCTTCTCTGTGGTGGCCCCTTGGCTGTGGAACTCCCTGCCCAGGTATATCAGATTGGCCCCCTCCCTCCTAAGCTTTCGACGTCCCCCCCCCGAAAACTTGGCTCTTTGAGCAAGCTTTTGGAGTCTCAGTTTAATTTGCTAAACCTTGAATTGGAAAACGACCTAGGAACAGCTAAGATGATGGACCGGATGAAGACTGAATATGACGACATAGTTTTAATTTTTTTTATTGTTCAGTGGTTTGATGTTTTTAGATATAATGTAATGTGATGTTTAATTTTATTGATGTATGTATTTTATATGTGGCATCGAATTGTGCCAATTGTTTGCTGCCCTGAGTTGCCTTTGGGCTGATATGGGCAGGGTAAAAATGATATAAATAAATAAATGTGATAATCTGGATTATATGGCAGTGTAGAAGGGGCCATGGCCCATGGTATTTGGAGTACTGAATAAGAGCATAATAGGCTAACTTGGAGTTGGTATAACTGAAAATGACTACTGATATTGGAGCTAGGTTAAGTTTTTCAAGATCAAACAAGCCTCCAAATGAAGAATTGTGCCACACTGAGAACCCAATATTTTTGGATAGTGAAGATGTTTTGCTGAATATCACAGTTTTGCCCTCAAGTGCTAGCAAAATATTAATAGGAACAGATGAATTTGGCAGCTGTAACTACAATTCTACTCAGTTTTTAAAAATGTTGTCCATATTTACATTTATTATTTCACATTTCAACATCTATCTATCATCTGTCTGTCTCTCTTTAAAATCTGCACAAAACTGAAAGCTTTTAATGTCTTCTTTTGCAGGTTTGGAGCATTACTCATAATAGTTGGCTGACTTTTGTTCTGTTGCTCTGGTCCTGCATTATTTGGATGGCACGCAACCGTCGCCTCTGTGCCCTGCTTAGCTCACCTTTTCTTGTCACCTATGGAAATGTCTTGGTGATACTTACTTATTTTGCTGGGATCAATGTTACACAGGAGGAACTGTTTCCTAGAGTGCCAACTTCACTGCTTGTTGACCTGGATTTGAAGTCTTATTCTCTACCCTGTGTTCATCTGGGATCAAAGGTGAGCATATTCCAGGTATTTCTGGGTCTTTATTGAAGGATACATGTTTATTTTTATTCCCTTTGAACTCCTTGAGGCCCCTTCCACACAGCTGTATAAAATCCACATTGAACTGGATTATATGGCAGTGTGGGCTCAGATAATCCAGTTCAAAGCAGATATTGTGGATTATCTGTCTTGATATTCTGGATTATATGGCTGTGTTTCCTGATATACACAGAAGAGCAGTCATACATAAGGTTTTTTTTTGCACACATAAGATATTACAAACAAAGAAAATACATATGTAGGTAACTAGTAAGGCAAAGCCTACAATTACGTTGTTTGCATGTACATTATATTTAGGTTGTTTTGAATTATAATTTAAACTAGTTTTACATAGTTGCCCATGCAGCTTGACCCATTAAGTTGAATAATTTCTATTGCATTTTGTCCCTCAAACCTTTGGGTACAGCACATGGATACACTGGGGAGACCTTGTGCATGAAAAGAAAGTGTTATATCATTGAGCTGTGTCCCATCCTTTGTTATATCATTTAACGCTGTGTTTCCCATTCTCTAGTCTTACAAGTGTTTTTGGACTTCAGTTCCCAGAAACCCTTATATTTGGCCCAAACAGTTGAGGCTTCTGGGAGTTGAAGTCCAAAATATCTGGAGGACTAAAGTTTGGGAATCACCGAAACCCTTCTACACTGTCATATAAAATGCAGATTATCTGCTTTGAACTGGATTATATGGCAGTATAGACTCAGGCTCCTTCTGCACTGATATATAATCTAGATCAGTGGTTCTCAACCTGGGGTCTCCAGATGTTTTTGGCCTACAACTCCCAGAAACCCCATCCAGTTTACCAGCTGTTAGGATTTCTGGGAGTTGAAGGCCAAAAACATCTGGGGACCCCAGGTTGAGAACCACTGATCTAGATTATCAAAGCAGATAATCCACATTATCTCCTTTGAACAGATTATATGTCTACACTGCCATATAACCCAGTTCAAAGCATATAATCTGCATTTTATATGGCAGTGTAGAAGGGGCCTTATATAATCCACTCTCCAAGGATTGTGTACATTTCCTCAGAAAAGCAGGAAAAAATATTAAAATTAATTATTAGAAGCAATTTGTGATTTGAAAACATTGCTGTATAATTCTGGTTGCTGTTTCCATCTAAGGCATACCGAGTGTACAAACACATGGGTTCATAGGATATCAGACTACTCCATCCTCAGGCTCCACAAGATGTCAGAGTCATACAGATAATTTCTTTTCCTCTTCAAATAGATATATTATTATAATTTCATTGCAGATTTTATATCTGTTTACCTTCTGGCTCTTGCTGAAGCAGCACATGATAGAAAAGCAAAGGCAGAGGAAAGAAGAAGAATCGCTCAAGGAAGTGGCAGTAAATGAAACTGGTAAGGTGACTTAGCACTAAACACAGTTTCGGGTAGGAGAGCTCTTTACAGCTCATGGGAAGAAGTGATTTCTCTTACACATATTGCAAAAATAATGTCATTCTCAGTCATACCTGAAAGTTTATAATAGCATAGCTTTACTACCATTTCATTGAAATCATTATCTCACAAATATTTAGAAGGGATATGCATTCTGTGTCTGCACAGAAATCTTTCAAAAGTAACCTATAGCGCAGGCATGGGCAGACTTTGGCCCTCCAGGTGTTTTGGACTTCAATTCCCACAATTCCTAACAGCCTCAGGCCCTTTCCTTTCCCCCCTCAGCTGCTTAAGCTTAAGGAAGGGGCCTGAGGCTGTTAGGAATTGAGGGAGTTGAAGTCCAAAACACTTGGAGAGCCAAAGTCTACCCATGCCTGCTATAGCAGCTCATTAAAATGAATCCTGCACATTCTTAGTTGGCCAAAAACACCTGGGACCCACAGGCTGAGAACCACTGTGTTATAGACAATAGTGTAGTAAAATGGTGTCCCTTATATAAAATGGCAAAGTCAAGGTTTTCTTTGAGGAATTTTATTTTAGAATTCAAGCTGTGGATGGATTAATCAGTAAATGCAGAATCTGTGGATATAGAAGATCATTTTTTTAACTTCTGAGTAAGTGTGCATAGGATTATAGCCATACAATCCTATACATGTCTCTTCTGGTACAGCTGTACCAGGAGCTCCAACTTTATTTGCTTTGTAGTAAATGTTTGTTTGCAGTCCCAGGTTTCAGGGACTCTGCAGATAGGTGGCTTCTTTTGACTGCAGTCATAGGGCACATGTCCATCATCATTAAGTTTGGTTCCGCCCCTTGCTCAGGGCAATTGAGAAGGGAAGGGAGCCATTTTTTAGTTAGTCTCAGCAAGGAAAGCTAATGTATAGGATGTGTGCAAGCTTCCCCTGTACAAAAGCTTCAACCTTTAAGAATTTCCAAGAAAACAGCCCTAAAGACCAAAGAACTCCAGCTGGAGAACATCTAAGCCTTTACTGGTAGGTCCACTCAGCGTTCGAGAAGCAGTTCGACCCGGTAGTGGAGCCCACATCAGTAAGGGTTAGATTACAGTCAGCCTGGGAGGAGTTAAAAAGGGGATTTTCCTTTAAAGAAGAAGTCATTGAAGACAGTTGCCTGTCCTTCGTGGGCAAGATTGGGAATTCACCAGTTGCCTAAAAGCTTGGAATCATTTGCTTAACTTTACTGAAGACAAGAGAAGTTTCTGTTTGTTGTACTTCACAAGCCATCTAAAGACTATTTGTGGTGAAAAACCTCTGAGAACTTCTCTTTAGGCCCCCTGGCTTCCCACTGGGCAAAGATTGCACGTCCTGTTCTAAAGGAAATTCTTTACAGGCCCAGCGCGTGACAGAACACTGTCTTATGAAATGTAATTTACATTGTGTTCAGGGTTTTATCTTAGGTACTGTACATATGCCTATATCCTTAAACTATAAGTGGACAGACATTGTATGATAAATACAAATGAATTTTCTTACCATGGTACCATAATTGTGAACAATTGGAAAATGTTGATGGTCCTGAATGGATATAAATTCCTGTTACAGAAATAGATCAACAGCACAATATCCTTCTGGATATCCTTGGATCTCTGCTGAAGGGGATGTTAGTGAAGTACTGGATTTACTTCTGTGCGGTGATGTTTTTTATTGTCAGCTTCAATGGCAAAGTGGCCCTGTACAAAATTCTTTACATTTTGCTTTTTCTGCTAAACGTTGCTTTGTACCAGGTAAGCTTCAAATCTAATTCATCTGAAGGTTTACATGAGATTATAATTTTGAACTTTTTGTATTCAGAATAATTCTTCCTGGTAGAGGGGAGTAAGGATGGAAAGAATATTTTTAATATTTTAAAACTGATCAAAAATATGCTTTATGAGTATTTAGGAATTGTGACACAAAGAGCCCTGGACTGATGAGAACCTTTACAGTTTGAGACTGCACAAAATTCATGTGCAGTTGTATTGTGCAGAAACCAACATTTACTCATAGTAAATAGCTGTTCTGCTTGGAAAATAATATGTCAATATAGAAATATTAATCTTAATATGGTACTTTGCAGCTGTTACTGACTTGTCCTGCCCATGTCTCTTATACTTATAAATCTCTAGAATGTTTGTCAGATCTTATTTCAATATGCAGGACTAACTGATGAATGGAACAGATTTGTTTGCTTGCTTGTTTTTCAGGTTCATTACAAGACATGGAGACAGATTCTAAAGGGCTTTTGGCTCACTGTTGTCTCTTATTCAATGGTGGTACTCATTGCTATCTATTCCTATCAGTTTGAGATGGTTTCTGCATTTTTCCTAAACACCTTGCAAATATCAGAAGAGAGGTAAGTTTAGATATTGCAACTAAACTAATCTAAATTCAGATTTTATCTTATTGTTACATATAGTAGTAGATCAAATGTTGATGTCTACAGGTAAATGTAGAGATCAACATGGTACAAGCTGAGCTCATAGTCTGCTGTTCTTCTCTGGAGTTGTCAGTCCAGAAAACCCCTTTTTGAACTCTTTATAAGATGTTGCGTTCTGCTCCCTTTTCACTGTGCAAACATTGAAGCTCTTTCTCTAAAGGTTTGACAGAATAGGCCAAGCTTCGTAGACAAATCTTTTTGGTGTTGCCTTGCCATATCTTTTCATGAAATGATGTTACTTCCCTACAAAAAAGAATGCCTTGTTAGTGAATAATTTCTGGATTGGGACAATAGGATACCACAGGAGTTTGCCTGCATTGACCTGGGATGTGTGGATCTGATAGGTTATATTCTATATCAATTTTTTTTTCTGGGAAGTACATTACTGTGGGGATCCTGGGGATTCCTTTTTGTTGTTGTTAACTGACATCAAATTGACCTTAACTTATGGCAACCCTATGAAGTCAACCCTTCCAAGTCAACCTTTATCAATGACCCTGCTCAGGTCTTGCAACTTCAGGGCAGTTGCTTCCTTGATTGAGTCCCTCTGCAGTGTGATCTTCCTCTTTTCTTGACATGTCCAAAGCATGGCAACTTCAGTTTAGTCTTTTGAACAGAACAGTGAATGTCTTGTCTCCTTTAAAAAGTACTAGAATAATTCCAGGTGAAAAGTTAAGGTGATCTAGATCAGTGCTTCTCAGCCTATTGCTGTTGTGGTCTGGAATATTTCTCTCTCTAATGTCTTAGGGATGGATATCTATATCTGTGTCCATTGTCTACAGTTGTTTATTTTTCTGGAACTCTGTATTTCACAGACTAGCACTGGTCTAGGGACCCTTACTTTGAGAAGCATGAACAGATGGCAAACTCAAAACCAGAGTTTGGCTATATTTGATGAACTAAATTGAAAATGGATTTACAGCTGCTTCTAGTTTTGCTTTATTTCAATTATGGGGTCATTTTTGGTAGGCTATACAGCTCCTAATATAGCTTTGGGGCAACTTGGGTGGCATCCAAGTTGCCCACTTGTGGTATTAATAAAGCAAATCCTTTGTACTTACTTGTTGCACGCCAGGACAGGAAAAACCCTCTGCCTTTAAATATCACACCATTGGATGAAAAACAGTCCTTTTATTGAAGATAATTAAAAAGCAGTAAGGTAAAAAAAGCACTTTGAAGCAATAGGATAATCCAATTAGGTAGGAAGATAAGCAGGAACAAAGTAGTCCAGGGTAATAGACCAGCAAAGCCCATAAAAACAAAGTCAAAACTTTCCAAATAAAATGCAAGAAATCAGTAAATATGAATCCAAGGCATGAATATAGAAGCATAACATCCAAGAATCAAAACTATGAAACAAAGGCACTTAAAACATGAATTTTCCAAGCAAAGCTTCCATGAACAAGGACTTGCCTTGTCTTGATTCCAAACGATGCTTCATCTGACTATATATGCTGTACTTGGGACTTTTATCTCCTCATTAGCTATGTCTCTAGCACTCAGAAATTGGTTTCGCTTTAGCTGAGAATTTTTTATCTTTTTCTCTCGGAGCCTGGCAGAAGGCCGAAGCCACTGTTCGGCTCTCCTGTTTTGAGTGATCTCCTGTCTATCTATTTACACATTAATTTCTGCAGCTGGGCCAGGTGCCGATTTGTTTTCTTGTTCTCTATCATGGGAACTCTCTTGTAACAATTCAGAGAGCACACCATCATCCCCACCCCCCCTCAGGGACATTCTGCATTTTGAACAGGGATCTCCTGGTCATTCTCTGCATCAATATCCTTGAACAAACCATTGCCATCTTGAAACTCATCTTGAATCTCATTGATATCACTCCCCACATCCAAAGCACCCAGATTCTGAAACACAATCACAGGCTGAGCTCCAACACTACTAATGCTTATGGATCTAGGAGGTACAATAATAAAACTACTCCACTACTAGCCAAACTTGTGCATATCTTTCTTCTTTACACTTCACAGATTAAGAGATATGGGTCTTGAGCGATTCAGCACTATGGAGTTGTTCACAAGGATTCTGCTTCCTGGTGCCTTTCTTCTGGCCTGTATCCTTCAATTGCATTACTTCCATGATAATTTCTTAGTGATGACAGATATAAGCAGAATTTCCAAAAGGCCAGCTTCTTCATCTGGGAGGTATTCTGCATGATCTATTGATTGATCTTTTTAATTTATATTTTAATTTATTTTCTGGGAGATTTAAAAAGTGGTGGTGGAGGCCACCTTACATCCCAACCAAGGGGTATAAATCTAATTTAAGATAAGGTTGTCCAACTCTAATTAAACCATTATTCTAACCTTTTTCAATGTAAATGTGCTTATGTAGCCTTCCAATAATAGAGAGTACAATAATAATTGTAATAATAATAATAGGGTAAAATAATGGAAATGTAATAATAACAGTAATAATAGAGTAAAATAATAAATGTAATAATAATAATCTTGTGTTTTGAATAACAACAAAGCAAAATAATAAATAACATTGACTCGAGTATAAGCTGAGGGGGACCTTTATAGCCTAAAAAGGGACTAAAAAACTAGTCTTATACTCGAGTATATACAGTATATACATTTACCATGCATACACCCACCTACATATGAAAATCATATTTAGTAGTATAACACAGAGGTTTGACTAGTGAAATTTTGAAGTGTAACTCCCAAGAGTCTTGAGCCAGCATGGTCACTGGTCAAAATGGCTGGAAAATTCTGGCAGTTGTAATCCAGACAAGTAATTTCTTCCAAACTTGTGTTGTTTGCAATTGGATTGGAATAAGAAGTAAGGTTTTAAATTATTTTCCTTTCTAGTGATAAGAAGACTGAGACTCAGATATATCTTCTGGCAAACATGTAAGTTACCTTTATGTGTTGGATCTCTTCTTTGACTGCAATAGGGAGGGAAAATGAAGAAGAGTACTCAAGTACAGGCAGTCCCTGAGTTACAAACAACCGACTTACAAATGATTCATTGTTACAAATGGGGGTGAGACAACAAAAAGTGAGTGACTGCCCCTCGGAAGGAAAATTCTCTCCTAGAAGAGTTATCATGAGGAAAAGGTGTCTCAGCAGAAACTTTCTCATCTACCTTTGTTTCCACAATCTTCTGAACAGGGGCACAAATATCACAGAGGTGTTAACCCTTCCTTATGTTACCCAAAGCTAAAAGATATTATCTATATCTATATCTATATCTATCTATATATAACACTTTAAAAATATACCTGTTTTGACTTACATACAAATTCAATTCCAGAACCTGTCATGTTCGTAACTTGGGGGCTGGCTGTATGTCAAAGGATGGAGGCCTTATCTGGGTTCATAAGATGGTGAAAACCCACATGACTTGGGTTTCCCCCATCAGCATCTACAGTAGAATAGTGGTTCCCAACCTTTATTTGACCAGGGACTATTTGACCAGGGACCAATATCCATACCAAAAGGGTTATGAATCAGTTTTTGGTCAGCTTTAGATTTGGTTTGGTTATTTGGGGTCCAGATTCAGAAAATTGCATTGTATAGAACACATCAGCGCTAGTTTCTGATACAGAACATATGCCATCCAGTAGTCATGATCTGCTCACCCACAAAAAAAACACCATATTTAATAAGCGTCAGCACTGTAAGAGGGTTTTGCGAGACCAGTCGCTCTTGTTGCAATGGTGTAGCAATGGTGAGGCTGCAGACCATATTTTAGTTCTTGTGGACCACTAGCGGTCCATGGACCACAGGTTGGGAACCTGTGGTCCATGGGAGGCTAAGGCAAAAGCAAATTGCTGCAGCCACTCCTAGCTTGTGTGTTCTTCATAGGTTGTGACTTATACCATTTGGACCACACTCTGAAATTAGTTGGTCAGATGTGTTCAAATTTTAATCTGTAAAGTGTTGGAGGGCATGCACAGGCTTCACTAAATGTCAGGTTTTTAACAATGCTACTAGGACCCCTTCTACACTGCCATATAATCCAGATTATCAAAGTTTTGAACTGAACTATATGAGTCTATGAGTTATATGGGGGCCCTTCCACACAACCCTATATCCCAGAATATCAAGGCAGGATATCCCACATTATCAGAATGTGGACTCAGATAACCCAGTTCAAAGCAGATACTGTGGGGTTTTTTGCCTTGACATTCTGGGATATAGGGCTGTGTGGAAGGAGCCTGAGTCTATCCTGCCATATAATCCAGTACAAAGCAGATAATCTCGATTTTGTTATAAAGTATTGCTCAATCCTCTAAATGTTTCTCCAGCAACAGCAAGAATGTCTCTCTGGGCAGCTAAACCAGGCAATCCCAACATGACCCCCCCCCCCCCGAGGGTCTTCCTTCAGGGGCAAACCAAGAATGGGCAACTTGGAAGTCCCTGAACAGATTCAGAAGTGGAGTGGGCAGATCAAAAGATAATCTGGCAAAATGGCACTACCTGGAAGAATCTTCCATCTTGTGTGACTGTGGAGCAGAACGTACAATTCAGCATCTGTATGCTTGCCCACCATGCCCTACCTCACGCACAGAGGAAGAACTCTTTAAAGTTACAGACCATGCGGTTACTGTTGCCCGTTTTTGGTCTAAAATGATTTAGCTGCTTGTGTTTCCTTTATTTTATCTGTTTTATACTTATTTATGCAATGCTTTTGACACTAAAATAAAATCTCAATTTTATATGGCAGTGAAGAAGGGAACTAGGCTTCTTAAAGCCTAGTTTGTGGTTTGTGGTTGCAGCATATTTTATCTGGCCTTTAATAGGGAAGACCAGCAGTTCTTACCAGCTGTGGTGGAGCACACTTCTGTATAGAAGAGGTCCCAAGTTTAGTTTTTGCCATCTCTAGTTAATAGGGCTGTTAATGAGCTGTGGTGTTGGAGGAAAGTTCTGAGAGTGCCTTGGACTGCGAGAAGATCCAACCAGTCCATTGTCCAGGAAATAAAGCCCGACTGCTCACTGGAGGGAAGGATAATAGAGACAAAGTTGAAGTACTTTGGTCACATCATGAGGAGACAGCAAAGCCTAGAGAAGACAATTATGCTGAGGAAAGTAGAAGGAAAAAGGAAGAGGGGCCGACCAAGGGCAAGATGGATGGATGGCATCCTTGAAGTGACTGGACTGACCTTGAAGGAGCTGGGGGTGGTGACGGCCGACAGGGAGCTCTGGCGTGGGCTGGTCCATGAGGTCACGAAGAGTCGGAGACGACTGAACGAATGAACAACAAAGTTAATAGGATCAGGAATCAGATTATGAAAAAGATACATTTTTAAATCTTTCCGATTTGCATTGCAATTCCTAATACTGCTTATTTTGCCTTCGACATTTTCAGGCTAAAGGAAAACATTCAGAAACTACAAAACAGGTGAGCCTAAAACTAAGAAGTGTGTTCAGTATCAATACTCAACTTAATTCAATCTTTGTAGCCTTTTGATGTGCAGAGAAAATCATATTACCTTGTCCCTATCTCCTTAAGAAATTCCAAAATACTATTAAATGTGCCTATCATGTGCTGCACAGAGGGTACACATTATTTTACGCATATATTCCACCTACATTTTTGCACATGGCTCCACTTGAATTAGAGCTGTTATGTTTAGACTGATACCCTGAAGTGAGTATCTATTAGGGCTGCACAACTTGTGATCCTCTTAAATGGAAATTATTACAAGTTTTGTACAACAAATTGTTGGGGCTCAATAAGTGTCCTGCATTTTGCTGCCAACCCAAGATGGTTATCAGGCCACAATACATGGCCAGAGGGCTCTGCTGGACTTAATGGATCATATGTTGTTCATTTATGCTTACCCTATGTGAACCTGTGATATAAATGACCATAGACAATTAACTGGGAAGCATGGGATATATTTATAAGCCAATAACAAGTCACAGCATTTCAACTTTACCATTTAAAGATCTAACTTTCTTAAAACCAACAAGAGATAGTATTTCTTTATGCGTGATTTTCTTGAGATGGAAGAAGAAACCCGTTACTGATAGTGTCAGAGACTCCTTCCAATTTGCATCTAAAAATAGTAAGAAACTTCCATGTGTTCTTCAGGGATTCAGTCTACGAAAATACAAGTACATCTCATCATAAGAGATGCCATTGAGAAGAACCACCAGAATAAAGGACACTCTTGTTTCTAATATGTTATTTATACAATGAAAACAGTTAATCTTGCTCAGCCTTGGATATATTTAGACAACATTACATGTAGGAAATCAGATTTTTATATTAGTGGCGGGGGGGCTTTTTAGTGTGATTTATTTGGGATTAATAAGAACACTTCGGAAACAATGGACACAGTCACTTGGAAAGGCTGAACATTATGTGGGAACTGCAGTGGAGGACTTTAGGAATTCTCCTCACTCCCCCCACCCCTCTTTTTTTAAAAATTGGGAATTGTGCAGGAGAATTTCACAGTGGATTTCCCTCATAATGATATAATAATAATAATAATAATAATAATAATAATAATAATAATACTACAGTGGTCCCTCGCTACTTCACGGTTTGTTTTTTGCAGCCTCGCTGTTTCGCGGTTTTTCAATATGGACTTAAGAGCGTTTGTCTGTATGGAAAGGTTGCCTCTGCGGATAATGCCGGAGCTGAGGATTATGTGAACAACACATTCAAGGAGGGTTATATAGTGTATAAGTGTGTGGGGAGGGTTTATAAATACTTAAAATAGTGCATAATTACTAAAAGAATGTATAAATATTAAAATAATAGGGTTGGGCGGTTTCGTTCGAGTTTAGAAACAAATTTTTCCGTGGTTACCCAGCCCTATAAAATAAATATAGAGTTCCTACTTTGCGGATTTTCACTTTTTGCGAGTCGTCCTGGAACGTAACACCAGTGATAAGTGAGGGAACACTGTAATAATAATAATGATAATAGTAATCACCTCACTACCTCTGAGGATGCTTGCCATAGATGCAGGCGAAACGTCAGGAGAAAATGCCTCTAGAACATGGCCATATAGCCTGGAAAAGCCTACAACAACCCAGTGATTCCGGTCATGAAAGCCTTCGACAATACAATAATAATAATAATAATAATAATAATAATAATAATAATAATACACTTCACTTATATTCCACTTTATCTCTCCGGAGGGACTCAGAGCAGATTACAATATACATATAAGGCAAATATTCAATCCTTTTTTACACAATGACTATCAATATTATACAATATACAGACAAGGTAAAGACCTTCCCCTTCTGGCATCTGGAGGCAATGCTCAACTCCAGCCATGGGGAGGTGCTCTTGTTCCATTTTTCCATGCCGAGGAGCCTGCTTTCCATAGACATCTCTGATCTTGTTGCCAGCATGTCTTCATGGGGCGCCCTTTTATCTTCCTGCTGAGGCGGTACCTATTGATCTATTTGCATTGCATTCTTTCAAACTGCTAGGTGGGAAGAAGCTAGGACTGACAATCGGGAGCTCATTCTGACTCGCAGCTTCGAACTGCTAACCCTTCGGTCAGCAGCTTTTCCCTCAGCAAGCAGCTTAGCCCGCTGTGCTATCTTGGCCACATTTGGAATTATCCAAATGTGGTATCAACACTTTGCTGACAATTAACCACCAGTATATCTTTGGTTTCATCATGTCTTTGTTCTACTATTGATATATTTCCTAAACTTGAAACCAATCTCACTCTGTGATGATTAAAAATCATTGACCCAGAATCGAATATACAGCAAATCCTATTTGTTCCTTCTTTTTTTAAAGATGCCAGAAAAGACATAAGTAATCCAAGGACCAGATTTCCCCATACTGTCCATAGCTTTGAAGGCCAATGTTTATCTGAACATCCTGAGCCCTAATCAATAACCAAAGTAAAGCCACAGTAACAAAGTAGTCAGTTATTGGATGTTTTTTTTCTCTGTCTGCAACAGACTGGCTGCTGAACAATTACAGGAGCTGGATCCATCTGTGAACACTGTGGGGAAGAGTCATCCTACTAATTTGGGTAATGATTAAGAATCAACTCTTCTGCTGAATGAATAACAAAACATACCAACCAGCAAAGCATTTAATTCATGCTATTATATTTAGATTGCAATTTGCAAACAAAAACAACCACATTGTCCGTAGCTTTAAATAATTATTCCTCTGTGAGTCAGGCAGAGCATTGTGGACAAGCATACATATGCAGAGTTGTTTGTTCTGCTCCATAGTTGCACAAGGTGGGCTTGTCACATTGCTTTTATGTGAATTCACAGCAACAGATCTGTCTTATCTTTCTTTGCCACATTCTTACTTAAGGCAAACTCAAAAGAGCAAACCTACTGTTTTGTGTTTTTTTTAAAAACTAATTGCTCTCTTGTCGTAGAGGAAAACATGAATAAATGGACAGATGTGGTTGACAGTTTGGTGCCTCATGTCCTGAAGTTCTTGACAACAGTTCAGTCAATGCAAGCATTTGCGTGGAGAGTTCTGGAGCTGCACATCCTCAAGGTTACATCTGTTTGGATTGTCTGGATCACTATTCAGGAGGTTAGTAAATAAGTATCTTATTCAGGACATCCTGTGCTTCATGTCTCGTTGTGGTTAACCCAGGCATGGGCAAACTTGGGCCCTCTGGGTGTTTTGGATGTCAGCTCCCACTATTCCTAACAACCTCAGGCCCTTTCCTTTCCATTTTTTTTCCAAAATGAGGAAATAAACTAAAGGACCAGAACATTACAAAATTACAGCTTCCAGGATTTCAGAGCATTCTGCCATGGCAGTTAAAGTGATGTCAAACTATATTAATTCTACAGTGTAAGATACACTATAGGATTTGTTTGTTCATTGCCTTCATTAATTCCATTAATGCATTAATCCCACATTACATAAGCAGGGTGCAGTCTATAAACCTTATACCAAATAAAAGTTCTCAAGCTTTGGATCCACCTGATTGTAGAGTATCACCCTTGTTCTCATCCATCTCTTCAGACCAAAACAGATTATGCAAATCATATAATTAAGGCTTGAATCAGAACATAGAATCATAGCTGGAAGAGACCACATGGGCCACCCAGTCCAGCCCAGGAAAAGCACAATCAAGTACTCCCAACAGATGGCCATCCAGCCTCTGTTTAAAAGCCTCCAAAAGAGCCTCCTCTGCACTCCAAGAGAGCGAGTTCCAGCATTGAACAGCTCTTCTTACAATCAGGAAGTTTTTTCAGGTGGAATCTCCTTTACTGTAATTTGAACCCATTGTTCTGGGTCCTAGTTTCTAGGGAAGCAGAAAACAAGCCTGCTCCCTCTTCCTTATGATATCCTTTGTCAGAAACTGACTTAGTGTTTTACTTGTTCGACATTGTGTTGTAGGTGTCCTTGATGAACTATCTTTTCTTCATTCTGTGGACCTTTTCTCTTCCATATGGGAAGCTTCGCCCTTATGCTTCAAGAATCAGTACATGTTGGTCCTGCATGATGGTTATCTGTAAAATGATATACCAGCTGAAATTTGTCAAGCCAATGGAATATTCTTCCAACTGCACACAGGTCAGTTTACTCATGAATTATCAGGATCCAGACTTCATAGGCACTTTCTGGTTAGGCTTGTAGCATGCCTTTCCATGTTGGTGGTTTGCTTCATTAATATTAAACATTCAGCAGAACATGAAAAAGTCAATTTTGGGATGATATTCTCCAGCCAGCATGGGCATTCCCAAAAGTAATTTTTCCAAGCTCTGGCTTGAAGTACAGAAAAATAGGGCTGAAAAATGATAAGCGTCTTATTGCAAATGGGTTTCCCTCTGTGAATGCTCTCACAACTTGGACCCGGATAGTCACAATCTAGAATGTGCAACTTGCACAAATGTTATGAATCCTTTGTATTTTGTATTTTTATTCTTTCTCTACCTTCACAACTGGTGAAGTGTTTCAAAGGCAGTTCTTGTGTGCCCTTGGTTTCCTTTGGAAGAAGATATTTTCAGAGTTTTGTGGTGATTTTGATAAATGTAGGCTAATGTATAAATTGACATGGTGAGCATACACCAATCAAACAAAATAGCATGCTTCCTAAATCCAACAATGTACAGAACAATCTCCCTCCATACAACACCTAGCTATGAATAAAAAGCCACATACAAGAGAGAAAGATTTCAATGCCTTCTAAGAAAAGTATAGCTCCAAATCTGTAGTCTAGTGTTGGGAAGCCCATTCTGCCTGCTTAGCTTTTAATTCTAATATATTTTGCATTTGCGAGACTTTATTTTCTCCTCAGGGACTGCATCTGAATACATCCTACTTCTATACCAATGTGGAGGAGTTAATGGAGAAATCATTGCTGTACACTGCACCGGTTGACCCGGCGCGTTGGGTTGGAGGGTTCTTGAAGTGTAATGACAATGTACTTCCATGTCTAAAGGTAGGAAATGTATTTAGTCATTTTTCCTATGGAAAGTAAGAAATTAGATTTTATGGTCATCTCCAAAATAGATGGTTGTTTATGGAATATGGACTTCATCATGTTCATCCCAGATGTTAGCATGTCTAGACAATTCTTTTAGAGCAGTCAGCAACCATATTTTGGTCAGATACTGATTAATGCAACTGTATAGCTTTGGAGGCTACTCTGCACTGTTGTGGTTGACATTTGGGGAGACTGGAAATAGTATTGTTTCACTTTAGAATGGGGTATTGCTATTTTAGCGCCTCCCCACAAGACTAAACCCCCTTTGGAGAATGTTTCAAATTATTTTGTGTGTACATTTCCTTCCAGACTCAAAATGCATATTTTACCAATGTGGAAGTGATGACTGGGGTTTTTTTTTGGCTAAGTTAGTGGAGCTCCAAAGGGATTCTGCATCCTATGATCTTCACAATTCCAATGCCTGCTTTGCAATTGAAGAAGTACTGAGAAATACTAAGCATCGCTGCATTATTTCTTTGTTTCACAGAGTCATCTCACCATCCTAATCCTAATGGCTCTTGAAGCAACTGTGCATCGCCACCAATGTTTCTACCGGATACAGAACCAGTTGATGTCACCTGCCACAGGGAGCCTTTTTCATAACATTGCTCGTGAGAATTTGGATGATGGACTACTAAGTTGCATCAAATACTTTATGAACTACAGTTTTTACAAATTTGGACTAGAGGTAAGAAAACATTAGCAAAGAGATTGTATTATGTATTGTCGAAGGTTTTCATGGCCGGAATCACTGGGTTGTTGTAGGTTTTTTGGGCTATATGGCCATGTTCTTGAAGCATTTTTTCCTGACGTTTCACCTGCATCTATGGCAAGCATCCCCACAACCTCTGAGGATGTTTGCCATAGATGCAGGTGAAACGTCAGGAGAAAATGCTTTTAGAACATGGCCATATAGCCCGAAAAACCTACAACAACCCCGATTGTATTATATTATTAGAGAGCTTAAAGGACACAAACAAGGTTATGGAGGAAGGAAAGTTACTTGACAAGAGTCATGATTTCAGACATCAAGAGAAAGAAGCCAAGTGTTTGTACTCCCAGTTCATGTTGCTGTATGTCCACCCACACAAGGATGGAGAAAGCAGGTTGTGATCTCCACAAAAATGTGGAGTAAGATGAATATGGACTGGACTAGTGTAGTGCTGGTTTCATTACAACTGCATCTTTTATAAGAGCAATGATAAACTTTGTATACAATTGAATGGTAAATTGCAGTAGTATAACCAACTGCATAGACGGTGAATCTGAGCACAATGGTTAACCCTTTCTTTAGGACTGGTGACATGTTCATTGGCTTATGCCTAATTAGCTTATTTATTCATTTATTTATTTTTTCTATTTTATGTATTTGTCACCTATCTTCTCTTCAGGGAAGTCTCTGGAATGAGCCAAGGCATACATTTATCACAAGGACAGAAGTCAACCCAAGACGTTGCAGTATTGTTGTTGTTTTTATGTTTATTTATAAATAAACATAAGGCCCAATGGAACTAGTGTCATGCAAAACTACTCTACAATTCTTATAGACCAGCATGTGTTTGATGGTTTGAATGGGCAGAGTGAGGAGGAGTGGTTCGCTGGAGAAGTGTTGATGAGTGAAGGGTGTTATGGTAGACCATGCATGGTAGGTTCCTGAGGTATTGAGAAGGTGATCAATACATCTCTGTGTTTTGTTGTTGTTTTGCCTTTTAGTTTTCATCAAAATTGAATAAAAATGATAGTCTTTCAGTGGTTTTTCAAGGTCTCAAGGTGCTTTTGATAATACAAAGTTAGCCAGAAAGAGTATGATAACGGTGATATAGTCCAGGAAGAGGAATAAGCTATTATATAAAACTGTGCTGTGGTTTAATGAAGAGAAAGATGTAAGCCTCGCTTAAACGTGTCCTCTAGGATATGAGTTACAATACCAGAAGAGGGAGTGGATGGTTGCAATTTATTTTGGTTCCATAATCTTGACCAAAAATGGACATCCAGCTTGACCCTGTCAAGTTGTAACATTTCTAAGATCTGTGTGCAAAGGCTTTCTCTTGATTCCACCATGTAATCTATCTTTGGTTCTGATTTATAAACAAAGACTTCTGTCAATCTCCGTAGCTACAGGTGGTTTCTCCTGGGAACCCTCCTTATCACTAAGCTCTTCACTCAATTCCTTATCTGCTGTTGCTACTTCTGGCTCCCCTGACTGGCCTTGAGGTCCTGTATTTTCTGAGCCAGTTTCCTCAAAAAGAGAACCATCATTTTCCAGACCTGAATTTCCCAGACTTGAGAGCCTATCACTTTGTGCCACAGGAAAGCTGACAACCCCCTCTAAATGATCAGTTAAACCATCAGTCCCTGGATGATCTACAACACACTTTTTTATTGAAGTCTAGATTATCTTTGCACTGAGAGATTTTTTGGTTGCACTGTATATATAAAAGGTTGTATGCTGCCTTGGATCCTATGCTGGAAGAAAGGCAGGATATAAATTAATAACTAAATTTATAAAATCACAGATACAAGTTTTGAGTTTCTTATGATGACTTTGGGTGGCATATTGCTTTCTTGCTGGTTTCATGCCATTTGTTTAGAATTAAACTTCCAGGGAGATACAAATGGACTAAATATTGCTGACTTTAAAAAATAATAATCTGAAAACACATGTATGCTAAACAGCATTTGGTGCTCAAAAGTCATTCCAGCTGCATTTTAATTGTAACTCTATGTTCATGCTTTTGTAATCTAACCTCCTTTGGAAGAATTGCAAGGTGGTTTTAAACACTTCCTAAATAGATCATAAGGAACATTTTTGAAATGATTTGCTCAGTGACCTCTTCTGTTCTTTCAGACATGTTTTGTAGCTGCCGTTAATGTGATTAGACAGCGCATGGATTTCTATGCCCTTATTCACGCCAGCTGGCTAATTTACCTGTTGAGCTGCCATCGGAGGAAGGCCATAGCTGAAGTCTGGCCCAAATACTGCTGCTTCCTTGCCAACATAGTGGCTTTTCAGTATCTGCTTTGCATTGGTCTCCCACCTGCTCTCTGCCGAGGTAAATAAATGATATTCTGGGTAGCAAGAGGGCAGATGCATTTGGGGAGAATACACCATGGTATTACTGAATAGCTTGAATGTAGGCTGTGCCATCCAGTGGCTTTCCAATGTTTTGCCTCTTGACAGCTCCCTTTGATTCAAATATGTCTGGACAGTAAGCCCATCAATTGGTTTAAAATGCTTTGTATAATGCAGATAATCTCTTTGCTGGCAGATTATCCATGGAGAACCTCCCATTGGCTGCTCCACTCAAATTTGATTAAGTGGCTGTATCTGCCTGATTTTGCCAAAAGTCCTGATGCAAATTTCCTCCTGTGTAAGTATACAAATCTCTTGATTTGATATCGTTGATCTCTTTAAAGGGAGAAAACATGGAATTTAATAATAATAATAATAATATTTTCTATGAAAATACCTGGAATATCCTAGGCCCTTGGGAAGAACTCAATATTCAGAGATGAATCCAGACACTTGGACCTAATGTGCATGTGTGCTGTGATGTTGTGTACAATTATTATTATTATTATTATTATTATTATAATTATATCTTTTTAGCATATATAATTAGTTGTCTCTTACGTTTACAGAAAGAAGCAGCTTCTACAGAATGAAACAATCCTTGTAGACAACAAGTTAAACATGAGCCAACAGTGTAATGCGACAGTTTAAAAAGTTAATGGGATTTTGGCCTGCTTAAATAGGTGTCTAGTGTCTAGATCTAGGGAAGTCATGCTCCCCATGCTCTATTCTGCCTTGGACAAAGTGGAATCACACTTTGTCCAATTCTGGGCACCGCCATTGAAGGGAGATGTTGACAAGCTGGAATGTGTCCAGAGGAAGGTGACTAAAATGATCAAGGGTCTGAGAACAAGCCCTATGAGGAGTGGCTGAAAGAGCTGGACATGTTTAGCCTGCGGGAGAGAAGACTGAGGGAAGACATGATGAGGGCCATGTATAAATATGTGAGAAGAAGTCATAAGGAGGAGGAGCAGCCTTGTTTTCTGCTGCCGTGGAGACGACGACATGGAACAATGGCTTCAAACTACAGGAAAGGAGGTTTCACCTGAACATTAGGAAGAACTTCCTAACTGTGAGAGCTGTTCAGCTGTGGAACTCTCTGTGGTGGAGGCTCCTTCTTTGGAGGCTTTTAAACAAAGGCTGGGTGACCATCACTTTGAATGCAGTTTTTCCTGCTTCTTGGCAGGGGTTTGCACTGAATTGTTTATGAGGTCTCTTACAACTCTATGATTCTATGATTTTGTATTTCAACAGTATTGCAGAAAAGTCAAAAAATCGAAATAACCCACAATTATTGTTTGTGTACAAGTCAAAACGTTTTAAAAATGGAAATGGGGCGGGGGGGGGGGGGAGATATAAAGCAATTATACTCTGGGAATCCAGAAAGTAATCTTTCTCTGTCTTAACTGAAGATGTTGGTGACTAATTCTAGATTGTCTGCCTGTGAAATACTTCTACATCACTTTTTTCTGCCTTCTCTCTTTTGGCAGATGACTTCCTGCTTCTGCTCTTTGCCTCCCTCCAATGGCAGGTGTTTGAGGATGAGAATAAACCTATTGTGAGGATGCAAGCTGGAGATAATGTAGAAATCAGCCGAGAGCTCGATCCGATGGACCTCAATGAGTACAGTCCAGTACCAAGCTTTATCCATTGCAGGTAAGAAACTAAAGGTGGGGAATAGGTTTGGGTGCATGTACTTTCCCCTTGCAATAGAGAGATTGGGTTTTGAGAACAGAAACATGTCTATCACAGGTTGAACATCCTTTATCTGGAATTACAAACAATTACAAATTATTAAAACCAGTATATATTAGAAACATATAAATATCGGTAAAGTAAGTTTGAATGTTTCTATGAGTTCTATTTGAAAAATGAATTTAAAATATTAAATCAGCCTGGGAAGGTACTGGGAGCAAAAGAAGGAGCTTCTTGGGGATCTTAAAGCTCAAACAGGCTCATATAGGGCAGTAGGATCCTTCAGAAAGGATCCTTCAAATAGCTTGGACCTCAGCTGTATGACACATGCTGCCAAATGAATTAATCTGGGTGACGAAGGATGCTTTCCAAAAAATGCCAACATATCACTATATTGCAGAAGTGGTAAAAGTCCCATCCCATAGCAGGAAAAAATGTGACAAAATATGAGTAAATAATAAAATAAAACTGCATTTTGGATGTTGTCTAGGAAAAACACAAACATAAGACTCAAGGAAAGCTGGATTGCCTTAAAACACTGACCAAAACACAGGATGATTCAACCACATAGGAGATTATATTTCTTAATCTATCTGGAGCCTATTATTGATCTCTGAGATGTTTCTATGGTAAAAGACAGCAATTAAGTAAATAAATAAATAAATAAAGTCAATTTATCACATCAAGAAGTAACAATTGATTCCGTTTTACTAAGTTCCTCGGCTGCCACATGCAAACTTTTGTTTGTTTATCCTTCCAATTATCTTCCTATTATTTCCTTCTGTACAGGTCTTACCTGGATTTGTTGAAAGTGTTTGTGTTCAGATATCACTTCTGGCTTGTCCTTTGTCTTATTTTTATGACTGGGACAACAAGGATTAACATTTTTTGCGTGGGCTATCTTGCGGCCTGTTTTTATTTCATGCTCTTTGGAGGAAGCCTTCAGCTGAGGCCAGTAAAAGATATCCTCAAACTATGGGACTATCTGATTGCATACACAGCTTTGGTCATAACAGTGAAGAACCTCCTTGCTGTATGTATTATTATTGTGGTATATATATTGTAAGGTGAGATTGAAATAGCATCCCTACAGTATCTTCCTAGGTGGGACACAAGGTTGGGATGGGAGGGAGGGAAATGGGGGCTACTACTAAACTATTAATTTTTCCTTCTCCTTTTGCCTGAAGATTGGAGCTTGTGCCTACCTTAATAAATTGCAAAGAAACCATTGTTGGTTGATTCATACATTTGGTATGTTCTGCACAATATCAGGATATAATGTCGGTAAGTTGTGTGTTTTTCTATTGCAGTGGCATGGGAGGTCTCACAGAGCCATGTGCAACAATTGCTGAGATATTTTACAGTGGAATAGGCTGCCTGGTGGTGGAGTTTCTCTTCATGGAGGTTTTCAGACAGAGGCTGGGTGGCCATGTGTCGGACGTGCTTAGAATGTGTATTCCTGCATGGCAGGGGAGTCCGACAAAATATACTTGTGGGCACTTCTGTTGGGGCTCAGCAGTAAGATGCTGGGGATTTCTCAGAGGACAAGGGGAATGATGGGTTTCCCACTGAGGAGTCTGTGTGTGATAAGTGCAGGCCTTAGATCAGAGAGAAATGCCAGCAGTTGCAGATGAGACAGAGTATGTTTGGGATTCCAATGTTCATTCTTTAGCAACTGGGGAAAAGTCTGTTTCTCTTGGGAATCAGCCTTCAGCAGATGGGGAATTTTCCCATGATATCAGAATAGGCCTCTGCATGGAGGGAGTGAAGGAAAGATTAATTAGACATTCAGAAAGACTCTGTGAGAAGTCCTTGAAACCCAGGTGTCAAAGGCATGACCTCATGGGTTCTTGGTCAGGCCTGAGCTTAAATGATGTTCACTTGGTGACTCCAGAACAGACAGTGTTGCCATAGATTCAAATTCCTGTTTCGGCTCTCAAGCTCATGATTCAAGTCTCCTGTGTTTGCCTATGTTCCTGTAAGAGTTTTGCTTTGGAAAAGTTCCTGTTTTCATGCCTATGATCTTGACTTCCTGGATTCCATGTACCTTGCTATTTTTGACTACTAATATTTTATAGCATCTTTCTACTGCTTTTTGGGAAATGCCCCCTTTCCCCTTTGTACATGCTTTTTAAAATAAACTACTGTAGTTAGCTACTACTGGACTCTGGTGTGGTGCTGGATGAAAAGGTGTTCCAAGGCTAGAGTGCAACAATTTCCATCTATAAGAATCTTTTTTTCATGTCTTTACTATCCCTTTTTTGGAATATATGCCACAAATTCGGGAGACTTCTTTTTTGTCACCAGAAAGAGAACTTCCCAGTGTGAGATCATAAAACTTAGTTATACAATGTTTCTTTTATGTAGCGGTGGCATCAAACATTTCCAAACAAATATGATTTTTGTATTGCTGCTTGTTTAAACACAAGAGATTATCTTGATTCCTGATTTCTTATATACCACATTACCCACCAATTCCCAAAGCACTTCATGTAAAAAAATTGCATTAACCCACATATATGCAGAGGTCAATCATGGCCTCCTTATTATTAGCATTAATGATACTGTATTATAATAATAAGAAAATATTATAATAGTGAGGTCAATTGCTTATGCACTAATCACTTGAAAAGTATGTTTTCATATTTTCCTGCTGTATAGATCCACCTGATGATGAGATATGTGAACTGCCCGAGAAGGATGCAGGGATCAGTTGGGATGCAATATGCTTTATGTTTCTGCTGATCCAGCGTCGGATTTTCACAAGCTACTATTACCTCTATATTGTAGCAGATCTCAAGGCTGCTAAGATCTTAGCTTCCAGGTACATACAATGTGTGTCAATCATTCAAATGATTACATCTAAAAAGATTTCACTCATTGTTTCAGGGGTGAGGAGAAGCTGTAGCACAGGCTAAGTTCATAGACTCCAACTAGTAAGCAGAATATGCCAGAGAAATATGCAGCCTGGTTGGACATGGTCTGACTGCTGGTCCATCACTGTGAGGACTATAATTGTTTAGGTCTTGCAGATTAATAGCTGAAGGTGGTTGCTTCTGCTTCCTTGTGACTAGATCCTAGTTTACTGAAATAACATTATCTCTGTGTGAAGCAATCAGTGGATCATGCGAGTGAAGTAGTTGCTTCTTCCATATCATTCTACATGATCTCTTCATTTCGATAGATGTCCCAGAAGCAGAGTACTTGCAAAATAATGCCTATACCAGGCATGGGCAAACTCTCCAGGTGTTTTGGACTCCAACTCCCACAATTCCTAACAGTCTACCAGCAGTTAGGAATTGTGGAAGTTGAACTCCAAGACACCTTGAGGTCCGAAGTTTACCCATGCCTGGTCTATAATAGGCATGAGCCTGATACTAGACACAGAGAAGGAAGTTGCACTCCCATCACAAAGTCAAGACAAAAAATGCTTAAAGTTAGACATGCTAGTTTGGCTGTTAATACAGAACATCTGCTGGCAGTAAAAAAGCGGTAAGAATAATAAACAATTGGCTTCCCTTTCATGACACCCTTTCTAAGACCCGTCGCAAACTAGGTTCCTGCGGGAGAAAACCTTGCTAGCACGTCCCTGACGTCATGAGCCTGCGCCTCTCTCCCCGCCCCTTTCTCCGCCCCTTTCTCTTTGCCAGCGTGGTTTTTCCTTTGCTAGGGCAGCATTGCCCGCATTTTCTCTCAGTTGAATTCTGCCAACTGAGAGAGTACGCTGGCAATGCTGCCCTAGCAAAGGAAAAACCACTCTCGCACGGAGAAAGAGGCGGGGTGAGAGGCGGAGTCTCGTGACGTCAGGGACGTGCTAGCAAGGTTTTCTCCCGCAGGAACCTAGTTTGCGACGGGTCTAATGATACTCCTACTTTTTTCTTCCCTATTTGATTACAAACAGGTAAGAAAAACTAGTATATAATTTGTCTTTACTATTATTTTTATGATTATAGTCATCAGTAGGACAAATCTAGATTTCACCTAATATCTATCAGCCTTCAACGCATTTGATTTTAGGATCTTTGGTTTCCTGGGGTGTTGCAATAATAGGAATTCTCCCCCTGCCCCCATTTTCCAAATGTGATAAAACTTAAAGTGGTCGTATAACAAGGAATGTTTTTTTTTTGTTGTTGTGTCAGGAGCGACTTGAGAAATTGCAAGTCGTTTCTGGTGTGAGAGAATTGGCCATCTGCAAGGATGTTGCCCATGGGATGCCAGGATGTTTTTATCTTTTACCATCCTTGTGGGAGGCTTCTCTCATGTCCCCGCATAAGGAGCTAGAGCTGACAGAGGGAGCTCATCTGTGCTCTCTCCGGATTTGAACCTGCGACCTGTGGGTCTTCAGTCCTGCCGGCACAGGGGTTTAACCCTCTGTGCCACCAGGATTTCTCTAATAAAATAAATGGTCTTATCTATGAAATAATCTGTTTGCTTACTTCATGGTCCTTAAAAAAGGCCCCACTGATTTTTGTAACATTTTATTTATTCAAATACAATAAACTAATCAGTTGTAGACTGTTGATAGGTTCATGTTTTGAATAGTTTGGTAGTCCTACACTGTGACAATTTGCAATGGCAGAATGCAACATGTCACAAACGAATTGAATGGATCCTTTAAATACATGGCAACTGATAACAGGGAAGGCTCTTAACTTCTGTCCCTTCACAGAGGAGCACACCTATTTGAAGTAAAACTGAAGAAAACGGTGGATCTCAGGATTGAAGAAGAGAGAAAATCAATGGAAACTATGAAGAGGCAGTAAGTTCTCTCTTTTATTCATAGGACTATACAGCAATTCACTCAGAAGTAAGGAAGGTGAGTGTTTGCAATACATTCCCCATTGTACTATGCAGAACAAACATTGGGATGAACATTAATAGCAAGAGTGACAGGGAGGTTTGCTGATGAAGATTGTACTTTTCTGATCTGGAAGTATGTTTATCTGGTATACCGTAATGCCAACCAGTCTTTAATATTATATTTCCAGACAAAGGCTGGTTATTAGGAAGATGCAGCTCTCTTGTTAAAACAGCTGCACTAGCTACTGGCCTGTTTCCATGCACAATTTATAATTCAGATTATAACCTATAAAGGCCTATACACCCTAGGTTTAGGCTGTCAGATTATACTTTCTTATGTGATCTTTCCACTCTGAGATCTTCTGAGGAGGCCCTTCTCCTATTCACTTTCATCTTCAAAGTCTTGTCTGTTGGGAACTCAGGGGAAGGCCTTCTCCGTGGCTGCTCACAGGCTTGGAAACAGCCTCCCTATTGTCATTCCTCTTGAGGATGAAGTGTTTTCCATTCTAAAAAACTTTTAAAAAGTAATTGCAATGGTTTTAAGAGCATGGCATTCTATTAATTTTGTTTTACATTATTTTAATTCTGCAGATAATTTAATCACATGCTAGTCCCATTTTAATTTATGCATCTGTATTGTTTTTACTGTATTTGTTTAGTTTTTCTCAGCCACCATGAGCCCTGGATTTGAGTCCCCCACCAGGGTGAGAAAAGCGGTATACAAGTGAAGTAAATAAATAGATTCGAGGAAAAAAGCAGGATATGTGTGAATACATCTAATTTGTGAAGAAACTGGAATGAGGATTTAAAAGTACATGGGAAGTTCTTTGTATGAAAGATAACATGTGTTCTGTCTGAACCTGTAGAATGGACTTGATGAAGCCAAAGCAGAAAAAGGTTAACGGCTTGGAGAAAAGAGCAACAGAAACAGAAACTATGCGAGAATTTGAAAGAGAGAAAGATTCTGGTAAAAAAAAACAATATTATTTTAAAATTATATATCCAGCGAATGCAACCTCATTTCTTGGATAATTATGTATAATTATGATTCACTATTCCATGGTAACCCCTTGCATTCAGGGAACTAGGAATTCACTCTTTGTGTGAGTTTGGATTATAAATTATTCACAAAAGTACCTGTACAGATAGCATGAATATCTATGTGAGTCTATCCAGTTTTTCAAGTGTGTAGTTCCTTGCATAGGTACAACTAGCATTGTACTAGGTTGGACCTGGCAGAATTTAGATAGTTATACAAGATACTTGAATGCCTTCTTCCTGGCTCGACTAGAATAGAGTATCTCTGGACAGTGGGCTGCTGTTGATATCTTTCATTATTTACTCCTTGCTCACTTCGTTTTGAAAAGTTTTTTTTTCTTGTACCTTTTGCAGAAGATGATGGTAGCAAGAAAGAAAATGAAGGCAAGAAGACATGGTGGCAGCCCTGGGTGACTCACACAACAAGTACTTTTCCTATATTTACAACGCCTATAGAACTTCTGTCTCCCTTGGTTTGGCAAATGTGTTTTGCTATGTAATGCTCTATACTTCAGAATCTCGAAGAATGGATTACTTAGATCAATTGATTAGACTTTTTGATTTATCTGACACATGTCCCTAATTAACTGGGCAGCACTGGATATTAAAATCCATGTGATTTTTATTGCAAGGGACTTAAAAAGCATTGAATGATTGAAACATGGATTTCCTCCCACTGTTTAGGTACAAGTTTTGGCTGAATAGGCTTAGTGGTTATGTTAGTAATTTCAAATTTGAAACCAGGTCTTGTAAAATGATGTACAGTAGAGAGTGTGAGTTTTGCGCATGTGGGATGATGGACTTCCAAAAGAGTGTTTTGCGTTCTTAGCCATGCCGATTTTCCAACATTGATTTCAGTGATTCGAGGTGGGAACTACTGCCTTTTTGAGACAGATAGTGAGGAGGAAGAAGAGGAAGAACGAGTTGCTGAAAGAAAGGAAGAAGACGCCCTGAAGAAGAAGAGAACAGCATTTCAGGTGCAGCATTTGTTCATGTGTAATGTGTGCATGTTCTAATTCAGGAACCAAGCAAAAAACTTATTAAAGTCACCCAAAGTTTTTAGCAGTAGAATCCTCTGTAATCTGCTTATACATAAATGGCATTGTGTATAGCAGCTTCCCCCAATATGGATGCACTACAGATATTTTGGACTAAAGTTCCTCTTATCCCTTGACCACAACCTCTGCAAGGAGAGGCCAATGACTACTCTAGTCCTATTCCTCTCAAGGTCACAAGTCTTGGAAATGTTGGTGTATGTATCATGAAAGCTAACTATGGTGTGGCATATCTGCAAGGTGCAAGCCAAGTGCTATGAGGATTGATTGAAACACTGTGAGGATTGTTGGGGCTGAAAAATTGAAAAGAGGACTGCTGTCCTCAATGATCTGAAGAATCCTAGAATCCTAGAATCATAGAGTTGGAAGAGACCTCGTGGGTAATCCAGTCCAACCCCCTGCCAAGAAACAGGAATATTGCATTCAAAGTACCCCTGACAGATGGCCATCCAGCCTCTGTTTAAAAGCCTCCAAAGAAGGAGCCTCCACCACACTCCAGGTCAGAGAGTTCCACTGCTGAACTCTCTGCCCTGGAGAGTGGTGGAGGCTCCACACTACTGTCTACTGTCATGTAGAAGATGGAGTGATCAGTACATGTATATATTTTTATTTCTTCCCAAAGGTATAGATCCCTACTATAAACCAGTTAGAAGTTACCTCCAAAATTGACACTATTATTGAATAACAGTCTTCTCTCTATTCAGCTTGCATATGAAGCCTGGATAACAAGTTCAAAATCAGCTCTAAAAATGAGAGAGCAAGATGAAATCAGAGCGCAAAAGAAAAAAGAGGAAGACAAGGAGGAAGAGAAGCAGAGTCAATTGAAAGGTATGTAGACACCTTATATACAATTACTGTCACACTATTAATGCCATACAGATGTGGCATTAACCTTACATCTGCAAATGTCTAAGTATATTCCCTTCCCCCTTCAGTAGCAACCTCTCCTCACCATAGGGCTGCTGAAGCTCTCCTCCCAGACATGCCTGTGGAGAGCAGGAAAGATCGCAGAGCCATCTGGCTATGTCCCTGTAGCCAGACGTGAAATGATCACATCAGCCACTACAACCTTTGGAAGACCATCAAGGACTTCAGTACATGATGTAATTACAGGCAGTCCCAGAGTTACAAACATCCAACTTACAAACAACTCATAGTTAAGAACAGGATGAGACAACAGGAAGTGAGAGAAATGTACCCCTCGGAAAGGAAATTCACTCCTGAAAAAGTTATCACCGGGAAAGGGTGCCTCAGCTGAAGTTTTCTTACCAACCCTTGTTTCCACAACAAGCCAAAATTTTCAAACTCCAATTATAACAGGGACAGAAAGTGAGGTGAAGTCTTTGGGTCCTGTGAGGGAGAAAAGAGGAATATAAATAAAGATTAATAATAATAATAATAATAATAATAATAATAATAATAATAATTCTGAACAGGGGCACAGGCACCAAAACAGACACCACAGGGCTGTTAAACGTATGCTACCCAAAGCTGATAGATAGATAGATAGATAGATAGATAGATAGATAGATAGATAGACTGGAGTTATACTTAAAAATGTACCTATTCTGACTTACATACACATTCAAATTAAGAACAAACCTAAGGAACCTGTCTTGTTTGTAACTTGGGGACTGCCTGTACTTTACTATGGGGATGTAGTCAGATACTTCTCTTATCTGCTATTGTATTCCCCAAGCACTGAATGGCAATGATGGGAGCCTTCAGTTTTATGGTAGGTCTGGATAGTGGCAGTAAGTGGGTCAGCATGGCATAGTTCTGCATATGGAGCTGTTATGCTGTGCTAAGTGATGCCGAATTGCAGCCATTATGTAGTACCATATCAAAATGGAAGTAAAGATCACATGTTTTAATAATTCACCATTTAAGTAGCATCAGACACTCTCCATATGGAAAGTATGAATCCACTTTATCACTAAGCATCACCTTGTACCTTTTTCAATACAATTCCAGTTGCAAAATTAGGATCCTCGTATAATTTCAGAGCAGATACAGGGTTGGGTTCATAATTCTGGAATACTTCAAATGTTTTATTCTGGTGTCCTTTATCCACGAAGAAGCAGAAACCAATGAAGACAATTTGGAGGCATCACACACTGGGGAAGAACTAGATGAACCAGGTGATTAATTCCACTATTTGAAAATCTATGTATGAAATTCTTAATAAACAATTTTTAGTATCAGTTGTGGCCTCAGAAGAACCTTTACAGTGGTGCAAGGAGCTCTGCGTACATCCCTACAAAAAAGAGTAATTCATCTATACCACTGCATGTAGGATACGATGCTCAGAAAAGGTCTTGCTCAAGATTAAGACAGTCGTATTTTTTTACAAAGTCCTCTGTTAAAAAGCATCCACTATTAATTACATTTTGATCATCTAGTATGTCTTTAACTGAAACAGCTTAATGTAGTTGATTGTCCTAACTACCCTGAATCTGTTGCATTTTTTAAAGTCTGGACTTACCCTTTGGCCGTGGATCTAGTAGACGTATTGGTACTAGCATAATTCTACATGGTTTTTAGAAATTTAAAAAAGTTTTTAGAAACTAAAGCGAAAGCTTCAGCAAAAAGGGGCTTTATTTTTGATGATCTGAGAAGTACAGGTTTGCAGAGGGCAAAAGAAAAACAAGCTTCCACAACCAAACAAACTGTCCCTAATCTTGGGTGAAGGATTAATGCATCCCTCATGGGATCAGAATGAAGGAGGCCCAGGATATCCCAAATATGCATGCATAAAGCTTTGGCATCCTATTAAAAAGGCTATTTGGTTATTTTAGTTGAGCCCTTAGCTATTCTTATACAATGTATTGTCGAAGGCTTTCATGGCTGGAATCACTAGGTTCTTGTGGGTTTTTTCGGGCTATAGAGCCATGTTCTAGAGGCATTTCTCCTGACGTTTCGCCTGCATCTATGGCAAGCATCCTCAGAGGTTGAGAAGGTTTGAGGGAGCTGCTGTTCTGCTGGGGCTGGGGCTGCGGGGCCGGCTGGTGCTGCTGCTGAGGATTCTGCTGCTGCTGCTGGTGTTGCTGCTGGGGCAGGGGCTGCTCGGCCAAGGCCTGCTGGAGGCGCACCCGCTTGCAGGAGTAGTATTCTTATACATATCACACTTCTCTTCTTAGTAGAAACTATCGTGCAAAGAGTAATCAACATTGTCAAGTTTATCTGGGTCTTTATCCAAGCATTGTTGGATGATACCACGGAAGCACTGAATTCCCTGTGTAAAGGCGATCTGGACATAGCAAATGTGCTGAGAACGGAAAAGTGTGTACTTTGGCGAGAGATTAACAAGGTGAGGTGTGTTTCATTTTGTGAAGTTTCACACTATTGAAGAACAGGTAGTAGCTTGATCTGGTTTGAAGAACAGATGTTGGATTCCATCCTTAAAGTCACAGTATTTAAGATTACCCACTAAATTAAATATCCTTATTCATAATTGGGTAGGAATGTCCCAACCTTAAGGGGTTCCCATCTCACTTCTGAAAATGTACATCTAGTATTGTTAGACTAGACTAGACCTAGTGGATGAATGGAACTTATGTATTTTATTTATTTGGAGTGCTTCTACCCTGTCCTTCTCAACTCCCTAGGGGGTGCTCAGGGCGGCTTACAAAAGGCACAATTTGATGCCCAACAATTCACAAAATACAATATACAATTTACAATATAACGACGACAGTTATAACTAATTAAAACAGTCAAATTAAGAGTTGACTTATCAGTTTCCCATTGATCCACTGGTCTTAGCTTGAAATTAAAAACTGACTCCAAGCTCCAACAGTTCACCCTAGCTCTTTCTACAATATTTTATTCAACTCACTTAATTGCATTCTCTGGTTTTTACTTTAAGGGGAAAGAAGCCTCAGCAGACACTGTTCTTCAGTATTATAACTTCAAGGAAAGCCAGTCACAGTATGGAGAAAGTAAGACTGAAATGACAGAAATGAAAGGCAATATATTCAAGTACCCACTTGAAGAGAACACTGAGCCCTCATATAGGCATCTTAGGTGAGCAAGAATTGTTTGTAGCAAGTTAGAAAGACACACCATTCTCTCCCATCTCCTGCAAAGATTTTTACCTGTGTGAATGAAAACATCATTATGTGCTTTCCAGCCAAGGAAATTGAAGGTGAGAAATTCTTGGTTCTCCAGGTGTTTTGGATTTCAATTTCCAGAACTGTCATTCCTCATAACTAATGCTGAAGGATTGTAGAATGCACAGTCCAAAACATCAGGAAGACCAAATGTTCACCACTTCTCCTGCTGTTGATTAGATGAACGAAATGGAAGGATGTCTGTCTCAGCTACAGAATGATTGTTGATAAATCAGGAATGTCTTTCAGATGGTGTCAGACTCCCATCAACTCCAGCCAGTGTGAACTATGTAATCCAACAATGTTGTGAGCAGCAAACATCTCCCGCTTCTGGTTTAAACATTCCTTTGATGAAAGAAGGCCATCATATGAGAAATAATGTTCCAAACTACAAGTATTAATTTAGCCAAACATTTTACAGATGTTTTGTTTTTGTCCCTTTGGATAATAGGAGCTCAAGAAGAGCTGTCAGAGGTGCTTCTGGAAGCGAGAAGGGAGAAGAAGTGAGCCCTGTAAGACCTTCACCCCACAGCTTAATGCCAGACTCTTCGTGTGCAGAATCTCCCAGTCTGAGGATGTCTTCATCAGACATGGAAGAGCCAACAAATTTCCCATTTACTAGAGATAAAGAAGCAGGCTGGCCTCTGAACAAAGTTCCTGCTGTGATGACAGCCAGTGAACTGCTTCTGATTAGGCAAGGATTAAGATTATCTGTTTAGATGGTGTTGCCAAGTATTATTGCTTCTGAAGAGTTGAACACTCAGGTGGTTAACGCATAAATCCTGAAGTCAGCATACAAAGGAGTTGGTCTCTAACTATTTATTCCAACACATTATCTATGCACCATCAAGTCAGAAAAAACTTAGTGGTAGACCGTGAGTGTTTCCATCTCACTCCGTGAACTGACTGAAGCATATTGAATTTCTGTAATTCTCTGATAACCTGTTGTTGGAAAGGAGTTTTTATGCTCATGTCCTAGCTTTGGGCTTCCTCCAGGCACGTGAATTGCCACTGTAGAAACAGAAAGCTATTTTAACATATATATTTTTTTTCAAAATTGTCACCATGGCATTATTTTTAATAAGTTATAAGCAGTTTCAACAGGTACTAATATTAGGACTTACAGTTAATAAGTAATGTAGTAATATAGTAATATAGCCTAAATAAAGTCTAGCCTGAGTTTGTGGGCTGTCAAATATAGTTGGTTCTTGGTATCAACTGGGATTTAGTTCTGGTCCACCATTGGATATGAAAATCTGTGAATGCTAACGTCCAATTGTACACAAATACAGAATGAAAAGGGCCCCCGGTGGCGCAGTGGGTTAAAGCACTGAGCTGCTGAGCTTGTTGACCAAAAGGTCACAGGTTCAATTCCAGGGAGCGGCGTGAGCTTCCGCTGTCAGCCCTAGCTTCTGCCAACCTAGCAGTTTGAAAACATGCAAATGTGAGTAGATCAATAGGTACTGCTCCGGCGGGAAGGTAATGGCGCTCCATGCGGTCATGCTGGCCACATGACCTTGGAGTTGTCTATGGACAACGCTGGCTTTTCAGCTTAGAAATGGAGATGAGCACCACACTCCAGAGTCAGACGTGACTGGACTTAATGTCAGGGGACAACCTTTACCTTACAGAATGAAAAAACATCCCTTATATAAAATGGCAAAATCAAGAGTTGTGCTGGCAGATACTACATAGATACTACTACGCCTTACAAAACTCTGCCCTAGATGTGTTGATAATTGTGTGCTTAGTTATTTTTGACAACTTATTTCATTACATCCTGAATTATAATCCTGTCTGAATTAATTTATGTATGCAGCTAATTCAAGAATGAAGAATCTAGTAGCTATACTGAAAATGGTTAATCCACATTTGTTTTTCCTTTTATTGGGGTCCAGGACTTTTCATGACAATGAACTGGAGCAGTCGGATAAATTTTACCAGCGTCTTCCCCGCCTCTTGAAGCTGGGAATTGCTTTGTACAACACCATGGAGTCTAAATCGGAAATGCTGTGTTATTTTGTGATCATTCTAAATCACATGGTATCTGCTTCCATCCTCACTTTGGTTCTTCCTATATTGATATTTCTGTGGGCAATGTTGTCCATTCCAAGGCCTACAAAGTTCTTTTGGATGACCGCCATCATTTACACTGAGGTGCGTGTTTTCAACAGATACCCCCTTTATGGCCAAACTCCATAGAGAGGTGTCAAGTCTCAAACCACTTCAGCAATGATAATTTGTAGATCATTTCAATCACAAACAATATTTTTTTATCATTTTTTTTCACTTGACAGAATATATTTCTAACAGAATATAATTCACAGTTTTCTGTTCCTTGACTTTTAAATCATTAATAAATTATGGGAGAGACTGATACGGTATATCTACTAAATGCTTTAGGTTTTTTAACAATCTGCCATTACCTTGCAGTATCTTGATATGTGTCTAATTTTAGCAGTTTTGTTTGTGTTACTTAGATGTGTTTTTTTACGGTAACTTTTCACTTGCACTGTGCTGCCCATTGCTTGCAGAATCCCAATATGAAAATAATATGTCTATTGTCCATCTGTAGACCTAAATTCAGTTCTTAGTCCCAACTAGGACAGAAGTACTGAAATAATAGAATTTGCACAAGTGTTGATTTACTATCACCATTTAATAAATTATCAGCAGGTCTACTGCAGTTGGGACAAGAAATTGTACATAGACCACATATTCTGAAAAATTATCATAACGATTTTTTAAAAACCCATATAATCGAAAACTGCTGTGAGCCCAGTGTGCTTAGAAATGTCTCTGTGAATCCAGTTTCTTTTGGAATAATTTCTTTAATTTAGGATGCATATTTCCTTTCCCTAATAGATAACAGTTGTGGTGAAGTGTTTTTCCCAGTTTGGATTCTTTCCTTGGACCACTAAGATATATTGTGCCCTCAATGCCGAAGAGCCGTTTGTTTTGCCAAATATTGCTGGAATCGAGAAGAAGGATGGCTATGTACATTATGATCTGGTACAGCTACTGGCTTTGTTCTTCCATAGGTATATCTTGAAGGTACTGTGATTTATTCTGTTTGAAGAAATGATTAAGAGCTGTTTGAGAACATGGATGAATAAATACTTTATGGAGTATATACAAACTTTAGGCTATAAAAATGTGGGTTGAAGCAGACTATCTAATCCAGAATACTGTTCACAATATTATCACCATCCAGATGTCTGTGGAAAGCCAACAAAGAGGCATAAATGCAAAAGTAACAGATAGACAGACAATCCATCTTTAGAGGTGACCATCATGAGAAGAAGCCACTAGTGGCTTTAATCTCCATGAAATAGTCGAATCACATTTCTGAGCTATCCAGATTGTTGACCATGAGTCTTCCTGTCACAGACAATTGCAGTTTAATTGCGAGCAGTACATCCTTTCATCTGTACTGGCTCTCCCACCATTGATCCCAGTTTCCAATGTCACATTTATAAAAGATGAAACCTTATTTACGTTCTTCACACTATGGTTATACACTTCTATTGCATCTTACCTTATTTTCTACCTTAAGCGAAACCTCCCCTCAAATGTTGTAATGTTTCCTCATATTAAATTTGCTTCAACACCATGATATATGGGTTGCCTTTTTCTGCACCTTCTTCAGCTTTATATGTCCATCATCATTATATAGTGATCAAGACAGTAAAATATGGGGCCTACTAGCTGAAGGCACCAATGACAAACAACTTCTTTGGGGATCTATATGTGCTTGGTGAAAATTTCAAGCATAACTTTTCTGTTTCATTTATTGTCTCCTGCTTCTGAAAACACACTTGTCGTATTGTTTTATTGACATACACAATGATTTTCAGGGCTATGGACTATGGGATTCTAAAGGTGTCAACATACTGAACACCAAGGAAAAGAGTGGGATGGAGAGACCAAAGAAGAAAGGGCACAGAGACCGTCTGAAGGAAGGTCAGCCTGGAACAGTAGCACAGCACCTTTCGAGATCTCAAGGTCTCTCAAGGAATATATTCAGAAGGGCTAATGAAGGTAAATGGACGTATTGAGGGGCTACGTGCATATCCCCCTGCCTTAACAGGGTATATAGGAGGGCATATGGGGTGATACCTGGGGATATACCTTCTCAGTCCTTTTCAGATCTGGAGCTTCTCAGTCCTTTTCAGATCTGGAGGGAAAAAGATGGGCATATGTATATATTATTTATATTTGTTGTTGTCATCTTTCTTTTACTTTTTAACCATCACCCCCTTGTTATTTGCTTGTGTTGTGGGCGTTGATTTGTTTACACTTCTTTTTTTAAAATGAAAACTTCCTGTCTCCATTAAATGGTTATGGAGTCAGCAATTGGAGGGGGGCATCCAGGGTAAACATTGGCACAAGAGCTTCCATTTTAATATTACACTGGGGTCAGTGAAATTATGCCTGAAGGACTGCCAGTAGATTTTATGCCTGTGTGGGTGGCGGATGAGGTCTCATGTGTTCAGCAAGTGGACCCCACATGAGTTAGTAAGAGCTTACGAAGTGGAATTCCTTTTATGAAATAAATACTTCTCAGAGCTGTGAGTTTGTTTTTCTTTTTGGCAGACAAAGCCCTAAAAGAGGCCAAGAAGAAATGGAGCTGGTTCAGGAAAAAAACCACGGGCAGGAAGAGACTTACCAAGGAAACATTATACCAGCAGATACTAAAGGCAAAGAAGTTGGTGATTAAAATGTAAATGGGGTATATTTTAAGGAATATTTTGAGTATCTATAAAGAAAATGAAATGTTGGAACTTGAACAACCAGGCAGTCAAGGGTTGGGGGGGCAGGGTATGACGGCTAGTAGGAAATGGGAATGGAACATAGACTTCATTCGCATTGTAATGCTGTCTTGTTCTCTCTGTCTGCATATTTGTAGTCACCAGATAAGGAAAAAAAATATAGTTGAATATCATAATGGCTGGTTAGGTTATTTATTTGTTTAACAGTTGTATTGCATTAAAAAACAAACAAACAAACAAACAAAACACAAAGTTTGCAGACTTGGTATTCTATTAAATGTCCTTTGACCAGTAGCTGACCACTTGGAGTGTCTTTGGTTTTGCTGCAAGAAGGTCCTACATTGTGCATGTGGCAGGGCTCAGGTTGCAATGCAGTAGGTGGTCTGTGGTCTGTTGTTTGCTCTTCTCCACACTTGCATGTCGTGGATTCCACTTTGTAGCCCCATTTCTTAAGGTTGGCTCTGCATCTCATGGTGCCAGAGTGCAGTCTGTTCAGCGCCTTCCAAGTCACCCAGTTTTCTGTGTGCCCAGGGGGGAGTCTCTCATTTGGTATCAGCCATTGATTGAGGTTCTGGGTTTGAGCCTGCCACTTTTGGACTCTCGCTTGCTGAGGTGTTCCAGCGAGTGTCTCTGTAGATTTTAGAAAACTATTTCTTGATTTCGTTGGCGTGCTGGCTGATACGGTTATGTGAAATATGGATTGAAGCCACTGACGAAGCTAAAGCAAAGGCTAGCAGGAGAAGCCATAGCTCTGAGCACATATTTTACATGTGGAAGGTCCCAAATTCAGTCTCTGTCAGGGCTACTGAGACCTCTCCCTCAAACATCCATTACCCATCACTATAGGCAACTCTGGATTTTAAGTCAGCATCATTTCCTTTATAAACACAAACAAAATTTGATCATGTCTGCTGACAACTGGAAAGTTTTGCTTACAGAGATCAGATGTTGCTGAAGTTATCTGCTTTGGTATATGTGCATTGCTTTCCCCAGAACTTCCTTTCTGGTTCAGAATGTGGTCAGCATTCAGCAGATGCCTAAAGCCAGTATCTGGACCATGCAGATTAAGACTTTGTAAAGGCAGTCTTGGATCATGCAGCAATAAAAGAAATCTTACAGTTTAATTCCTTAATCTAACCTTCTCTGATCAGTTGTCCTCCATATATGATAGACAACAACACCCTTCTGTCCCAGTTAGCATGGCAGTGATGGCTAAAATGTTGGAAATTATAATCCAGCAGATCTGGAGGACAGCAAGTTGAGAAAGACTACCTTAATAAAACATGCAAGCACAGACATGCCCTTACGTGACTACGAACCAAATCAGATGATAGCATTACATCTGATCCCCCCCCCCTTAACGATCTGTGTAATTGAAATGAAAACTTCCTGTCTCCATTAAATGGTTATGGAGTCAGCAATTGGAGGGGGGCATCCAGGGTAAACATTGGCACAAGAGCTTCCATTTTAATATTACACTGGGGTCAGTGAAATTATGCCTGAAGGACTGCCAGTAGATTTTATGCCTGTGTGGGTGGCGGATGAGGTCTCATGTGTTCAGCAAGTGGACCCCACATGAGTTAGTAAGAGCTTACGAAGTGGAATTCCTTTTATGAAATAAATACTTCTCAGAGCTGTGAGTTTGTTTTTCTTTTTGGCAGACAAAGCCCTAAAAGAGGCCAAGAAGAAATGGAGCTGGTTCAGGAAAAAAACCACGGGCAGGAAGAGACTTACCAAGGAAACATTATACCAGCAGATACTAAAGGCAAAGAAGTTGGTGATTAAAATGTAAATGGGGTATATTTTAAGGAATATTTTGAGTATCTATAAAGAAAATGAAATGTTGGAACTTGAACAACCAGGCAGTCAAGGGTTGGGGGGGCAGGGTATGACGGCTAGTAGGAAATGGGAATGGAACATAGACTTCATTCGCATTGTAATGCTGTCTTGTTCTCTCTGTCTGCATATTTGTAGTCACCAGATAAGGAAAAAAAATATAGTTGAATATCATAATGGCTGGTTAGGTTATTTATTTGTTTAACAGTTGTATTGCATTAAAAAACAAACAAACAAACAAACAAAACACAAAGTTTGCAGACTTGGTATTCTATTAAATGTCCTTTGACCAGTAGCTGACCACTTGGAGTGTCTTTGGTTTTGCTGCAAGAAGGTCCTACATTGTGCATGTGGCAGGGCTCAGGTTGCAATGCAGTAGGTGGTCTGTGGTCTGTTGTTTGCTCTTCTCCACACTTGCATGTCGTGGATTCCACTTTGTAGCCCCATTTCTTAAGGTTAGCTCTGCATCTCATGGTGCCAGAGTGCAGTCTGTTCAGCGCCTTCCAAGTCACCCAGTTTTCTGTGTGCCCAGGAGGGAGTCTCTCATTTGGTATCAGCCATTGATTGAGGTTCTGTGTTTGAGCCTGTCACTTTTGGACTCTCGCTTGCTGAGGTGTTCCAGCGAGTGTCTCTGTAGATTTTAGAAAACTATTTCTTGATTTCGTTGGCGTGCTGGCTGATACGGTTATGTGAAATATGGATTGAAGCCACTGACGAAGCTAAAGCAAAGGCTAGCAGGAGAAGCCATAGCTCTGAGCACATATTTTACATGTGGAAGGTCCCAAATTCAGTCTCTGTCAGGGCTACTGAGACCTCTCCCTCAAACATCCATTACCCATCACTATAGGCAACTCTGGATTTTAAGTCAGCATCATTTCCTTTATAAACACAAACAAAATTTGATCATGTCTGCTGACAACTGGAAAGTTTTGCTTACAGAGATCAGATGTTGCTGAAGTTATCTGCTTTGGTATATGTGCATTGCTTTCCCCAGAACTTCCTTTCTGGTTCAGAATGTGGTTAGCATTCAGCAGATGCCTAAAGCCAGTATCTGGACCATGCAGATTAAGACTTTGTAAAGGCAGTCTTGGATCATGCAGCAATAAAAGAAATCTTACAGTTTAATTCCTTAATCTAACCTTCTCTGATCAGTTGTCCTCCATATATGATAGACAACAACACCCTTCTGTCCCAGTTAGCATGGCAGTGATGGCTAAAATGTTGGAAATTATAATCCAGCAGATCTGGAGGACAGCAAGTTGAGAAAGACTACCTTAATAAAACATGCAAGCACAGACATGCCCTTACGTGACTACGAACCAAATCAGATGATAGCATTACATCTGATCCCCCCCCCCTTAACGATCTGTGTAATTGGAATAATAGCCTCTTTGGGAATCATGACAATCACATGATCTAAACCTCTATGCTCCTGGCATCCCTATCTTGATGCCTTTTCCCTTGCCTTGGTTTTTACTTGGCAGGGGAGCTATCTAAACACATCTGCTTAATGCACACATTTCATATTACATATAGTTTGGTTCTCAGGTGACAGTGGTTTGTATATTTAAAAAACGAGGAAGCAAACATAAAAGGATTTTAAATGATTGACAGTTTTCTCTTAAGAACATTTGGGTCTCAAGTAGCCTTCTCTCCAACCTGATGCCATGCAGATGTTTTGGGTTACAAACCCTGTGATCTCTGACCATTGGTCATGTTGACTGAGCTGATAGGTATTGGACTCTAGAACATCTCAAAGCGGGTACTATATTCAGGAGGTCATAAACAATCATGACCTCCTGAATGTATAGCACCTTTACACAGTTATAGCCCTTTTAATGCCATTGCCCTATCCTATAGAATTCTAGGCTTGGCAGTTTCATGATGGGATTTAAACATTTCACAAACCAAACATTCTTGATGCATAACTTCAGGCAAGCAAGTTATTCTTCTACAAATAGTCTCTGTTTTTCAGTTTGACTCACCTGGATTATTTTTACCTACAGTGCTCTGCAGATCTACCGGCCTATCAAACAATTCTTTTATGACATTATTCACCCTGAATGCAGTCCAATCTGCGATGTTTATGCCATCATGTTCCTAGTTGATGTGATTAACTTCATTATTGTCATATTTGGCTACTGGGCCTTTGGTGTAAGTAGAAGCATGCATTGTTTTTTTCCTTGGATATTTCGATTTCTGTTTCAGTTATGTCTGCAAATGTAAACAATGTGTTGTAAGTTTTTTGGGCTGTATGGGCATGTTCCAGAAGCATTATCTCCTGACGTTTCACCTGCATCTATGGCAGACATCTTCAGAGGTTGTGAGGTCCTCACAACCTCTGAGAATGCCTGCAATAGATGCAGGCAAAACGTCAGGAGAGAATGCTTCTGGAACGTGGCCATACAGCCCGAAAAACCTACAACAATCCAGTGACTGCGGCCATGAAAACCTTCGACAATACAATGTAAACAATCATAAAATGGGTCTCAGAGATTTTTCAAATCAATGAAACCTATATGGAACTCACTGATATCAACTTTTGAGTTTCAATATAATTAAAGCATCAGCTGTAGCTTTGTAGTGTTGATATATCCAAGTACTCTGATTTGAAACCTTAGGTTGTGCCTGTTCTTTATCTCTGGATTAAATTAATCTGATTTTTCAATCTAGCTTCCAATTTATTTCAGAAACACTCAGCTGCTGCTGATATCACAGAGTCCCTTTCAGAAGATCAGGTACCCGAAGCTTTCCTTGTGATGCTCTTGATACAGTTTGGGACAATGATCGTTGACCGGGCAATCTACTTGAGAAAGAATATGTTTGGGAAATGCGTTTTTCAAGTGGTTCTTGTCTTTGGCATCCACTTTTGGATGTTCTTCATCTTGCCTGGAGTAACAGAAAGGTAGAGAACAGTGTGTGGTAGAGTGTAGTGTGTGTGTATCTTTTGCTATCAACACATTTTAGCAGATAGTGAAAAAGCATCCACCTGAGTAGTTCTGGTGAAGTGAATGGAGATATAAATGAACAATGGGAGGTAGAGTTTGGTGTCAGTCTTGTAGATTTGGATATTCTGTAGCTCAAACATTCTAGTTCAGTAATAAATTCAGAAAAATGTTTAAATTTAGTAAATTTGTAGATATTCTGTATGCAAAGTTTTGGAGATCATAAGGGATTATCTAATTGGAGAAACAGCAAGGTTTGTATGAATGAGATGTTGACTACAGATGGTATGCAGAAACCGTCATATGCATCTGTTTTGTATCGCGCAATGCATAGTGAAACATACCCTAGTGATTCTATATACACCGGTGTTAAAACTTATATTTTGGCTTGCCTCTTTGTCTACTGAAGTGTATACGTTGCTACTTTTATAAAGCACACTTAGCCTAGCTTGTTATTGATATTCATATAGATGAGAATCATTCTGTAAATGATGGAAATGAGGAAGGTCCTGACCATTTTTCTTTCTGGGTTGCTGTGAGTTTTCCGGACTGTATGGCCATGTTCAAGAAGCATTCTCTCCTGACATTTCACGCACATCTATGGCAGGCATCCTCAGAAGTTGTTTCCAACTGACCTCACAAACTCTGAGGATGCCTGCCATAAATGTGGGTGAAATGTCAGGAGAGAATGCTTCTGCAGCATGACCATACAGGCCGGAAAACTCACAGCAACCCAGTGATTCCGGCCATGAAAGCCTTCAACAACATGTTGCTTTCTGTTTATTTGCAGGAGGTTTAACCGGAATTTGGTTGCTCAGCTGTGGTACTTGGTTAAGTGTATTTATTTTGGTTTGTCAGCATATCAAATCAAGTGTGGCTACCCCAAGCGAGTCTTGGGCAACTTTCTGACTAAGAGATACAACTGCATAAACCTCTTCTTATTCCAAGGGTAAGCAGCACTTTTTCATGGGAGGGTAGAAAGGCCAAATTGTGTGGTCATGAAATAGAAGCTGTGATATTCACTGCAGCTGGAGACTGCTAGAATTGCACAATTATCAAGTGCAATATGAGTTTGTTCAATCATACTACATTGTAGAGGATATGGAAATGGATTCTGGTGGCTCAGTTCTGCCTTGCATGGACTTGGTTAGCCATTTCTGCCCTGCAAGAAATGTTGAAATACTTTTATCACACACATTGGGGATGGGAGGGCCACAGCCTGATATGTTCACTCTGCTGTAAGCATTGGACATGAGAACTTTTGGTAAAGGTGACAGTGCATGAAGCAGAAATACAAATGTAGACCTCAATTAGCATAATAGCAATTCGCTGTATGGATTTTAGTACTCTTGGAAGGGCTACAACTCTAACAAAATTATATGTCCTTTAACAAACTAAGGTACTGTGAGCTTTCTGGGCTGTATGCATTCTCTTCTGACGTTTCACCCACATCTGTGGCAGGCATCCTCAGAGGTTATGAGGTCTCTTGGAAACTAGGCAATTGAAGTTTTATATATCTTTGGAATGTCCAGAGTAGGAGAAAGAATTCTTGTCTGTTTGAGGCAAGTGTGAATGTTGCAATTGGCCACCTTGATTAGCATGCAGCTTCAAAGCCTGGCTGGTTGCTGCCTGGGGGGATCCTTTGTTGGGAGGTGCGAGCTGACCCTGATTGATTCTTGTCTGGAATTCCCCAGTTTTCAGAGTGTTGCTCTTTATTTACTGTCCTTTTATTTATTTACTGTCAGGAGAGAATGTTTCTGGAACATGGCATACAGCCCAGAAAACTCACAGCAACCCAGTGATTCCGGCCATGAAAGCCTTCGACAGCACATTATACAAACTATAATTTCTTGGATTCATGACAAGTTGATATAAAGGAATTATGTAGCACGTAGGGCTTCTGAGTTTGAGAATTTATATTACTGTACACTGTAAAAATATTGGGGGGTTTTTTCCTGGAAGGTCCTCTCTGAGAACTAATTTTGCCAGATGTTCTGTTCAAACTGCTTGTTGCAAATCCGTAATTGACTATATTAACCAGCCTTCTTTTTCTTTCTGTGGGTAGATTTCGACTGGTGCCTTTCTTGACTGAACTGAGGGCTGTCATGGATTGGGTTTGGACTGACACCACCCTCAGCCTGTCCAGCTGGATTTGTGTAGAGGATATCTATGCCAATATTTTTATCATGAAATGCTGGAGGGAATCTGAAAAGGTGAGTGATATTCTTCTTGGATTACTTGTAGCACTCTCAACCAAGTAGTACACTTAGAGTGTGATAGTTTGCAAATCAGTAGGTCCTAAGTGGATTCAACTCTGTGATGAACAGTAGCCTACACATTGCATTTCACATAAAGGGACTGGCAGCCTACAACCAGGCCCGTAGCCAGGATTTCGTTTCGGGGGGGGGGGGGGCTAAAAAATTTCGGGGGGGGGGGGGGGGTTGGGGGGGGGGGGGGGGGGGGGGGGTTTCGGGGGGGCTGAGTTTCGGGGGGCTGAGTCTGAGTGAAAGAGGGTCTAGCCTAGCAAACCTTTTGTATTATTACCCCAATACCCCCATGCATATGGGATATATTGATTATGGTGATCAGATCATGATATGAATAAACATAACAGTTTAAATAATGCACCAGTAAGGCCTTTTCGCGAACCACCATCAGAATTTGGGGGGGGGGCTGAAGCCCCCCAAGCCCCCCCCCCCCCCCCCCTGGCTACATGCCTGCCTACAAAATGTAGCTTTTCAACAATGCAGTAGTACAAGATTCACTGAATTGTAAAGAAAATTGTGAGCTTACAAGATAGAGCTGGATGAGCATCCAAAACATATGTTAATCGGCATTTTCTGATTTGCAGAAATATCCCCAACCTCCTGGGCAGAAGAAAAAAAAGATTGTGAAATATGGGATGGGAGGTTTCATTGTCTTTGTACTCATCTGCATTGTGTGGTTCCCATTGCTTCTTATGTCACTGGTGAAGTCAGTGGCAGGAGTAACTAATCAGCCTCTGGACGTATCTGTCAAAATTACCATCAGTGGTTATGAAGTAAGTAATTACAGTATGCTTTTTTAAGATAGTAAGGAATAAGGAAGTATCTCAGTGAGGAAGGTCTCATCTGGGAACTTGCTAACAGTCAAAGTAAATAATAAAAAATCTAACTCAGTTTATATTATATCGGGTGGTGCAGCGGGCTAAAGCACTGAGCTGCTGAACTTGCTGACCAAAAAGTCGATGGTCTGAATCCAAGGAGCGGGGTGAGCTCCCACTGTCAGCCCCAGCTTCTGCCAAACTAGCAGTTTGAAAACATGCCAATGTGAGTAGGTACCGCTTCGGCAGGAAGGTAAGGTGTTCTATGCAGTCATGTCGGCCACATGACTTTGGAGGTGTCTATGGAGAATGCCAGCTCTTCGGCTTAGAAATGGAGATGAGCACCACCCCCCAGATTTGGACATGACTAGACTTAATGTTAAGGGGAAACCTTTATCTTTTGCCTAGTACAGAACCTGAAGCTTATGTGCCTTCTAAAATGCCATAAATAGTGTTGTCTCCAGCAAATTCTTGAAAGAAATGCCTTCAATTGTAGGCACTGGGACTCCCAGCCTTGCAAAAACCCATTTCCCTGCTCAATACAAACTGAAAGAGTGAAGGTGAGATCTGTACAATTATTATAAATATTGTCACACATATGGTCAGTATTTCAAACCACTTGGCTTGGTAAACATCATCAGCACATCACTGGTATAAGAATGCATTTGGACATAATTATTAACTGGAGTGATTTGCTTGCCTCTGTAATGAAGCTGTGGGTTTTAACACAGTTTTTCCACCATTTTTCTCCACTTTTGCCCAGTCCTTATTTACCATGAGTGCTCAGCAGCAAAACCTGGTTCCTTTCACTCAGGCAGCCTATAATGGACTCACCACGCAATATGCTCTTTATCCTGTAAGTATATTTATTGAACACAATGAAGTTAATGAAGTCCAAATCATTAGCAATTCCTTCTGCTGCTGTTGCGAGCCCTGCCGGGAATTATTATCAGTTTGAAGGAAATGACATGCCAGGACTCAGGGAACTAATGGAGTTTGCCCTGAAGCTGATTGTGGTCACTTAGCAGTCGTGGGAGAAAATAACACTGACCTTATTCAGAAGCAAGCTGATCTTTCTATTGTTCATTTCATTTCATTCGAAAGCTAAACTTTGACACTATAATAAATGTTCTTTGCCTCTTTGCCCTTGGCAAGTTCTAGTTCAAATTAGGCCAGACCCTCTGGATCACGGAATATAATTATAAAAGCCATGGAGTGGAATCACTGGAACCAAACTGACCTATATATGTCACTCACCACCTTCCTTGCATGTTTTCAGAGACAAGTCTGGTTTACATTTTACATTTTAATGAGGAAGGAACTTGCTTACCATGATAGGTTAAGATAGGCCTTTTTGTTATCCCCTGCTAGCAGCAAATACGTTTTTTGGTCCAGGAACCCCAAAAGTTGCAAGATAGTACATATGGCTCACAATCTCATAAATATGTAACAGGAAGCCAGCCTATACTTCTACATGCTAAACTAAAGTTTTGCATTACTGAAATGCTATACATTTGGAAACTGGGGAAAATCACATTGGGGGGGGGGAAACTTTATTGGGGGGTATGCCTCCATTTTGCATCTTGCCCTAATCATAATTCTCATCTGCAATTGTATACAGATGGTGGCTGCAATTCACAATCACATGTATAAATGACTAGTTTCTATTCATAATCTCTATGTATTCATTTTGGATTTACTGGGAAGCATCCACTGCAAGTGAAAGGATTCTGGTCTCCTGTTGATCTGGAAGCAGCAGACTGACATTTCCACTTTATGCTTGCCAACGATCTCCAGCTCAAAGAGGAATTACAGCACAATTCCTGCTTCTCTTGCACCAGGGATCACTTGAGAGAGAGAAGCAGATATATCAATTGCTGCCTCCCATTCAGCAGGAGAACAGACATCAGTTGCTCACAGCAGCTGCTGTTCAGTATGTACGGATTAGGAGTGAGGCCAGGAAAGGACTGCTCTAAAATCGTAATTGCTATCTTTCACTGAATTGTAAGGAAAAAGGTTCAAATCTAGTCAGAGATATAATAATAAATAATTAGACTTTATTTATATTCCACCCTATCTCCCTTGAGGGAATCAAGGCGAATTCCAAACATAAAAGGCAAACATTCAATGCCCGAACACAACAACAATACGTCCGTAATAATGAAATTTGACAACCCAACATATAAATACAAATAATGCCTTAACAAGTAAAATTAAATTAAAAAACACAACCTGTTATGTCAGGCATAAGACTGAACATAAGATAAGGTGGTCTTTCTCTTCTCTTCTTTGTTATTTTAAAACTTCCTCTCTGTTTTTTTTTCCTGTTTAGTCCGCCATGCAGTTTATAGTCAACTATAATCCCGAGGACATTGTAGTGGCGAAAATAAAAGGCAATGCCAGTCTGCTATGGAATATTAGTCCTGGAAGTCGGAAAGCGATGATAGCTGAACTCTCCAACTCTTCTGCAATCTATGTCAACTTCCACTGGACTATTCTCAGGTTAAAAAGGGAGCATACTATGGCATCTCCATTTCATGGTTTTATTTAATGAGGCCATATTCTGTTCTTCAGAACTTGGATATAATTGGTTAAATGTTGATTTATTATGGTGAGGTTGTTATTTTTTTACAACTGTTTTAAAAGCTGTTGGCTTACTCATTAAACCACATTGTTAATGGTTTAAGTAAGAATGTGTGTTTCCTATTATTTTCTAGGGAGGTGTACTGAAGGATTATGTCATTTTTAATAATTTTAGCTTTTCTTTTTAAAGGTAACATATTACAATTCATTAACATATTGTTAATAGTAATTTGTCATTTTTGAGATAACGGTACCACTACTACACTATATTAGCATGAATATTAGTGTTTTTATGTCCTTGTGTTCTATTAGTTCAGCCATTAATAGAACTAATATTGGAGAGCCCATAGTTTCTTCCACATAAAATCAAAGGCTTACCTATTGGCCAGAAGAAATTATTCCAAATCCAGATCAGAATATTACTTTTATTTTCTATACCAGTTGTTCCCAACCTTTTTTTGACCAGGGACCACGTTGACCAGGGACCACTCTCCAATATTCGTACCAAAAGGGTTATGAATCAATTTTTGGTCAACTTTAGATTTGGTTTGGTTATTTTGGGTGCTGATTCAGAAAATTGCATTGGATAGACCCCACCAGCTCTAGTTTCTGATACAGAACAGATGCTATCAGGTAGTTGCCATCTGCTCACCCACAGAAAACCATATTTAATAATCTAGAGCTGATGTGGTAGTAGTAATCTTTTGTGGGTAATCAACCTCTTCCTTCCCAACATCCCCATTGCCTGGGTGCTATAAGAGGGTTTCGCGAGACCAGCCACTCTTGTTGCTGCATGGTTTTGAGGCACCAGTGTAGTAATGGTGAGGCCATGGACCATATTTTCGTTCTTGCAGACTACTGGTGGTCCACGGACCACATGTTGGGAACCACCGGTCTATACCCACAAAATATTGAACAAGTCTTCTGAGATCCTCAAAAATCTTCATGAGGCAAGAAGTTAAACAAAGAACAAAACAGGGTTGGTGGTAAGCTGATGTTCAACTTCAAGCTATGGCATTGTACCCAGACAAAATATCCATGGTTTGATCATCAGCCACCCTTTACCCATCCTAACATGCTTCCTGTTTGGTTTATCATTTTACCTGATGAATAATTCTGGAGAACTGTGAGCCATGGGGCAGTATTTTGTGACCTGTACTTTCACCAAATGACAATTTGTCCATTTCCTTTCTAAATAAGATGCACTTAGTAAACTCCTGTTGGCTGGTCCTTTTATAGAAGCACCAAATGCACAAATCATGAGGAACAGAGTCTCTTTCTGAAGTTTTTCCAAGTGCCATCATCTGTCTTCGCCAACTTTTATTCATTTTCTTATTAAATCAGAAATGCGTCTCTTGTGAAGAATACTGAAGCATTAGGCATACACACTGTGAGATATGAAGAGAAAGAAATACGGGAGCAAGTCATTGGAATGCTGTGTGGGACCAGAAAAGACCCAGTGTCAGTATTACATTTTATTTTTGTCTTGTTATTAATTTCAGAGGTCATTGCAACAACCCCCGGTCTATATAGTAGCTCTCCCCTCTTGTGTCTCCCCAATATATATATTAGCTTTTAGTATTCCATACATGCGTTCCTCTTTGTTATAGTGATCAGTGGTGAGAACTTGACCTCTGCAACTTATTGTCCAAAAAGGAGCTCTTCCAGGCTCTAATAATGGTGATTTATTAGATCTCTCCTACTTCTCTATGATTTTTGTGATCCTTTCTCAAAGTTGTTTGAACATGTTCGTGGCTATATCTTGGAATTTGCTCCAAAAAACTATTGAGGAAAGACCACAATGAAAGACTTTTTACTGTTCCCATAGCTGTGGGCTTCTCAAGCAGAACTTGAGACATGACAAAACTAGAACTGCATTCATTAGTATCCCCAAGCCTTCTAGTCTGGGTTGTCATTTGGTGGCCATGACTGAAAGTTTAGTTTCGGGAGTGTGAGCACCTCAGCTGTGTTCTTATATTCATTTCTCACATAGTGTCCTCTGTTGTATACATGTTTAATTGGAAGTAATTCCTATTGCATTCAACCAAGATTTCTCCCTACTAAGACTTATAAGAATTGTAGCCTCAAACAGTATGATGGCTCCTGTCATAGGATTACTCTTATTCTTATCACTGAAAAGAGCCTCAAGGTCATTCTATATGCTGTTAGAAATTTTTCACAATTTAATTTCAGCCCAAATTAGTTTTCCTGGACAAAGCCATTAACAGGGCACTCTTATCCACCCCCCTCCTCCTCTTGCTTTTGTTATGTGCCTTCAAAACAGTTATCTGATGTTTGGAGGCTGTAAGGACTTTCTCAGCAAGATTTGTTCAGACGGGGCTTCTTGTTGTGTTCCCCTGGGACTCAAGATCACCCTGGGGAAACTGTTCAAAGGTCCATAACAACAACAACAACTACTACTACTACTACTACTACTACTACTACAACAACTACAACTACAACAACAAGAGTTGAATAGCAATATCAAATCTGGTCTCCAGAATCATAGTCCAGGTTCAAATCAATAAAAAATTACTCAGTCTGATTGAGTTCAGCAGGCCATAATCTCAATTGAGTAGGTATAGGATTACAACGTATATTAATAATTAAAAACTATGTTGGGGCCTATAATTATCATAATATGATAGTAGGAACTTCAATATTCATTGAGATCTTTCCCCTTCTAGATTACTTCCTGGTGTATTACCAAGATATGTGAGAGCAACTGGAGGAGCAGAAGCCAAAATGGCACACAGATTGCAGGTTGGTAAGTATCCCCATGTTCATATTAAACCAAACCAAAGCTATCCCCTTTGAAATGAGGTGAAAAAGAAGACCTGTCTCACCTCTTATGATAACACAATTATGCAAAAAGGCCAAACAAATTTCAAAGATCTGATAGTACCAAGTGCTTATGAAATGGTGGGAACAGGAATAGAGTTCAGTTTCATTATGATGATTGGAATGGTGAAAAATGCCCAGGGTTCTAGCTGTGGATGATTTCGCAGAAGGCATGGGATGAGTAGGGGAGTCTTGGAGGGATACACAATAAGCTCATTGCCCTGTAATTTTATTTTGAACAGCCCATTCTAGTCACCCAAAGGACATTGACAAGATGGCATTTTTCAGAAACATAACAATAGAGTTGCAGCAGCTGCCTGACAAGAGCACTTCAAGCCATGTGCCCGAATGGTGGATTGTTAAGGAGCAAAGACCTGGCTGCTTGGGAAAGGAATGCAGTAAAAACATAGAACTCTTTATCTACAATGATAAGGCCAGCCCTTCCAGCCTGGGATTCCTGGCAGCACATGGGTAAGGATATCATACTGAAGGCAATATTCGCCAGATTCTTGCTATGTCCTGTTAGGGAATATACATTCCGTCTCCTCATGGGGATTTTGTGAATTGCTCCTGTTAAAATACCTTACGTTGCATATAACCACACATACTGTCCAATACCAGTGACACATTTTGAATTCACTCCTATTTCAAATGTGTTGAATTCTGATGCTGTTGACCAAGAGCTAATATGCAAATTTTGGAAGTCACTCATTCATTTAAGAGTCTGATCTCTCTAACTGAGGAATCATACCAATGTATTGTTCTGCTCTTTAAAAGTGATGAAGAGGAACAAGGTTAAGTAATCCTCAAACTAGGTCAGCCCTCAGGTGCCTTGGTGTGGTCCTTCCACTTTTATTTGGCAACTGTGAATATCACCTTCTTGCAATTTCTCAAGTTGCTCCTGACACACACAAAAAATCCTTTCTGTAATAGAATGCACACAAGTCATTTAAAAGATAAAAGTTCAAGAGAATGGTGCTATTATACCAGGTATGGGTAAACCCAGGCCCGAGGTTCAGATGTGGCCCGTTGGGCTCTTTTCTCAGGCCTTCTTCTCTCTCATCATCCTTTCTTCCTTCTCTCTTTCCTTCCTTCTTCTATCCCTTCCTTCCCTATCTCCCTCTTTCTGCTTCCTTCCTTCCATCCTTCCTTTCCACCCTTTTGTCCTTTCTTCCTTCCCTCTTTCCTTCCTCCTTCCCTTCCTTCCATCCTTCCTCTCCACCTTTTGGTCCTTCCTTCCTTCCCTCTTTCCTCCTTCCTTCCTTCCTTCCTTCCTTCCTTCCTTCCTTCCTTCCTTCCTTCCTTCCTTCCTTCCTTGCCTTTTGTCTTTCCTTCCTTCTCTCTTTCCTCCCTCTCTCCATTCCCTTCCACCCCTTCCTTCCATCCTTCTCTTCCTCCTTCCCTTCCCTCCCCTTACCCCTCCCCTTCCCCTTCTCTTTTTCCTTCCTCCTTCCCTTTCTCTCCCATCCACCATCTCATCCTGACCAAGGCCAGCCCTTTTGGGATCCAAATGTTTCCCGTTGTGGTAAATCAACAAGCCAATTGAAGGTGTCTGCATATAAATATGCACAAAAACATACATACGTACTTTTGGGCCAGCATAGAATACCAATACCAATACTACTACTACTACTAATAATAATAATAATAATAAACATCTGGAAAGGTCTGAAAGGTGTGCTTGTTGTTGCAGAAAGTATTTCAATATTCTTCCACATCAGCTACTGTCATCACTGTGGCTTTTGCTAAGCGGAACATCTTGTGCATGTGTCTTATTTCTCTGGACAAAATCTTCATAGATTGTAAAAATAAATTCCCAGATCAGACCATAAACTGGAAAACATGACAACATGGAGGGATCTTGTACCTGCATCTTCTGGTGATAAGTTCTTGAAATTCAGTATTGGTTTCTCTAGTCTGCAGCATAAAGGTAGTCTAGAATAGGCTCACTCTAACAGAAACTCTTCAAAGGCTCACATCTTTTCAATAATTTATGCTAGGAATGAGGAATGAGTGGTCCTCTGGGTGTTGGACTACCATCCAGATCCATCAAGCCCAGCCAATTTTAACAACAGCTGTCTCTGAGCTACTGATACCCCCACAGAGTATTGCCCATTTCAGTCACCTGAAAACACAGGATTACTGTGTCCACTGAAGGTTCAGGATATATGTCTCATAAAGTTAAATGCTCTTTACCACAGATTTGGGGGAAAAAACCCTTTTTGGGCATTTGGAAAGCATATGAGATCAAATGTTTTATCTACATGTGCCCTCTTGTCATGTTGTTTACTACTCTCCATAAATTGAGGACTACTCTCAGAGGCAGAGAATGAGTTGCTTCTGCCAACGAAATCAATAGGGACAACCACTCTCCCTCTTATAGTCTCCTGTTTCATCCTAAAAATGTGACCTGATAACAGTGTGAAATTTAATATCTGGAATACAGTTTTTGAGCACATTTGCTGGGAAATCAGAATCTTAATGCTAGTGCATGACTGCATTTAGGTCATTCTCTCTCTAAGAATCACAACCCTTGCGACAACTCTCCCTCCTTATATGCAAAGACTCGACTTTTGCAAATGGTTATCAGGTTATGGTCTGTTGAGCAAGCAGTAGAAGACAAATAACTGGCCTTACCCAATTGTTGTAGGCTACATTTCTCAGAGACTAGTTAAGCAAGTTCTAAGTTTCAAGAAGCTATAATAAGGAATTGGCTTCCCAAGAAACCTTTGCCTACCCTTGTTCTAGAGCAGGCATGAGCAAACTTGGGCCTTCCAGTGTTTTGGACTTTACCACAATTTCTACCGGCTGCTAGGAATTGTGAGAGTTGGAAGTCCAAAACACCTGGAGGGTCAAAGTTTGCACATGCCTGTTCTAGCGTATCTCTCAATCTCCTCTGTCAATAGTTTGATGCAAAGCAGAGGCTTAGAAAGACAATTTAGTGTCTGCTAACCTACTTAAAACGTACTGGGACAAAGGCTTAAACTAATAAGATGAAATACATTTGAAACACTTCACACACATATTGCAGAAATTCTCCTGATAACACTAATGTTTTTTTTTCTCCTCTCTGCCCTGTTTCAGCATTGTTGGCCTCTACATGTCTGTTGTTCTGGTCGTTGGAAAGTTCATCCGAGAGTTTTTCAATGGAATTTCGCGTTCCATCATGTTTGAAGAGTTGCCAAATGTGGACCGCATCCTGAAACTCTGTACTGACATCTTCCTGGCAAGGGAGGCGGGAGAACTTGAGCTGGAAGAGCAGCTCTTTGCCAAACTCATCTTCTTGTACAGATCTCCTGAAACAATGATTAAATGGACCAGGGAAGCCAAGGACAAATAGAACCAGGGCACTCATCTATTTATCTGGGTATTTGAGGAACAAAGGTGGCATGTTAGAATATTCATATCATTCAGGCAAATTCAGTGCAATATTTTTACTAGTATAAACCAGGCATGGGCAAACTTCAGCCCTCAAGGTGTTTTGGACTTCAACTCCCACAATTCCTAACAGCCCGTTAGGAATTGTGGGAGCTGATGTCCAAAACACCTGGAGGACCAAAGTCTTCCCATACCTGGTATAAACGAGGTGTTCTATTTGCTACCCTAAATCGCCAGTGTGAGTATGATACACTAGTCAGCTGAAATTGGCATTCCGAACTCTTTACCCAACAGGTGCCCAAAAGCAGTACTATTTTTTTCACTAGAAAATGTACATTTTACACCAAATCATAAGTTCCACTTCAACCAAATCAATGTTTAGGAAAATATGGAAACTGTTTTTTGAGATTTAGCAAACGATTCACTATATATCTATAACACTAAGAAGAAACCAATATACTATGTATGCATAAATAAATTCATTACAACATCCTGGAGATTTCTTTGTCTACTAAGATGAACAGGTTGTTATTTGATGAGCTGGCGGTGGTGGGTGCAATGATGGGGAAATGCTTCAAATAAGCAGAGGAAGTACAGTAATCCCTTGCTACTTCACGGTTTGCATTTCGCGTACTTGCTGTTTTTCCTTTCTGAGGCCAACGGACCTCGGAAAGGGAGGCTGGTGTGCGGGCCGGCCCTGAGGTATGGGCGGAGGGGGGGGGGAGGCCTGCTGGTCACGAAGTGCGGCATACTGTGCTACCATGGCCCTGGAAGTGGCTCCGGAGACATTTATTGGGTGGACTCACAGCAGAGTTGGGAAAGGAAGCGCGAGGGCTAGGCTCCACATGCACACATGAATGCTTCTTATATATGCCGAATGGAAGTGGACTGCTTTTTGAAAATTGCTGCTCAACTAAAGTGTCTGAAAGTTTTTGTTTATAAGGTAAAAGAAAAGGGTTATGTAGTGTATAAGTGTGTGGGGAAGGGTTATAAAGACTTAAAGTAGTGTATAACTGCTAAAATAATGTATAAATATTAAAATAAATATAGCGTCCCTACTTCACAGATTTTCACTGGTCCTGGAACGCAACACCCGCGATAAGTGAAGGAGCACTGTATCTAAAATTGCCAGTGCTCAGACACCAATATAGAAAACGTGTGGTCTATTTAGTCTAGATTAGACTAAATTTAACTGCAAGTCTCATCTAGAGTAAACCCATTCAATTAATGGGTTTTATTAAGGTTTGACTTATTGGTCAGTAGCCGCCCAACTTTTTTTAAGACCTCTAGTGAAAGAGGCCCGTCGCCTCTCTAAACAATTGGTTCCATTGCTGAACCACTCTTCCTGTCAAGATGTTTCTTCTAACAATCAATCAAAATCCACCCTCCTGTAACTTCTAACCTCGTTATGCTCTCTTAAAGCAGCAGAGAACTAGCTTTCACCTTTGTCTTGAGATATTTACAAGGCAGTAATACCTTCATCACACAGAGTATGTCCTCCTTCTTCAACCTCTTGTGTGTTTAGTTCTACATACCTCTTATCATCCTTGCCTTCCTCTGAATTTGTGTCCACTTCTCTATATCCTTTTTTAAAATGAAGAACTCAGAACTAAATGCAATACTCCTTTTCTGATCTGTGCATAATACAGTGGGACTTACCTTGATTTGGAAATCATGGCTTTATTAATGAAAATCAATATAATATGTGTATTTTGTTTGGTTGTTCCTGCATTACACTGCTGACTCATATTCCACTTGTGATCGACAATACACTCAATGTCCTTTCTGCACATAGTACTGTTGAGACAAGTATGCCCCATCCTATATCTATGTTATAGCTTAGAGATTGTTAGACTTTTCCTCTATGAATTCATTTAGCATGGTCCCTTACTGCTATTCAACTGCTGTGAAAAAATACAAGGGTTATTCAGAAAGTAAGGTTACAAGGCCTGTAGCTCTCGTGGGAAATTTTCATGGGGCAACATTGCCATGTAGCAGGAAGCCAGCGGAAGTGAACATGCAGTGAGAGTCAGCAGTAGCTCATTGACTGGCATTATGGTGAAGGTTAGGGATGAGCATCCCCATTTCGTTTCCCTCCAAGTGCGAAGTTTGCGCTGTAATAAACTACCTAAATGCTAAGGGCATGAGTGCTGCTGTGATGCATTGCAAAATTGTTTCGGTTTATGGAGAGGATGTAATGTCAAGACAGCATGTGACAAAATGGGTGTAGAATATATTGTGAGACCACTAAGAAACTTCACAAAAGCATCCAAAACAAACCTTGAGGGATGCTGGCAGCGGGAGTCTGTCTCCTTCATGAATGCGCATCTGCACACCGCTCATGCAACACACGAGTTGTTAACTTCATTTGGTTACAATATTTTAAGCCACCCCTCTCACAGCCCTGATCTCGTACCCAGTGACTATAATCTCTTCACTAAACTGAAGAAACACCTTGGTAGAAAACACTTTTCGGATAACGACAAGGTGAAAATCGAAGTGATGAACTGGCTGAAAAAGGTGAAGCGAAACTTCTATGACGTAGACTTCAAAAACGTATCCCACAGATGGCAAAATGTATTGAACTAAATGGTGATTATATGGAAAAATAATGTAACACCTATGCTACAATCCATGCAAGTTGTATCAAAATATATTCATTCTTTGTATTTTTTTAAAAAAATCTTGTAATCTTACTTTGATTGTGACTCAGCTGGAATCTCAGAGTGATAGTGTCTATGATTCTGATGGGGTTGATGGATTTCAGATGCACAGTCAGGTGTAAAGTTATGATGTTCCTGTGTTAGATGAAGACGAGCAGGGGGCAGAAGTTCAGTTGTTTCCCACAGCAAGGGATGACGCTGGGGAAAGTGAAACTACTGAGATCCAGGTGGATTCAGGAAGGGAAGATAGTTCTCAGCCTGATAATGAGGGAAAAAGCACTAATGAGGAAATTGACCTTGATGGAGCCGGAGGCTTAGATAGAGCGGATCGGTTGGAATTTAAGGTCCGAAAGAGTGTCAGGATCGCCAACAGGTGAGAGAGGGAGGCTCGGGGCCATAGAAACACCTTCATGTTGTCCAAAGGGTATTAAATAGGCTGTTTGAACATGCCTCAGTGTCAGAGCAACTTCCTGCTTCATCCATGTGACTTTGGATTTATCTTGCAGCTTTCATGTTCATGTTTCAGGACTTTGTCATGTTCTCATGGGACTTTGCCTTCCTTGTGTCTTCATGGGTCTTGTTTGCCTATGCTACCTTGGATTGATCTTTTGAAATATACTTTTGCCTTTTGAACTTTTTATCCTTTATTTTAATAAACCATAAAGACTACTGCTGGTGTGTTCTTTGGTGTCTTAAGCAAGGCGATTTTATCCTGAGGTGCGACAACTTTCTAGACAACCCTCATATATTGGACATCTCATTAAATGAGCCCACACGCTGCGATGAAAGGAGAAGGGTTTTATTCTAGTGTGGTTACTTCCCATCAACACTTTCATTCCAAACATTAATGCAGTTCATCAACTGAAGAGAGCATCACAGAGAAATGCAATGCCTTCCTCTTCAAGTCATATTAACAACAATGAGCAGAACTTTTAACATGCAAGAATGGCACAGTAGGGAGTTTTTCAGTTGATACTGAAAATGCGGTCTCCCTTTGTGCCATGCTAAAACACCGCTACAGAACAAAGCAGAGCCCAAAGTGGTTTTGTCCCAAAGTTGCCACCGAAATAGAAGCACGCCATCAATCTTTCCTCTGCGACATGAGACAAGGCAGCGGCAGTTCCTATCTATCTTGTTCCTGACCTGCTGGGATTTCTGTTGTGTCTCGCAGCAAGTGAAATGGGAAGAACAGAACCAGAAAGGAATGGCTTGGAAACTGCCTCGTCTGCTTTACTCTTAGGACATGAATAAAGTATGGACCCAATGTCCAATTTGCAACATGTTCCCTTTTGTTTGTTGTAGAATGAGAGGCCAAGGAGCTAAGGAAGCCCTGGAAGAATGAAAACCCAAGAAAATACGTTTGAAGGCTCTATGGGCAGCAAGAGGTTAAGCTGTTGTATTAATAGGCTCAGATTTTTTTTGTGAAAGGGACACAAAGGCTCCTCAATAAAAACTGGAAGCAGCAAAGTCATTACAAGTTTGGTATAAATCCAAAGCATAAGGTGTTCATAGAAACAAAGAGAATGAGATGGAGAAACGTTAAGCAATGACAAACTGATTTTTTTTCCTTTTCCTTTTTTTTAAAATGGCTGTTTTTGACACAGGGAACTCTCATGGTGTTGGAAACTTATCAGTGCAAAATGAGGTAACCCCAGTGTGCCATCTCCAAAAAGCGCGAGCCCTAAACCAAGCGCCGTCTCTTGGAGTCTCTCCCCATGTCGTCCTCGGGGGAATCTCCATTGCAGCCCAAGGGAGACACCAGGTTCAGCAGAGGGTCTTCGGAGGCACGGCCAAACAGGGACAGCAGCAAAGCCACCCCATAACCTGTGGCCCGTTCACCCTAGAAACAACAACAGCAAAGCTTTACTTTATTAGCCTTGCTAAACCCCGATTCTAATAGAAGAGGAATACTAAGGCAAAAGATTTCAACACTAAGTTGGAGTGTGTCTGCTTGATTTTGGCTTTATAAATGCTAAATGAGAAGAGGTACACAAATCACCATCACCAAGTGCTCCATGGCTGCAATGCTACTTCAAATGATGTACGAGCAAGTCCCAATGAACTCATGTAGTTTTGCGCTATAACACAATTAATTTTTGTGCATGTGCAACTAGTAGAAACGTTGGCTAGTATTCTGTTCAATATTTATTTACTTACTATATTTATATACCGCCTTTCTCACCGGGGGGGGGGGGGGGGGGGGGGGGGGGGGGGGAGCAAGGCGGTTTACAACATACTAATGGCAAAAAATCAATGTCAGCATACATGTAGACAGAAAAAAATCGTAATAACTAAACACTAACATATAACTATAAATTAAAATAATTAAAACCATTAAACATGAGACATAAAAAACATTTAAGCATTAAAAAAGGATTTTAAAAAATCATGTCAGGAGCGACTTGAGAAACTGCAAGTTGCTTCTGGTGTGAGAGAATTGGCCGTCTGCAAGGAAGATGCCCACAGGACGTCTGGATGTTTTACCATCCTAGTGGGAGGCTTTTCTCATGTCTCTGCATGGGGAGCTGGAGCTGACAGAGGGAGCTCAACCCATTCTCCCTGGATTCGAACTGCTGACCTGTCAGTCAGCAAGTCCTGCTAGCACAAGGCTTTAACCCATTGCATCACCAGGGGCTTCAAAAAAGCATTAAAAACATCCTAGTATAAATATTAAAATCACATAATCCAAATATTCATAAACTATAAACTAGACCTGTGATGCAGTAATTTTTGGGATTCACATTGGAGATAATTAAGTCTGAACATGACTCCAAATTTCTACAGCAGCCCAACCAAAGGGTTTCCAAGGTACTGCAAATTGGGATGCTGGGAAACGACTGCAACTCTTATCCAGTTGCAAGGCATCCTGAGACAAGCAGCTGCAGCTGGACTCTCAGCAGTCCCAACAGCTGCTCAGTTTAACTCCCTTCAACTGGGAGAACTGTTCAGCCTTACTGGAAACCCCTTATGTTTCTGCCTAAATGTAGGTTTTGGGGGGTAGTATCGATAGACGTAGCTACAATGACAGAGCAAATGAAGGATCCCATCCAATATATTTTCTGTCATTGTTTTGTGAGAGAGAAAAATAAAAGTTGGTGCTATGTATCAAGCAGCCTGAAGACAGTAAGACTGCCCCATAATTGCAAAACCCATCTCTGTAATGTCACAAACTTGTGCCCAGGGCAAAACTGTTCTCTCTAGGAATTTGCTAGATCCTCTAGGTGATTCTATGTTATACTTCCTCCAGAAATTACCAACGTTGTGTCGAAGTGCATAGAAAATTCCTAGGAAGAATACACCTCTAGGAACTGCTAGATCCTCCAGTGCAACTTAATGGTATGCAGAGGATGGAAGTGAGGTAATTTAATGTCCATTTCATATAACCACCATCAGTATAAGCAGGATGCTTTGTAACATAGTCACATTAAAAACACCTACCACACAATCTCTTCTGCTTTATAGAATTGCACAACTGGAAGGGAACTTGTACTTTTCAGGGGGCTGCGCATTATCATGTCACTCACTGGTCACTTAAAGTTGTGAAAAGTTTTTTTCTGACCTTTGGAGTCATCCCAGACCCCTCTCAACCACCCCTTACCAGCAGATGACATTTTACCTAAGGACACCATGAAAGAGTAGTGAAAAAACTATACAAAAGAAAGAAGTATTACCGAAGATTTAAGAATAGGAGGCCAACAACACTATGCAGGTAAGAGTTCTAACTCTTAGAATGAGCAAACCCAACTTCTAGTTAAGGATGGACGCCTCAAGACAGGCAGACACAGCAAGAAATCATCCTTCACTTACTGCGTGGACAGGTGCTGCGATGTCTATATGGACCCAGACACCAGGCCAGTCAAATCCAATATGTGAAGCAATAAAAAGTCCGGCACAAGAGCTTGGGGAGTTATCACGGTCCTGGGAGGAAAAGCAAAGGCAGGTTTGCTTTAGCAAGAACAATTTTTGAAACACATCAAAAGAACATTGACAGATATGGTGCTCAAATTGCATTGACTCTTTACAACTGCCAAGTTGTGCAGGCCTAGTCTAAACATTAAATTCATGTATGTTTCATACCCACCTGAAGGTAATTTCATGCAGTAGTTTTAATAATTAATAATACGTTTGTGTACACAAACTTTTCATGTGCAAAATTATTAAAACTACTGCATGAAATTACCTTCAGGCTGTGTATAAGGTGGGTATGAAACATACATGAAAGCAAAGACATACTGTATATACTCGAGTATAAGCCTAGTTTTTTTTTCAGCCCCTTTTTTTCGGCTGAAAAAGTTCCCCTTGGCTTATACTTGAGTCAAGGTTATTTATTATTTTACTCTGTTATTAGTATTATTTTATTACATTTATTATTTTACTGGAGCCCCCGGTGGCGCAGTGGGTTAAAGCCCTGTGCCGACAGGTCGCAGGTTCGAATCCGGGGAGAGGCGGATGAGCTCCCTCTATCAGCTCCAGCTTCTCATGCGGGGACATGAGAGAAGGCTCCCACTAGGATGATAAAACATCAAATCATCCGGGCATCCCCTGGGCAACGTCCTTGCAGACGGCCAATTCTCTCACACCAGAAGCGACCTGCAGTTTCTCAAGTCGCTCCTGACACGACAAAAAAAAAAATAAAAAATAAAATTATTTTACTATTATTATTATTATTATTATTACATTTATTACTTTATTATTACCAATATTATTAAGTTTCCTTTATTTACTCTATTATTATTTTTATTACATGTTATTGCACTTATTATTTTACTCTATCATTATTGGTAATAGGTAAGCACATTTACATTGAAGGAGGTTAGAATAATGGTTTAATCAGAGTTGGGCAGTCTTATCTTAAATTACAGTTGTATGTAAATACTCAAAAACATTTAACCTACTGATGATTACAAGCTAAATTTCTCACCCTCGGCTTATACTGAGTCAATACGTTTTTGCAGTTTTTTGTGGTAAAATTAAGTGCCTCGGCTTATATTCGGGTCGGCTTATACTCGAGTATATACGGTAACTACCTCAGATGCACATAAGGACAATTTTGGAGTATTTTGGAATTCTGGAAATAAGATGTTCAACTTATATTGTATTTTCTACTGCTAGGAATGGGGAAATGGGATTGTCATTCACGCCTCAGTTCCCCAAATACTTTGCCTGGCCTTGTTGCATCTTTACTTTGGTGAGAATGGAGCAACATTTTCTGCTCTGCCTCAGCCAGCAAGATATCTTGGCCTATCACATGGCTTTAAGTTAAAGGTACATTAAAATTCTACAACAATTAAAGCAAAGCAAGATACTGAAAGTATTTTTTTACAGTTTTCTGCTATATGTAGGGTACTCTAGGGAGGCCAACCATAGTGAGTCACGGAGGATAAAGAGGAACAGAGAAACCACCTCTAACTCAGATGCAGAATACAAACAAACCAGATTATTTCACTCGGTAATGCCGTGATGTGTACATTATTTATTTATTTAAAAGTTTTATATACCAACCTTCTCACCTCTCTTGAGGGACTCAGACCGGTTTCCAACCATAATATCACATACAGTTAATAAAAACATAATAATTCATTTTATACTAAAACATTAAAACAGCAATTACATTCAATAACTACAATGGTCAGTCGTCACACTAACTCGTTGTTCATCATCCTCCATCCATATCTGGCTCACTCGTCGAATGCCTGCCTCCATAACCACGTCTTCAGCTGTTTCCTGAATGTCAGGATAGAAGGGGCGGTTCTGATTTCCAGTGGGAGAGAGTTCCAGAGTCGAGGAGCCACCACCGAGAAGGCCCTGTCCCTCGTCCCCACCAGACACGCTTGCGAGGCCGGTGGGACCGAGAGCAGGGCCTCTCCAGACGATCTTAATATAGACCTCCCCCATTATAATTCTGCCACCATTCACAAATTATTTCCACAAGAAACCAATGTGATTTTAAGCACGGTTAAGCTGCCAATTGAAATTAATGGTGGACAAAGCTTTTTAGCCCTTTGCCATAAAGTGAGTGTACCATCCAAAATACAGTCCAATAGTTACATTCAGTAATGAAATAACAATGAATATAGTAAACTTACTGCCACAGAATTCTTCATGTCAGCTACAGCTGAGGTAAATTCGGTAAAATGGAGTTCAGGGCAATAGACGAGGGGATGCACGAGGTCTCCGCAATTTCTGCCCGCTTTAACACATGCTCTTTCCCATTCTTCATTATTGGTGAGGACGGCTGCATGGTATTTCCCTGTGGCAATTCCCTAGCAGTGAGAAACATGAGACCCAAGATGATCCAGGCCATAGTGAATAGTCCCTAAATCTAATTCAAGTTAAATTATTCTTGCAGTTCTTCTAACTGATGGCGTCCTATATTGGCGTCTATTTGTCAAAAGTAATTATTCTGGGAAACAGGAAAGTAAAAAGTAAATAAGGAAGACAAAGTGAAGACACTGAAATTGCATGTGCCCCCTCCACCATTTTTCTCCTACATCTCTAGTCAATGAAAAGACTTGAGCAGGACTGTTGATGACTGGGGCTCTTGGAGGTCTCTCATGCATAGGCTTGCTATAAATAAAATTTGGCTTGATGACAAATAATAACAACATTCGAATTCTTGCTGGTAACCACTAAATCAATGACTTCCTACTTTTCCTTACAATGGCAAGTGAGAGCAGTCCAAATTAAATTGTTTAGCTTTACAAACGATGTTTGGATTCCAACCTAGTGAGCCTCCAAGTGACACATTTCTGCAACTGCCTTTGCAAGCACTGCTTCCTATAGAACACCATGCAAATTTGCCAATACTTGGAAGAAATGCTGGAAAAGGCACTCTGGACTTAAAGCAGATATCAACAACCAGGCATAGCAAGAAACAACGTTTTCTCCCCGTAGTACCTGAGCACCAGTGAGAGTGGCCATATCAAGAATGATGTCAGCACCAAGGTCTTTGCGAGCGTATGCCACTCCATCAGCAAGGACCAGCCGGCCTTCAGCATCAGTGTTGTTGACTTCCACAGTTCTGGGAAGAGGAGAGGAATTGTTCAGAAAAGAGGCACCATTTCCAGGCCTGCTTTTACAACATGCATTCATTCAATTTCCACTTAATATAATATAAATGGGCCGGCTTTAGCACAGCAGGTTAAACCAGCAGCTGTAGTCAATCATGTCAGTTTAAAGGCTGCCAGTTCGAAGCTGGGTCAGGGTGGGCTCCTGGCCTTTAGCCCTGCTTTTGCCTACTTAGTGGTTCGAAAGCAAATGTGATTAGATAAATAGGTACTGCTTCAAAAAAAAGCAGGGAGGTATTCTGAGGCACCCTTAAGGAATGCTGGCAATTTGATCCAAAAAGGAGGAAGTTACGAACAAGCTCTTCGGCAGGGAGATGAAGCGACAGTACCCGCTTGCCCTCAGACGGAACCGAGCACAACACCTTCAAAGATGCCGAAAGATGGGGAAAAGCCGATATACCTCTTATCTGTGTATAATTGTCTGTCTAGTTGTGTATAAATGGCACTGAATGTTGCCGCATATGTATATTCTGTGATGCGCCCTGAGTCCCTTTCGGGGTGAGAAGGGCAGAATATGAATACTGTAAATAATAATTAATAGAATAGTCATATCTCTAGCTTTACAGCTCTCCTAGACATAAAGAATGACCTGACCACACTCTTTAAATACTAAAAACATTGCCAAGTGAGCTCTCAACTCCTAACAATCATCGGTCATATATTGCAAAATTGATTCCGCTTGGGACCAAATTCCTTGATAATTTGTTCATGGAGCTTTTGACAAAATTTATCCTGTCACTGTTAATGAAAGGACAAAGAGCTCTGCAGGATACTAATGCCTTGCAAGTTGTTACTGCTTATTGACAATGTATTCACTAAGCCTATGGCACTTGAGATTTCACTTGGCATGGCCCATTCACTGTCAAACACATCCTAAGAGTTAGAAATTAGAAATGAAAGAAGATATTCTTGGTCACTAAACCCTGAAACCAATGCTACTACTTCTGCAATCATAGGCACCTTGAAGCAAATCACTATTTCCAGGAGCCCATGTTCAGGCTCAACAGAACTTTTCAAGGTAGCGAATTATTTATTTATTTATTTACAGCTTTTATATTCCGCCCTTCTCACCCCGCAGGGGACTCAGGGCGGATTACAGTGTACACATATATGGCAAACATTCAATGCCAATTTTTGACATACAAACATATACAGACATACACAGAGGCTATTTCACTTTTTCTGGCCACCAGGGGAGCTGTCGCTTTCATCGTCCATCTGCGACACTGATGAAGCACTTCCGCATTCCCCGCATGCTTCCCCGCTGGAATGCTTTGCTGGAGTCTTCTTTATGGACTCATAAATCAGTTAATTTAGCCTCCCCACACTTTAAGGTGGTACCTAATTTTCCTACTTGACAGATGCAACTGTCTTTCGGGTTGCAAAGGTCGACAACAGGCTACACACTATTGGTTGGAAACCCACTCCAACCTGGGCTGGCTTCGAACTCATGACCTTTTGGTCAGAGTGATCTTAATGCAGCTGACACTCAGCCGGCTGCGCCACAATCCCAGTGCCTGCGCCACAATCCCAGTGCCTATTAAATCCCTATTAAAAGTAACAGCATTATGTACGACAATGAGAAAAAAAATCAGTCTTACTTTCCTGAGTAAAGAACATGGATATCATCAGGTCTTGTTGCGTTTGGTCCAACAGAATTCTCAGCCAAACAAAAAACTGCATGAAGATTATCTTTAAAGCCCTATTTGTGCAAGAAAAAGACAGGTGTGATCCAATGGAAGGTATGAAACAGTTCTAATCAACAAATCAAATAGAATATAGTGAAAGAGAAATATCACTATCACTTTGTTTCCTCACAATCCTTACAAAAATACATTTAAAATAGCAAATAATGACTCTCTTGTCTTAAGTACTCATATTTGGAAAAAGGTAAGATATAAATGAAGTAAGTAAACACATATAAAAAGAAAATCATATATTTAAATATCTAAAGTAATTGCCAATTTGTGTTTAAATGCAATAATATAGCAAGGTTCTTGTGCATCTATGGCAAGCATCCTCAGAGGTAGTGAGGTCTGTTGGAATTAGGACAATGGGTTTATATATCTGTGGAATGGCTGGGTGGGGCAAAGAGCTCTTCTCTGCTGGAGCTAGGTGTGAATGTTTCAACTGACCACCTTCATTAGCATTTGAAGGCCTGGCTGAGCCTGGGAAAATCCCCTGTTGAGAGGCGTTAAGATGTGCCTGGTTGTTTCCTCTCTGCTGTTTTGCTGTTGTAATTTTAGAGTTTTTTAATACTGGTAGCCAGATTTTGTTCATTTTCATGGTCCCTTCCTTTCTGTTGAAATTGTCCACATGCTTGTGGATTTCAATGGCTTCTCTGTGTAGTCTGACATGGTGGTTGTGAGAGTGGTCCAGCATTTCTGTGTTCTCAAATAATATACTGTGTCCAGGTTGGTTCATCAGGTGCTCTGCTATGGCTGACTTCTCTGTTGAAGTAGTCTGCAGTGCCTTTCATGTTCCTTGATTCGTGTTTGGGCATGCTGCGTTTGGTGGTCCCTATGTAGACTTGTCCACAGCTGCATGGTATACGGTAGACTCCTGCAGAGGTGAGAGGATCCCTCTTGTCCTTTGCTGAACGTAGCATTTGTTGGATTTTCTAAAATTACAACAGCAAAACAGCAGAGAGGAAACAACCAGGCACATCTTAACACCTCTCAACAAAAGATTTTCCCAGGCTCAGCCAGGCCTTCAAATGCTAATGAAGGTGGTCAGTTGAAACATTCACACCTAGCTCCAGCAGAGAAGAGTTCTTTGCCCCACCCCAGCCATTCCACAGATATATAAACCCATTGTCCTAATTCCAACAGACCTCACTACCTCTGAGGATGCTTGCCATAGATACAGGCGAAACGTCAGGAGAAATGCCTCTAGAACATGGCCCTATAGCCCAAAAAAACCCACAAGAACCTAGTGATTCCAGCCATGAAAGTCTTCGACAATACAATAATATAGCAGTTAAATAAACAAATCACTCTTGCTTATTCTACGAAACTATGTACAAATGGGATGTTTTATAACTGCACCTGAAAGACAAATATATGGGGGCCAAATACATCTCTATATTGCAAGATTTTTTTTAGCTTGTTATGGAAACAAGGATTGCTGATAAAGTTTCAGAGGAGACATCTTTTCCCCCCATGATAACTCTTCCTGGAGTGAATTGTTGGGCAAAGGGGCTTATTAACAAAAGACCCTCCTCATAAATGCACAGCAGAGCAACCCACTAGCAGCTGCGTGACCCAGCACCAATAGCCAAAAGTGATTAAAAAGAACAAAAACAGGCAGACCAATGCTATGTCCTCCATAGTAGGCCTTTCACTACAGCAAAACAATATGGCTGCACTATCTACAAAAACAGGGTTTCCATAACACAAACAAAATTTCCTACACCTCCTTCTTCGCTTCCACGCTGGGCCCTTGTATCATGCAGATAAACAGCTTCACTCCCACAGAGTGTCCCCTCACATTGAAGTTATGCAGGAGCTTCACACAGAATCTCCACACACAGCAGCCCTCACAATGGAGCTTTACTCATGATGGCCTTCAACCTGGGGGTTCTTTTACCGAAGCATCTCATATCAGGCCTACTCACACAGAGGGCTTTCTCCCACTGAGGCCTTCTCACACTGAGGGCTCTCTCAGACTAAGGTCTTTCTCCCACTGAGGCAAACTAACTTTGAGGCCTTCTCATTCTGAGGCCCTTCTCCCACAGACTGAGGGCAACTAAGTTACAGGCACACCTGCTTATATTGAACAATAGCTTTTGCTGAGTCATTGCATCCATTTAACTCTTTCAGTGCTTGACTCACATTTTTGTAAATTTTTTTGTCATGTCAGGAGCGACCTGAGAAATTGCAAGTCGCTTCTGGTGTGAGAAAATTGGCTGTCTGCAAGGACGTTGCCCAGGAGTCGCCCGGATGATTTGATGTTTGTGGGAGGCTTCTCTCATGTCCCCGCATGAGGTGGAGCTGATAAGAGGGAGCTCATCTGCCTCTCCCCGATTTTCAACCTGCGACCTGTCGGTCTTCATGCCTGCTGGCACAGGGGTTTAACCCACTGCGCCACTGGGGGCTCAATTTTTGTAATTAAAAATACTTAGTTAATTTTTAATATTTCTGACATGCATTTCCCTTTTTTTTTTGTCTCATCTCCATTCATAACTATGAGATGTTTGTAAGTCAGATGTTTGTAACTCAAGGACTGCCTTATTGTGCAATGTCCCATTTCAATTCTCTAATATGGTTGCATATATCATGTTGGCGACATACCTCTATCATTGCAAAGTTATACATGGCAGTTCATGGGGAAGGATCTCAGCCAGTCCCCACCCCCCCCCACCACCACAAATCTTTCTAGTTTTTTTTTAACCCAGACCTTCTTATCTCTTCTCACAACAGTGAATATAAACCACTAACCAGACAGCAATTTGTCAGGAGCTTGACACTTTTCTTGACAGGCAGCAAATATAAGGAGACTACTAGACATGACAAGTGGGTGGGCTGTGTTAAACTGGGTAGATGTTAAATCATGCCAAAGTGCATCAGACTAGCACTCTTGCTGAATTCTGTCTCCTTTTGAACAAAAAAAATCGCTTTGTTGTTGTAAACTATGAGAGACCTAAACCATTAATCTTTTACTTGGGAGAGGTTCATCCTGGATTGAAGACAAAGCATTTCATACAGTTCCCTCCATGAATTGTGCCATTTAAAGCCTCTGTCCTGAGTAAACCTAATATAGAATGTGAGTGCCTCCTGCACCAATCTCCTAGCCGGCTCATTTCTCGTGAAATTTCCCCCTTCCAGGTGATTTGGACTTCAACTCCCACAATTCCTAACTGCCTCAGGCCCTTTCCTTTTATCCCCCAGTCACTTAAGCTGGATGGAGGCATGAAAACCAGAGGAAATAACAACCACAATTAAAGAAATGCAAAAGACGCCATAACCCTAGGAGAAAATAGCAAACAACTGAAAAAGTTGAAATACATATTTACAAATAAAGAAAATTAAAATAATGACCACAGATTGAGCATATAATTTTAAAGCAGACAATAAAGATACTGAAATTGTTTAGGATTTCCCATACTTGAGTCTGCAAGATCAGATCTCCCTCATTCACAGGGTCACCATAGGTTGACATTGACTTGATGGCAGTTAACAACAATAACTGAAAAGCTGACACTTAGGCTTAGGTTATCTCACATTCAAAACAAGGAAAAATAGTGATAACATATCTCACTGAACACTGTCTATGTCACATGGCTAAAGCAGACACATATTTGACCCAACTTAAGTAAATCTGCTAAAATTTACTCACTTGCTTTATGGTAGCTTTGAAGGCACCCAAAACAGCAGCAGCTCCGCCACAATCTCGCTTCATCCCAGGCATTGTTGTCTAGCCAAATGCAAGAAGACAAATATGAATTTACAGAGGAAACTGCAATGCTTAATACTGAAAGACTTATAGGGCAAACCAATAGATGCTTACATTGTAGTGAACTGTAATGAATACAAAGGGACCTCCCTCCATTTAAGTGTGTGCTATTAGTCTGAATGCTAAAACAGAATCTATGCCTACACACTAAGGTAAACCCTGACATTAAGTTTAGTCATGTCTGACTCTGGGGGTTGGTGCTGACCTCCATTTCTAAGCCAAAGAGCYGGTGTTGTCCATAGACACCTCCAAGGTSATGTGGCCAGCATTACTGCATGGAGTGTCATTACCTTCCCACCAACATGGTACCTATATATATATATATATATATATATATATATATGCARTTTTAACACATAACAATGATAGTGGGACATGGTACCTATTGATCTACTCACATTTGCATGTTTTTGAACTGCTAGGTTGGCAGAAACTGGGGCTAACAGCGGGAGTTCACYCCGCTCTCCAGATTCAAACCATCGACCTTTTGGTCAGCAAGTTCAGCAGCTCAGCCATTTAAATTGCCATGCCAAATGTAGCCTACACACTACATTTCCTTATATTCATCCTTTTCCTTTATTGTATTATTATTATTATTATTATTATTATTATTAATAATAATAATAATAATCTTTATTTATACCCCACCGCCATCTCCCCAAAGGGGACTCGGGGTGGCTTACAGGAGGCCAAGCCCGGTAATACATAACAACAAAAAATATGGAACAGCAAAAATATCATCACAATAAAATAAGTAAACATAAAAGTAAATAAAACAGTGCAAAGTAATAAAGTGAAAACAATCACAAATGTACATAAAATGATAAAACACTGGATGAGATAGGAATGACCAAAATATAAGAACTCGTAGGGGATGGAACAGTCGAGACAAACCTTCTGTAATGGGGGGAGTGCAATATGATTCTTGTCTAAATGTGTATATTAATGTGAAATGTTCATAGGTGTGCAAGGATATGTCATTATAAGGGCATGCCTACCTACTGGAATGTGTATCTTTCTGTACTATTTGTCCAGGGTACCACTAGGTCTTTCATAACACTATGTAACAGAATTTGAAAAAGAAATTCTGTTCCTGCTTTGAAGGTGTTATTTCCTGTTTTATTGTGGTGTACTTACTTTGAAAGTAGTTGTTATACTCAAAAAACTTTGTTTTTGTGGCTGCCACAAACTGTGCTGAATTGGTTGAGACTCAATGAGAGATTCGTTGAAAAACAGTAACAAAAATGAGCTGCATGGTGTCCCGCAAAAACAACGTTTTGGCAGTTTAATACACCTTTCCCATGTTTTTATGATGTAACCAATTAGGAAAACACATTTATAACCCAGGAACAAAAATTGTGTTACATGGTGTAATCAGATTCTAGATATATACACCTTCCCTTTGATGCTGAGTCCTCCGGTATCATAGACAATCCCTTTTCCGACCCAAGCGATAGTCTGAGTGGCACCTTCAGGGGTATGGCTGAGCACAGCAAGAGCAGGAGGGTGCACAGCAGCTTTGCCAACACCATAGATACCTGGAAATGGAGGACAAGAAGGACTGAGAACGTCATTTTGTCATGGAAGCCAAATTTACTGTATATACTCAAGTATAAGCCTAGTTTTTCAGCCCTTTTTTAAGGCTGAAAAAGTTTCCCTTGGCTTATACTCGAGTCAAGGTTATTTATTATTTTACTCTGTTGATGTTGTTTTGGTTATTATTATTATTACATTTATTATTTTACTCTCTTTATTATTATTGGAAGAATACGGAAGCACATCTACATTGAAGGAGGTTAGAATAATGGTTTAATCAGAGTTGGGCAGTCTTATCTTAAATTACAGTTTTATGTAAATATTCAAAAAAACAATCTACAATTAATGTAATTTTATTGGTATCTATTTTTATTTTGAAATTGACCTGTAGCGACTTCATTTTCCACCCTCAGCTTATACTTAAGTAAATACATTTTCCCATTTTTTTGTGGTCAAATTAGGTGCCTCGGTTTATATTCGGGTCAGCTTATACTTGAGTATATATAGTATAATGTTGATTTACTACAGGTGCATCTGCACTGTAGAATTTAATGCAGTTTCATGCCATCTTAAACTGCCATGGCCCAATACCTTGAAATCTTGGGACTTGTATTGGAAGAGTGCCCAAGAAATCTCTACTTTCCCTGAGGAAGGGCTCATGTCCTCAGAGGAGATCTTGGATTAAAATCAGAAATGGATAAACAACGATTTTGTTACAAAAATAAATCCTTTTGGCTTGACTCACCCCCAAATCCCTTCTCCTTCAGTTCTGCATTTCGGAAAACGGTTGGAACAATTCCTAAGTCCTTTCCAACTTTTTTGATTTCCTTCAGAGACAAAGGAAAGGAAGAGATTTGATTTAAAATGGCCACACACATCAGCTTCCATCACATTCATCATTATATTTTTTCTCTTTCAGGTATGCTACCCCATTTATTTATTTACATTATTTATATTCTGTTCTCACCCCGAAGGGGACTCAGAGTAGATCGCATTGTTATACAATGACAAGACAGAAAACTGTACATAGATACATATATAGGCTTTCCCATCTTCGGCATCTTGGAGACTGTGCTCGGTTCTAGGAACTGGTGCGTTTAGCGGGGTATTGTTGCTCCATCTTCCCTGCTGAAGAGCTTTGTTCATTAACTTTCTCCTAGATCAGTAGTTCTCAACCTGTGAGTCCCCAGATGGTTTGGCCTACAACTCCCAGACATCCCAGCCAGTTTACCAGCTGTTAGGATTTCTGGGGAGTTGAAGGCCAAAACATCTGGGGACCCACAGGTTGAGATCCATTGTACTAGAGCGAATCACCGGCATTTTTCTGGCATTTTCTTATGGGTGACTTAATTACCTCCCTGCTTTAAAGCAGTACCTATTTATCTACTCACATTCCTGTTTTCGATCTGCTAAGTAGGTAGTGTTGCTACTAGGGGTTTGCAATGGGGTTTTTCTAAGTCTTAGATAGGATCAGGGCTTTTTCTTTTGCAGCTGTCACGGGTTGAGTGTGATATTAGTTCCTGTATATAGAAAAGAACTAAGTGTTTGGAAACTTTGAGTATTGCATTCTAAGCTTTGCTTGAGGCTCGTTTTGAGCTGAAAAAAACATTTGGTTTGTGCCGGGAGCAGTTCTGCAGCATCCAGAAGATAAAGTTTGTTTACAGAAAGACAAGATCACTCTACAGACAACTAAGTAAGAGAGACTGTATATTATTCTGTTACATGTCTGCATATCGCCATTGAATGAAGAGGACTCACCGAAGATATTGTTTTGTTATATTTTGGTGAGAGCAATTCTTCTGTCTTGTTTTGTATACAGTAAATAGAACTTCATTTTATTTCTACTTAAAGTGAAAGACTCGTGTGTTTTTATGAGTTATTTTTATCACACTTAGAGCTAAGAGGGGCTAAGTCATTCTGTGGGCTGCTAACGCTAATGCTGACAGGTAGAAGCTGGGCTGAAAGGCCAGGAAGCTCACCCCAACTCAGGTTTCGAACTGTCAACCTTTCAATTGGCAAGATGTACTGCAGCTGGTGGTTAACCGGCTGTGCTAAAGCCCAGCCCTATAAGGACCCTTGCAAAAGTGACAAATGCCCAGTGCTTTCCAAAGAGACTCACTCCCTACAAATTGCCTTGTCCCAAGAGATCACCAACCTCCAGAAAGCTGTCCGTGTTCATTTCATTGCATGGAGTATCTACAATCCGAGCAGCCAGCCTGACACCTTCCGTAGCACTTTCCAGACACTAGGAATTATAACACAAAAATAGGAGGAAAGAAAAATGGGATTTGCATGTGCATGTCAATAACACTATGAGAATTTGCTTTACCTAACATTGCATCTTTAAATATTGAGCATTTGGAGGGTATGAGGATAATTTAAACATCAGAGTATGTTTGAGAATATGTTGTATTTACTGTGATATGAGAGTGCGTGCCAGCCAATTTCTACAACTGAAAGTGACTACATTACTGTATCCCTTTGGAAACCCTATCTGCCCCTGTAAAAGTTACTCTTAGGGCCCTTCTGCACAGCCCTATGTCCCAGAATATCTAGGCAGAAAATCCCACATTATCTGAGTGTGGACTCAGATAACCCAGTTCAAAGCAGATATTGTGGGATTTTCTGCCTTGATATTCTGGGATAAAGGGCTGTGTGGAACCTTTAGCTGCACACATCTGTTTTAGTGTCAAATTGCAAGTTTAGGATCGTTTCAGACAAAGTTATATTGAATCGGACAATCAATCCACAAGGGCTGTCGAGGGTTTTATGCAAATTTTTCTCTAACCTAAGATGAATGAGACATTCTTATCCAATGGCATTATATGCACATCTAAAAGACTGAAGTTGTTCTGTTGCAAGGGAGACAGCAGCAGCTTACTTTCAGCATTTCCAACTCTACTGGGCCATTGTTCTGCCCAACCAGGAAAAACTCCACTATCACGGTTCTCTTCTCTATACGCCTGGACACACTTGAGCGCCGCGTGAACAGTGGGAAAGCCCTGGCTATGGCACAGGCAGAAGCAAAGACCTCCGAGCGCTCACAGACCATCTGAAACAGAAGTGGAAAAGCAATGGGTTACACCAGGCTAAGAAAGAACATAAAAACATAGGTAGAGGTAAAGACAACTTAAGAATAACTCGTAGTGATTTAAAATATAATAAACCTGGGAAGGAGAAGAACTGGCCCTAGTATTAAGTGTAAACTGATGTGCAATTTTCAATCTTTGGACCTCCAGAAATGTTGGCCTTCAAATTCCCAGCAAAAATGGATATTGGCCACACACTCTGGAAGGTAAAATTTCCAAATATCCAGAGTCCTGGGAGAAAAAATGCCCATAATTCTTTGAAATAATTAGAAATAATAATAATAATAATAATGAAATGTAAAGGTTTCTCCTGACATTAAGTCTAGTCGTGCCAGACTCTGGGCAGTGGTGCTCATCTCCATTTCTAAACCGAAGAGCCGGCGTTGTCCATAGATGCCTCCAATGTCATGTGGCCAGCATGACTGCATGGAGCGCTGTTACCTTCCCACCAGAGTGTGTTTTTGAACTGCTAGGTTGGTAGAAGCTGGGGCTAACAGCAGAAGCTCACCCAGTTCCCTGGATCTGAAGCACCAATCTTTTGATCAGCAAGTTCTGCAGCTCAACGGTTTAACCCGTTGCGCCACCGAGGGTGCCAATAATAATAATAATAATAATAATAATAATAATAATAATAATAATTTATTACCTGCCTCCCCTTTCAGCTCAAGAAGAGGAACAATATAAATATGATATTATTATCCTTTATAGATTGAGAAGTGCTATTATATGCACATGACATGCATTAAGTACTATTTGATTTGCCAAAAATCAGTCATGTTTGATATATTAAAATAAAAGTTGACCATAGAATCATGCTAAAAGACCTCAAGATTCCTGGAGGGAATATACAAATCAAATATGCTAAAGCTGAACCCACAAATGTGGAGGGTTAACTGTAAATAAACATTTGTGGCACTCAATATTATTTTTGGCACTTGAAGCATCTTATAAACACCTCTCCCCAAGTCTTACAAGTAAAAAAACTGCATTGATGTGAGTTTTCCGGGCTGTATGGGTGTGTTCCAGAAACATTCTCTCCTGACATTTCACCCACATCTATGGCAGGCATCCTCAGGGGTTATGAGGTCACTAGCCAAATGGGGTTTGTATTTCTGTGGAATGTCCAGGGTGGGAGAAGGAACTCTTGTCTGTTTGAGGTAGGGGTGAATGTTGCAACTGGCCATCTTGATTGGCCACCTTGATTAGCATTGAATTTCTCCCACTCTGAACATTCCACAGATAAATTAGTCCCACTTGCCTAGTTTCCAACAGACCTTACAACCTTCAATGAGACCTGCCATAGATGTGGGTAAAACATCAGGAGAGAATGCTTCTGGAACATACCCATACAGCCTGGAAAATTCACAGAAACCTAGTGATTTCGGCCATGAAAGCCTTTGACAACACAAGTACAACACTATTTTTTTTTCATGTCAGGAGCGACTTGAGAAACTGAAAGTCGCTTCTGGTGTGAGAGAATTGGCCGTCTGCAAGGACATTGCCCAGGCGATGCCCGGATGTTTTGATGTGTTACCATCCTTGTGGGAGGCTTCTCTCATTTCCCCACATGGAGCTGGAGCTGATAGAAGGAGCTCATCCGCGCTTTCCCCGGATTCGAACCTGTGATCTGTTGGTCTTCAGTCCTGCCGGCACAGGGGTTTAACCCACTGCACCACTGGGGGCGCCATATTAATTAAATAACCAACCATTTAGGTTTTAAATGTTAAATTTCTCCCTCACTTTCACTTACAAGGATGCACCTGTTAGTCCCGCCTGGAAGACAGTTTCGAATGAGACGTGTAAGAAACTGGGCGGCCGATGGACTATTGTGCCGAGTGACTCGGGAAGGAAGAGCCGCGACGGTGGCATAGTTCAAGTAAAGGGGGCAGCTGTCGGTCGGGTTGGGGTTCAAGGTGTTCAGTGCAGCTTGCCATACCTGAGTACAAAATAAAAAGCACAGAAGGTCAAAGGTTTCCTAGAGGGAGGCACCTCGTCTTCCACTGTTCCTCAGGCACACCTCTGGCCAAGTAGGAATGTTTCCATTCAACTATAGGAACCTCTGGGTTGACATTCCCCATACAAGTAGATACTACACTGTGGATCTTTTCTTTTGGAAAACGATTGAGAATGCTGTCATGGGACCCTGACCAAGTACAACCGCCTCCCATGCGATATTGATGGCCTCATGACAGCACCTGACTGTTTGCTGCTGTCATCAGGTAACCCCATAGTAGGGTCTACTAATAGGTGTCTCAGAGTTGTGTAACATTCCATCATTTCTAAAGTGACAACAAATAATTATAAGGATCATGACCACCCTAGAAGCAAGTATTTAGGAGTTAATCACCTGGCAAGCATTTAATAATTTACAGCCACGGCGGGGTAACTGAAAGAATAATAAAAAAGCACAAGCTGTTGTCAGAATGACCATACATCCATGCTAACAAAATTTATACAACCCAACATATAAATACGAATTATAATTTAACAAACTAAAATTAAATAAAAGGCACAGCCTGTTATAACAGACATAAGACAAAACATCAAATGGAAACAATTATTTCCCATTTCTTTGGGGCAAATTGATTAATCATTGCTCAAGATATCTATTGAGCTGGTGGGGTGAGCAGGGCACGGATATGGATGGCAACTATTAATCAGAGGTATAATGGTAGTATTACCAACTACTATTCCTCCTCCTCATAAGCCAGTGAGCAAAGGTATGTCTTCAGCTGTTTTTTGAAAGCGGGGAGGGAGGGGGGCATCTTTAACTTTAAGTTGGGGGCAGTCACGGAGAAGGCCCTTTCTCTCGTTCCCACCAGCCGTGCTTGGGACAGGGGTGGAACTGAGAAAATGACCTCCTCTGATGACCGCAGTGTCCGAGTTGGTCTGTAGAGAGAGATGCGGTTTGTCAAACAGTCTGGAATAAATTGCCATAACGAAATGTATGGGGATGCAACGCATCTCATGAAAACCTTTCATATACATTTTCAACAAAATATACGATTGCTTGTTTCACATAGACTCAAATTTCTCATTAGGTGTGCACGACACACTGACACACTAATGTGTTGCAACACGCCATTTGGAAAGCTCTGCCCTGTAGTATAACAAGGTGCTTTGAATGTGATTCTATGATTCTAAGGTTCTTTTCATTAACAGAAGTGGTGACCTATGGCCCTCCAAATATTAGAGATGCCAGAATGAAAATGGGAAACACTCCCTCTACCTTTCTTGCTACTTGCTTGCATGACAAGCAATACCCATGATCGTTAAAGCGGTGTCAAACTGCATTAATTCTTCTGTGCAGCTGCCAACAATTCTAGCTCTCAATATATAGCAATTTTTCACCCTAACTGCCCATCATTCTTTGCTTGATTCCTCAAAATGGCCCTTCAATATCACCATGAACATAACTTAAATGTGACTTTTTACCTGCTGGACCTTATGGCTGAAATCTTCACCCAAATTCTTCCAGTTTGCTTTGACCGGTGTTGCTTAACTCTCAAGACATGTAAAGACATCTATGCATTAGTCAGCAGACCCTGTCTCGCCCTTTCGACTCACACCCTGAAATCCAGCATATATGACATATTATACGTGGGTGGGTCAAAAAGTTTTGCCTCCCATGTCATTAAAAACGTTATGAATGAACCTGTAACAGCAGAAGTTGCTACAGATCATAGTTTGACCTGTCCTCTACGCAAAACGAGACATTCAACAGAGTCACCTTCAATTTGTACACATTTGCGCCATTGTTTAACCCAGGTATCAAAACTATTTAGGAAAAAATCAGAGTTTTGTTTCGTTATTGTAAAGCTGTTTTAATGTCATTCAAGCCATTGAATCTGAAACCACATAGGTTGTCTTTCAGAGGTCCAAACAGGTAAAAGTCAGAAGGGGCCAAATGATCAACATTCTTCAAGCAATTATGGATTTCCTTAGGTGCACAACCTCCTTTTTCTTTGCAAAACTGATTATCTTCATCTACATCAGGCACAAACTTCAGCCCTCTGGGTGTTTTGGACTCCAACTCCCACAATTTCTAACAGCTGGAGGACCGAAGTTTGCCCATGCCCAATCTACACAGCAGAATGAATGCAGAAATCCAGCATATATATGACATACATAATACCTATCGGCTGTTAGGAATTAAGGGAGTTAGAATGCAAAACACCCAGAGGACCGATCTTTGCCCATGCCTGATCTACACTGCGGAATGAATGCAGAAATCCAGCATATATATGACAAATCATGTCATATATATGATATACTATGTCCAATGATTGCATTGATCAATAGTTATGCTCCAGTCATTGGTTCCCTTGGCAATGCTGCTAGGAATTATGGGAGTTAGAGTCCAAAACACACGCAGGCCAAAATCTGCCCATGCAGAATGAATGCAAAATCCAACATATATATATAACTAGCCATCCCTTGCCACGCGTTACTGTGGCCCAGTCTGTGTATATGTGTTTTGTGTGTGTATATGTGTGTGCATATATTTGTGTATATGTGTATATATGTGTGTTTGCATTTATATATGTGGTTTTGCACATGTGTTGTAATGTAATTTTTTTTTTTGGCTTTTTAAGTCTCTTCTGCTGTGTTTTTCAGTGTTTTTATGAGTGATGGCCACTTGTTGGCCTGATAGGTGTATAGCGTCCAAATTTGGTGTCAATTCATCCAGTGGTTTTTGAGTTATGTTAATCCCACAAACTAATATTACAAACACACACACACATATATATAATACCAATTGGCTCTTAGGAATTGTGGGAATTAAGAGTCCTAAACACCTGGAGTGCCAAAGCTTGTCAATACCTGATCTACATTGTGGAATGAATGCAGAAATCCAGCATATATATGAAACATTATGTCATATATATGACATATGATGTCCTATCATTGAAAGGATCAATATTTACACTCCAGCCATTGGTTCCCTAGGCAATGCTGTTAAGAATAATGGGAGTGAAGAGTCCAAAACACCCGGAGTGCTGAAGATTGCCCATGCCTAATCTGCACTGTAGAATGAATGCAGAATTCCAGCAAATACGACATATCATGTCATATACATGACATATTATGTCAAATCATTGAATAAATCAATATTTATACTCCAGCCATTGGTTCCCTTGCAACACCATTTAGAATTATGGGAGTTAGAGTCCAAAACACCAGGAGGGCCAAAGTTTGCCCATGATTGATCTACAACCTGGAATGAATGCATATCGGCTGTTAGGAATTGTGGGAATGAGAGCCCAAAACACTCGGAGGGTCAAAGTTTGCCCGTGCCTGATCTACACTGTAGAATGAATACAGAAACCCAACATATATGTGACATATTATGTCAATTCATTGAATGAATCAATAGTTATGCTCCAGCTATTGGTTCCCTTGGCAATGCTGTTAGGAATTATGAGAGTTAGATTCCAAAACACATACAGGGCCGAAGTTTGCACACGCCAGATCTATACTGCGGAATGAATGCTGAAATCCAATGTATATATCATGTCATATCTATGACATATTATGTCCAATTATTGAATGGATCAATATTTACGCTACAGCCATTGGTTCCTTTGAGAATACTGCTAAGAATTATGGGAGTTGGAATCCAAAACACCCAGAGGGCCAAAGTTTGCCCATGCCTGATGTACACTGCGGAATGAATGCAGAAATCCAGCATATATGTGACATATCATGTCATATGTATGACATATTATGTCAGTTCATTGAATGGATAAATATTTATGTTCCAACCACTGGTTCCCTTTGCAATGCTGCTAGGAATTATGGGAGTCAGAGTCCAAAACACATACAGGGCCGAAGTTTGCACATACCAGATCTACACTGTGGAATGAATGCAGAAATCCAGCATATATATGATATATATCATATATGGCAGATTATGTCCAATCATTGAATGGATAAATATTTATGTTCCAACCACTGGTTCAATGCTGCTAGGAATTATGGGAGTTAGAGTCCAAAACACATACAGGGCCAAAGTTTGCCCGTGACTGATCTACACTGTGGAATGAATGCAGAAATCCAGCATATATATTATATATATCATATATGGCAGATTATGTCCAATCATTGAATGGATAAATATTTATGTTCCAACCACTGGTTCCCTTTGCAATGCTGTTAGGGATTATGGGAGGTAAGAGTCCAAAACACATACAGGGCCGAAGTTTGCCCATGACTGATCTACACTGCGGAATGAACGCAGAAATCCAGTGTATATATCATGTCATATATATGACATATTATGTCCAATCATTGAATGGATCAATATTTACGCTCCAGCCATTGGTTCATTTGACAATACTGCTAAGAATTATGGGAGTTAGAGTCCAAAACACCCAGAGGGCCGAAGTTTGCATATGCCAGATCTACACTGTAGAATGAATGCAGAAATCCAGCATATATATGATATATATCATATATTTGACATATTATGTCCACTCATTGATTGATCAATATTTATGTTCCAACCACTGGTTCCCTTTGCAATGCTGCTAGGAATTATGGGAGTTAGAGTCCAAAAAACCTGGAGGGCCGGAGTTAGAGTCCAAAAAACCTGGAAGGCAGAAGTTTTCCCCTGCCTGATTGTACATTGTGGACTGAATGCAGTTTGGCACCCCTTGAACCAGCCAGGCTCAATGCTGTGCAGTCAATGGGGATGTATTCCTACAACAGGCCTTTTAGTTTTCTCTGCTGCTTGGCCAAACTACAAATCGCATTGATCCAAGGGCAGATCAAAGCTGGGCTGATTCTCCCGTGTAGATGCAGAATAGGCCTTGGAGGGGGGACAGAAGCCCTTGGGTTTGTGTGTGTGTGTCCATGGGGAAAGAATCCCCAAGGTGTTGCAGGGGGCCTCTTCCTTACCTCCTCGGAGACGCGTGGCTGGAGCTTCCCGCGGAGGTGAGTCCAAGGCAGGCGCTGCAGGTTGGCCAGGCGGCCCAGGACCAGCACCGGGCGGCTCTGCGGGTCTGCCTCGCCCGCGCTGCCCTCGAAGGACAGACCCACGTTCGCCATCTTCCCCGCAGCAGCAGCAGCAAAGGAGGAGGAGGAGGCAGCCGGGGAAGCCGAGCTCCTCCCCGGCCAGGCGCCTCCCTCTCCCCTCTTCCCTCCCTCCCGTCCTCTGCTTTCTGGGCCAGGAAGGCAATGGCATGCCCTGCCTGATGCAGGAAGGAACGAGGAGGAGGAAAGCAAAGGGCTCGGGCTGGAACCTGTTGCTGCTCTCCATTCATCATGGGCATCATCATCATCATCAGAGCTGCAAGACACCACAAGGGACATCTACTCCAAGACCTTCCCATTTCTCAGCTCTCAGCTTACTCCTTTTATTACTTTAGGGTGCAGATGGACCTTATTGACCTTGGGAAATTGGTGATAATGGTGATGATTATTTTTAGGGTGTGAATGACCATGTAGCTATTGGGAAATATCTTCATCAGAGTTGGAAGAGACCACAAGGGCCATCTAGTCCAACTCCTTACCATTTCTCAGTTTCTTGTATTACTTCAGGGTGCAGATGGACCTTATTGCCCTTACGAAATCTGTGATAGTGGTGATGATTATTTTAAAGTGTGATGGACTGTACAGCTATTGGGAAATATCTTCATCTGAGTTGGAAGAGACCACAAGGGCCATCTGGTCCAACCCCTTACCATTTATTAATTCTCAGCTTACTCCTTTTATTAGTTTAGAGTGCAGATGGACCTTATTGCCACTGGGAAACTTGTGGTAATGGTGATGATGATTTTTAGGGGGTGATGGACCATGTAGTTATTGGGAAATGTCTTCATCAGAGCTGGAAGAGATCACAAGGGCCATCTGGTCCACACCCCTACCATTTGTCAGCTCTGAGCTTACTTCTTTTATTACTTTAGGGTGCAGATGGACCTTATTGCCCTTGGGAAATTTGTGATAATGGTGATTATTATTTTTAGGGTGTGAATGACCATGTAGCTATTGGGAAATATCATCATCAGAGTTGGAAGAGACCACAAGGGCCATCTAGTCCAACCCCTTACGATTTCTCAGTTCTCAGCTTACTCCTTTTATTACTTTAGAGTGCAGGTGGACCTTATTGCCCTTGGGAAAGTTGTGATAATGGTGATGGTGATTTTTAGGGTGTGATGGACCATATAGCTATTGGGAAATATCTTCATCAGAGTTAGAAGAGACCACAAGGGCCATCTAGTCCAACCCCTTATAACTGGTCAGCTCTAAGCATACATTTATTTGGAGGAGGGGTTACTTTAGGGTGACCTCACTTTAAGGTTACCACCTGTCACACCCAGCACTTTTTAAAAATCTGTACCCATTACTTGGCCCGGCCCTAGTTTTATTGTGTTATAGTGTATTGTTTTGTTGTTTTATTGTTTTTCTTTAATGACTTGCTTTGAGTTGTGTATTTGCTATGCTATGTTTTTGAGGCCTTGGCCTTTGTAAGCCGCATCGAGTCCTTCGGGAGATGCTTGTTGTTGTTCATTCATTCAGTCGTCTCCGACTCTTTGTGACCTCATGGACCAGCTCCCTGTCGGCCGTCACCACCCCCAGCTCCTTCAAGGTCAGTCCAGTCACTTCAAGGATGCCATCCATACATCTTGCCCTTGGTTGGCCCCTCTTCCTTTTTCCTTCCACTTTCCCCAGCATAATTGTCTTCTCTAGGCTTTGCTGTCTCCTCATGATGTGGCCAAAGTACTTCAACTTTGTCTCTAGTATCCTTCCCTCCAGTGAGCAGTCGTGCTTTATTTCCTGGAGGATGGACTGGTTGGATCTTCTCGCAGTCCAAGGCACTCTCAGCACTTTCCTCCAACACCACAGCTCAAAAGCATCTATCTTCCTTCGCTCAGCCTTCGGGAGATGCTAGCGAGGTACAAATAAAGTTAATAATAATAATAATAATAATAATAATAATAATAAAGATGGGGCTTATTGCCCTTGGGAAATTTGTGATGATGATGATGATTTTTAGGGTGTGATGGACCATGTAGGTATTGTAGAGTTGGAAGAGACCAAAGGGCCATCTGGTCCAAGCCCCTATTTCTCAGCTCTGAGCTTACTTGTTTTATTACTTCAGGGTGCAGATGGACCTTATTGCCTTTGGGAAACTTGTGATAATGGTGAGAATGATTTTTTGGGTGTGATGGACCATGTAGCTATTGTGAAATATCAACATCAGGGTTGGAAGCAACCACAAGGGCCATCTCCTCCAACCATTTACAGTTGGTCAGATCTGAGCATACTTTTATTTGGAGGAGGGGTTACTTTAGGGTGAATATGGACCTTATTGCCCTTGGGACATTTGTGATAATGATGATGATGACTTTTAGGGTGTGATGGACCATGTAGCTATTGTAGAGTTGGAAGAGACCACAAGGGCCATATGGTCCACACCCCTACCATTTGTCAGCTCCGAGCTTACTTCTTTTATCACTTTAGGGTGCAGAGGGACTTTATTGCCCTTGGGAAACTTGTGATAATGGTGATGATGATCCCACCAGTTTTTTGTCATAGGCAGATGGTATTTGTGGCACAAGTTCCAGTGGATCATCTCAGCAACAGTATTATGCCTCTGTTTGTAGACCATCTGCCCGATCACCTTGCAGTAGCTGAGTATGTGAGCCATCATTTTGTCTGCTTCCTTGCAGAGTTTACACTTGGAATCTGTCATCAACTTTTCAATTCTGGCTTTGATGGCATTGGTTCTAATTGCTTGTTCTTAGGCTGCAAGAATCAGGCCCCCAGTCTCCTTTTTCAAAGTTCTTAGTAGTAGTAGTAGTAGTAGTAGGTATATAATCATAGAGTTGAAAGAGATCACAAGAGCTATCCAGTACAATTCCTTGTCATTTGTCATTTTTTAAAGCACAATTTATTTTTTGGGTAGGGGGACTTCAGGGTGCAGATGGACCCTATTGCCATTAGGACATTTACTACTACTACTGTTATTATTTTTTATTAATCAGAGACTTGGAAGAGATCACAAGAGCCATCCAGTCCAACTTCCTGCTATTTGTGTTTTGAGCATTTGGTAGTGGGTGGGCAAATTTAGGGAGTCAGATGGAATATATTATTATTATTATTATTATTATTATTATATATATATATATATATATATATACATCTATATATATAAAAATGCTCTGTGCATAATGAGTACCTTAAAAACAAAAGAACCAATGAACGAAATCACACCAAATTTGGCAACAAAACATCTCACAACACAAGAAGTGACCATCACTCAAAAAATTATGATTTTGTAATTTGGGAGTTGTAGTTGGGATTTATAGTTCACCTACAATCAAAGAGCATTCTGAACCCCACCAATGATGGAATTGAACCAAACTTGGCACATAGTTCTCCTATGACCAACAGAAAATACTGGAAGGATTTGCTGGGTATTGACCTTGACTTTGGGAGTTGTAGTTCACCTACATCCAGAGAGCACTGTGGACTCAAACAATGATGGATCTGGACCAAACTCTACACGAATACTCAATATGCCCAAATGTGGAGTTTAGGGAAAATAGATTCTTGACATTTGGGAGTTGTAGTTGCTGGGATTTATAGTACACCTACAATCACAGAGCTTTCTGAACCCCACCAACGATAGAATTGGGCCAAACCTCTCACACAGAACCCCCATGTGGGCCACAGCAATGCGTGGCAGGAGACGGCTAGCTGTTGTTGTTGTTGTTGTTGTTGTTGTTGTTGTTGTTGTTATTATTATTATTATTATTATTATTATTACTATTAGAATCAGAGTTGAAAAAAACCACAAAGGCCATCTAGTCCAACCCCTTGCCATTTATCAGTTCTGAGTGTACTAGCAAATACCTTCACAAGTGACCCACACATTCTAAAGCTATATAGAGACAGAAGGAATCTTCTGTGATGTGTTATCACTCACACAGTCATTTTTATTTTGTTCCCGAAGCACAAACCTTGTATTCCCAGTTTTAAAGTACACAGTTCTATGGCAACAATATGTGTCTATTGCCTTAAATAGCAAGGAACATACTTTAGGAATGCCAGAGTTTGTGCTGAGAAATTTTCCATGTGTAGTTGTTTATGCACAGCACACCTCACACTGAGGTAAAACAGCCCTCATCCCTGCAGAGCATCAATTTGGAAATTGCGAGAAAATGGGGGACAGATCACCATTAAGCGACAAATTGCAATCAAATGGGCACTTTTGTTTTGCTCATTTCCTATGCAGTTTTATGATTGAAATGTTTTGCATTAAGTTGATTGGTCTTTCAAATATTTTTTTTGAATCAGGCACAAAACTAAACATATATAGGACATTTAGAAAACTTAAGGTCACCTCCTTAAGTTTTTTAACTTAACGTCACCTCCAAGGAGCCCCCAGTGGCACAGTGGGTTAAAGCGCTGAGCTGCTGAGCTTGTTGACTGAAGGTTGCAGGTTCGATTCCAGGGAGCGGCGTGAGCTTCCGCTGTCAGCCCCAGCTTCTGCCAACCCAGCAGTTCGAAAACATGCAAATGTGAGTAGATCAATAGGTACTGCTCCGGTGGGAAGGTAATGGCGTTCCATGCAGTCATGCCAACCACATGACCTTGGAGATGTCTACAGACAATGCCGGCTCTTCGGCTTAAAAATGCAGATGAGCACCACACCCCAGAGTCAGACACGACTGGACTGAATGTCAGGGGAAAACCTTTACCTTTACCTAAGGTCACCTCCATCTTTTGCCAAGGCCCAATACTATGGAATCCTGAGATTTGTAGTTTGGTGAGCCTGCAGCACTCTGGCAGAAAAAACTAAAGACCATGTACAAATACTCCCATATTTCCAGATCACTGAGCCATAGCACTTAAAGTTATGTCAAACTGCATTTCATTCAGTAGTGTTGATGCACCCCAAGGTCCAGGTCTTCAAACTGCTGTCTTAAACTCTCTAAATTAGATGGATAACAAAATCACGTTTTTATCATCATACAAAGTTAAGGTAGGAAGGTGCTTAAAGTAACATTTGCTTAGGGTAACATGTCACTTAAAACATGGCAGACTGTTTTGAAAATACATTCCCCACCATGCGAGGTCATGAAACAAATATATTGGGGGGTGGGGAGAGAAATGGACATGAAAGAAAGTGAGTCATGCTTTCAGCATCTTGAGGGGAAACCAGCTACTCTGTTTTGTCAGTTGACTATTTCTATGGCATCATCAAGCCCTTGCCTTTCTCTGTTTCCAGAAACGATTCTGCAGCTGTTGGGTTCCACCCGCAAAAGAATATTGTAAAGTTCCATTTTGAAAGTAAACAATGTATGAAACACAGAGAAATGTATTTGCATTAGCAGGAAAAACGAAATGCAAAGATACAGAATGGGGGACAATGCCTGGCTCGAGAGCAGTACGTGTGAAAAAGATCTTGGGAGTCCTCGTGGACAACAAGTTAAACATGAGCCAACAATGTGATGTGGCGGCAAAAAAAGCCAATGGGATTTTGGCCTGCATCAATAGGAGCATAGTGTCTAGATCTAGGGAAGTAACGCTACCCCTCTATTCTGCTTTGGTTAGACCACACCTGGAATATTGTGTCCAATTCTGGGCACCACAATTCAAGAGAGATATTGACAAGCTGGAATGTGTCCAGAGGAGGGCGACTAAAATGATCAAGGGTCTGGAGAACAAGCCCTATGAGGAGCGGCTTAAAGGGCTGGGCATGTTTAGCCTGAAGAAGAGAAGGCTGAGAGGAGACATGATAGCCATGTATAAATATGTGAAGGGAAGTCATAGGGAGGAGGAGAGCAAGCTTGCTTACTGCTGCCCTGGAGACTAAGACGCAGTGCACTGGTTTCAAACTACAGAAAAGGATATTCCACCTGAACATTAGGAAGAACTTCCTGACTGTGAGAGCCGGTCAGCAGTGGAACTCTCTGCCCCGGAGTGTGGTGGAGGCTCCTTCTTTGGAGGGAGGCTGGATGGCCATCTGTCAGGGGTGATTTGAATGCAATATTCCTGCTTCTTGGCAGGGGGTTGGACTGGATGGCCCATGAGGTCTCTTCCAACTCTTTTGATTCTATGATTAGCTCTAATCCAAAAGATCCTAAGATGATGTGTCCTTGTCTATGAAATAGATTGGCAACCTGCTCCAAAGACGGAAATGTCAATATTTAGTGAGCAAGATTAGATCTTGGAGGCCTCTTCGCAGTTCTATGGAAAACTCCACAACTGGTGCTTCTCCAATGCTGGAAATCTGATGATGGGGTCAGTAGAATGGACACATTCTTTGATCCAGTCTCTTTGGTATAGAATTGGTTCCAATAAACAGTAGGCCAGTGCCTATTTCTACAGTAAGATATTTTGCAACATTGCAGTTATGGGGAGTGCCAGGAACCATGTAAATATATGTAATTACTTTACCTATAAAGCAAAAATAGTAGTTTCTGTTTAAACATCATACCAATTTTTGCCTTTTCTTCAGAGACTGGAAACAAATACTTCTGCTTAAACATTTCCATGCTAGCAATCCTACAATATCTTCAAGGCCATGTGATTTCCAAACCTGCTATAGAGCACCATGTGCCCTGATGGTTCTGTATAAATAAATAATGCTACCACCACAGGCATAATGTAGACACTCACTGTGTTCTACCATACTTTATTTCTTATTTCCTTTGACAGTGGCAATGCTTAAAAAACAGAATGTTAACATCGGCATGTTGAACATTATCACAATGGAAACAAAACAGAAAGCAATTGTTATTTGAGGTTGATTCTTCATTTAACGGCGAACACATGATTTTGGTCTATCTCCAAAATGAGTAGCATGTGCCTGGGCCACATCAGTTTATCTTGCTCTCACACTGTTGAAGCTCTTCTTGAACACATGAAACGAGCTGTCAGGGCAGAAAAACATCTGTACATCTCAGACATAGATCAGAGATCCAGATCATCAGTCGGCAGGCTTGAGGCTCACCATTTTCTTTGCTTTTTTACATCTACTAAACAGAGCCAGGTATAAAATATTGATTTGTGGATGGGGGTAGATGGGGAGAAAAACAGCAGCAGAGTAAGGAAGAGAGTGCTTCTGGGCATGTACTTAGCCCAAGAATACATACAAGAAATGAGCTACGATTTCTTTAATTAAAAAGTCATATCCCTAAGTTTCCTTGATTTGGCATAAGAAAACTTTTCATTGATTTACCATGAATTATCCGGAGACTTGCCAGCGCACCCTGACATAGGTTAACTGGGGCCTTCTAGATGCTATTTGATCTCAATTCGCATCATCCCTTGACAGTGCAGCCAATAATAAGGAATGCTGGACGTTGTCGTCCAACAATATCTGGATGGGTCCACTTTGCACACCCTTGAACAAAAGCAATCACTGCATTGAAACTAGGTAAATGTAAAGGTTTCCTCTTGACATTAAGTTTAGTCGAGGTCTGACTGTGAGGGGTGATGCTCATCTCCAATTCTAAGTCGAAGAGCCAGTGTTGTCCGTAGACGCCTGGTCATGTGGCTGCCATGACTGCATGGAGAGCCGTTATCTTCCTGCCAAAGTGGTACCTATTGAGCTACTCACATTTGCATGTTTTCGAACTGCTAGGTTGGCAGAAGCTGGGGCTAAAAATGGGAGCTCACCATTTTTAGCACCGTTTTTTCAAATCACCAATCTTCCGGTCAGCAAGTTCTGCAGCTTAGTGGTTTAACCCACTGCGCCACCGTGGCCCACAGTAAAACTATACAACTGTTGATACATAACTAAATACAGCATAATCCCCATATCTAAAATTAGGCCTCTTCAACCTGCAGCCCTCCAGGTATTTAGGCCTCCCAATCCCAGGAGCCCTAGCCAGACTTGTTCAATGGTCATGAATTCTGGGAGCTGAAGTCCAAAATACCTGGAAAGCTGCAGGTTGAAAAACCTGCTCTAGGGCAACTCTATAGTAACTTCTGGTGGAAACATACCATACAATTGCCTGGATGTTAGAGAATTCTTAGGATATATTTTATCGAGTGCAGGTAGGTCAGTGGTCTTCAACCTGTGGGTCCCCACATGTTTTGGCCTTCAACTCCCAGAAATCTTAACAGCTGGTAAAGTGGCTGTGATTTCTGGGAGTTGTAGGCCAAAACACCTGGGGACCCACAGGTTGAGAACCAATGCGGTAGGTGAGGCTATGTGTACAGGGGCCAAACTGTTTAGCAGGATGTCAAAACATAGTCTAACCAAATTCTAAACTACTTGTTCTCCTTCAGTTTAAGCAATGTTTGCAAATATGGCAAAGAACAGCACAAGAACTCTCCAAATTCTATGGGCCCTTCCAGACAGGTCCTATATCCCAGGATCTGATCCTGGGTTTTTTGCTTTAAACATTATATGAGTTCCCATTGCTAGATAATCTGGGATAAACAGAAAACCTGGGATCAGATCCTGGGATATAGGGCATGTCTGGAAGGGCCCTATGATTCTACAAAAACCAATCTCTGTTGCCCTTGAATCCCTGCCCGACTTTCAGCAGAGATGCAACAGATCAAGGGCCAATGCAACAACATCCAGATGCAGAGACAACAACATCTTTCTCATTGACTATGCAAATATTCACCAGTTTCCACTATGCTTAAACCTAAGGGTGGAGTCATTCCCTGAAAGACAGCAAATGCAGGACTTTAGGTATCATTCATTGAGACCTAGCTCCACAAACAATCAGGGTCGATCTTTGAGCAGAGCATGAAAAACTACTTTTGGACTTCAACACCTAGCATCTCCAGAAATCATGCTACCTGCAGTTGAAACCCCAAAAGTTGCCTTTTCAAGCAGTGGCCTACTGTTCTCTAGAGAGTCTGAATGGTGCAAAGAGCTCAATGAATGAGGGAAAGCTGCAAAAGAATTAATAGACGACATGACCGGATATTATCATACTGATGGGCTGAAAAACACTGGCAAGCCGTGCCAATACATCACAACAGAAAGAGATGCAGCACAAAAAGCTTTCAATAAATTATTTGATATGGAATGTGTGTGTGTTTTAAGGATTAAGCAAGGCCCCTGAAACTGCAGAGCAGTTTGAGGATCCAGTTAAACCGGTACTATTGACCGCTAAAAATGACCCATTTGGAGAGTCAACTGCTACATTAATGGAGCCAAGGGATCCTGATGCACATAAGCCAGTAGTATAGCACTTCATCACAGCTGAACAGTATGCCACATTTCTCCTGAGCCCTCCCTGTAGTCAAATGATTTAAAAAAGCAAAATGTTCTATCTAAACATACGATTCAAATAATCATACCACTTTATTTCATTTCATCCTGTTGAAGTAGCATGTGTGGATACCACCATGACTTTCTAGTTCAGTATTTACAAACAGAGGTTGAAATACAACACAGTTGATTCTTATATAATAAAAAGACACAGACTCTTTGGGGCGGGAGGAGAAAAGCGGGAAAGCAAAGGATTTTCTTTCAACCCTGGGCTTAATAGCTGAGTGTTTAAAATACATGCAATTAAAAAAAACAGTGCATGATCAGTTTAGAAGCAAAGTGCTGGAGAGGAGGCAGGGCATTACTAATTTCTTAAAGCTTAGGAATTAATTTTAAATTTATAGTACTGATTATGGTTGAGTTTTACGTTTACATTTCTTAGATATCACTCTAGAAGGAAGGGGAATAGCAATGATATGAAGCCACAGAGTATGAGTTATCTGCTGCTTTTTTTTTTAAAGGTTTAATTTGAATGAGTTTACACTAATTATTAATTGTAGGTGAAAATTAAGTGAAATCAAATGTGTTATTTTTTAAGGCATTTGTACCTCGAAATCATAGTTTTTGGTATCATGCTCGAATAGAAACCTGGAAAGGTTGCAAAAGCTAAGACTCTCTAGTATAAATGATGACATACAACACCATCAGCTTCTCAATGAAGAAATTAAAGTTCCTGAAATACCTTCATTCTTAACCGTTTCTTTACAAAAGCACGTTTAGTGTTTCAAGTGCAGAAATAAATAACCAGATATCTGATTTTGTGGCACTTCTTCCAAGTCTTTTTGCAAACTGTCAACTTTCCTATCCGTTCAACATATAAAAATGGAGAGGGGATATCTTTAGGAACATTGCACAGACTTTGCAGCACTAGGGTTTATACATTCATCCCAAAGTCAGCTTTCAAAGCACTGGCTCAACCCATTCGTATCAGAAACAAATAAACCAAGAAAGGAAAGGGGGAAAAACACAACACACAAAAATCCACCCTGCCTCCCCAAATATACATACACAAAAAACGTTACTGGAGTGTCACTTAGCGAGATTTTACAGCAATGAGGATAATGATAAGGACAATTATTATAACAGACAATATTACAATGACCAGCATCTTCCGATTCTTCTTTTGATATTGCTCAGCCTGCAGAGATAAAAAAAGAGAAATTCAAATCATTCACTGTGGCAGATTGTGTAAAGTACATGCAGTAACCTGCAATTAGCACCCGAGAGTAGAATAAGCAATGAGTTAAATTCAGTCTGTACTATGTGCTACTAAAATGCAAGAACTGAAGAATGAAAAATCAGTTTGTTTATTTACTCACAGAGTCATTTTGCAGAATTTATAGCCCAATCCTGTACAGGTCTACACAGTTTTTTTTCTAATGTTTTCTTCCTGATTTATTCTAGTAGACATTTTGGAACTACAGTGCCACCTATTAAGCTGTATTTTCCACTAATTAGCAGCCACTTCTCCACAAAAGTCAACATTGACACTGAAATACAACACTGCCTGAGTTCTGCGAGTGCAGCATTTTTCCAAAGAAGAGAATGTTTGAAAATTGGGACATCCGTAAGGATACCAAGGTGCTTGTTTATAAAGTTATTGTCCTCCCAAGCCTGCTATATGCCTGCAAAACGTGGACTGTCTACAGAAGTCACACTCAACTAGAACAATTCCACCAGCGTTGCCTCTGAAAAATCTTGCAAATCTCTTGGGAAAATATGCAGACAAATGTCAGCATGCTGGAAGAAACAAAAACCGCCAGCATTGAAGCGATGCTCCTACACCATCAACTCTGCTGGGCTGGCCACATTGTCCGAATGCCCATTCACTGTCTCCCAAAGCAGTTACTATACTTCCAACTCAAGAACAGAGAACGGAATATTGGAGAACAGGAAAAGAGATTTAAAGATGGGCTTAAAACCAACCTTAAAAACTCTTGCATAGACACCAAAAACTGGGAAGCCCTGGCCCTTAAGCGCTCTAACTGGAGGTCAAGTGTGTCTAGCAGTGCTGTGGAATTCAAAGAGGCACAAATGGAGGGCAAAAGGGAGAAACGTGGCAAGAGGAAGGCATACCAAGCCAACCCTTATCAGGACCGCCTTCCACCTGGAAACCAATGTCCTCATTGTGGAATAAGCTGTGGGTCAAGAATAGTGCTGCACTATTCTTGACCCACAGTGGATACATCTACATATGTATCCACTGCCAGGACAATATTGGGTTGTTGTAGGTTTTTCGGGCTGTGTGGCCATGTTCTAGAGGCATTTTCTCCTGATGTTTCGCCTGCATCTATGGCAAGCATCCACAGATGCAGGCGAAACATCAGGAGAAAATGCCTCTAGGACATGGCCATATAGCCCAGAAAAAACCTACATACTACTATCATACTACTTCTTTATCCTCACCATAGGCTTGAGTTAGATTATGACCCTCTCTAGTAAATCCAGGGAAACATCATGTATAGAATGAGATTTCTATCATATCTTTGAAAATACATTGAATGAAGTACTGACATCCAGAATTACATCTTAATACACTCTTGGTGCTTTACCTTATGTAGCTGTTTTAATCCTTCTTCTGTTTTAACACATGATTGTTCAACATTGAAATCAATCCTGTCAAGAACTGTACCCTGAACAAAAGAAAGTATGTTAGCTGCATAGACAGAAGTGAAAGGAAGAAAGACATTAAAGGATCAATAAGATTTTGTTCTAAAAATTAAAGCCAACAAAACCAAGAAAATCTTTATAATCAAGACAGCAGCAGATAGGAAAAGCCATGAGATCGTCCCATTATTGTGAAGTTAACCCCAGTACCTTAAGCAGGAAATCCTGACTTCAAAGTAAACAGACTATGGGAAAAGTTACTTAGTGGCTTTGATATAGAATCATAAGAGTTGGAAGAGATCTCGAGGCCATCCAGTTCAGACCCCTGCCAAGCAGGAAAATCGCATTCAAAGCACCCCTGACAGATGGCCATCTAGCCTCTGTTTAAAAGCCCCCAAATAAGGAGCCTCCACCACATGCCGGGGCAGAGAGTTCCACTGCTGAACGGCTCTCACAGTCAGGAAGTTCTTCCTAATGTTCACATGGAATCTTTTCCACCTTTATCTCTTCTGTCATTAAGTACCACAGATTTAATGTCTAGGTGGGTCTTTCTTCAGCCCACATTATAAAGTTGTGCTGAATAAGGGCATCATGAATGCCCTATTCCCATCAGACACTCAAAGATTACCTCGAAAGCACAATTGAATCATGTCCTCAGGTCTTGAATAAAAAAGCATGAGGTCATAAAAATAAGAAAAGGAAGTTCTTCCTTAAACATAATTAGAATTTTCTGTTAACATAAACATTTTCTCCTCTTGAAAGAACTTTTATGGATTTGACTCACCCATTTATGCAGTTGGGGGCCTAAATACCCTTAAGGCACAAGATACCATCTGATCATGGAAACTAAGCAGGGTCAGCTCTGGTTAGTACTTGGATAGCAGAGCACCAAAGCATGATGCTGGCTATATTTCAGAGAAAAGAACGAACAAAACCACCTCAGAATTTTCCTTATCTAAGAAAATGTTTTGAATTGTATGGGAACACCATAAATCAACAGGTGACTTGAAAGCAGACACCACTGTCATCTTTTGCTGGAATAATCCTTGAATCCTTTGAAGGAATGTTTCTTTGGATCAACTTGGCCAATGCAAGATTTTTTGCTTTTTGAAACAATCCACAGATATATAAACCCCACTGCCTAATTTCCAACAGACCTCAGCCTCTATGGATGCCTGACATAGATGCAGGTGAAACCTCAGGAGAGAATGCTACTGGAACATGACCATGCAAACTTGAAAAACTCACAGCAACCCAATCTACTGATTTTTCTTAAGGCAACTGAACTATTTATGGTCTTGAACAGTTGCTAATTTTATGAAGCTCAAATGTTAGTATGGTCATAGAAGAGAGAACACTGACACTTAAAAAAAGGTTAAGACTGTGGTGGGGGGAAGGAACCACAAAAAATTCTGGTACATGGAAGAACTATGAAACTTTATACAGTGTAATACAAGATAAGCATCCCTTATCCAGAATTCCAAATTATTCCAAAATCCAATATTGTTCACACGAGTGGCTGAGCTAACAGCACCTTCGGTTTCTGGTTGTTCAGTGTCCACAACTTTGTTTCATGGACAAAATTATTTAAAATAATTGTATAAAATTACCTTCATGCAATGTATATTAATGCATTTTGGATTTAGACTCGGATCACATCTCTAGGAAAACATATTCGAGTATTCCAAAATCCAGGAGGGAAAAAAACCCAGACACATCTGTGCCTAGTATTTTGGATAAGGGACACTCAACCTATATTTCAGTACCAAGATCTACTTACCTGTTCAACTATCATTGTTCCTAAATCTCTAAAAATTTCATTGAGATCTGAAATGGACTGTACAATTTGTCGGATTTCTCGCTCCCGTTCTTCCACCAATACTGTGTTTTGTTGCACTAATACTAACTGGTCATCTGTAAAACCCTGTTTTAAGGAAGAACATATGAAATGTAAATAGTTGTCCCAGTTGTAATAATAGCAAATACAAGAGACTGGAAGTGTTACTCAACCAATCCTACGAACTATCTCAGACAAAACCACCTTTGACTCAAACTATAGCATGAGATCTCCCCCCCCCCACCCCCAGTTCTACATCTATATAAATAAAAAGGTAATGTTTGTTTGTGGGATTAACATAACTCAAAAACCACTGGACGAATCGACACCAAATTTGGACACCAGACACCTACTAACCCAAGGAGTGACCATCACTCAAAAAATGGATTTTGTCATTTGGGAGTTGTAGCTGCTGGGATTTATAGTTAACCTACAATCAAAGAGCATTCTGAACTCCACCAAACATGGCACACAGGACTCCCATGACCAACAGAAAACACTAGAAGGGTTTGGAGGGCATTGACCTTGAGTTTGGGAGTTGTAGTTCACCTACATCCAGAGAGCACTGTGGATTCAATGATGGATCTGGACCAAACTTGGCATGAATTATTTCATATGCCCAAATATGAACACAGATGGAGTTTGGAGGAAACAGACCTTGACATTTGGGAGTTGTAGTTACTGGGATTTATAATTCACCTACAATTAAACAGCATTCTGAACCCCACGAACGACAGAATTGGTGCAGACTTCCCATACAGAACCCCAATGACCAACAGAAAATACTTAAGGCCATCCAACTCTCTTCACCAGAGCAAGAAAACGTAATCAAAGCCCTCCTGACAAAGAGCCATCCAGCCATAGATATAGATAGATATGATTCACACACACAGATATAGTATCATAGATTTAAAATGGACCCCTAAAGAAGGACAATTATATGTTGCATGTTCTAGAGTAGGCAACCCAGACAATCTTCACATCAACACTGACAAAGAAACAGCAAGAAATACTGTTTATCCACAAGCATAAAAAAATTACATATATTAGAAACCAATACTTTCTCATTACTTCATTTCCCAGATCACCAGACTGGGCCACAGCAACACATGGCAGGGGGCAGCTAGTATACATATATTTTCTTAATTTCTTCTCTTCTGCCATTCCCATCTTTTGCGTTTTCATTAAGAATCAAAAGGCGATCTACCCCTTGATGATGAAAGCTTTATCATTAACTAAAGTAAATACTTGCTTAAGAAGATATAAAAGTAGAACAACACTCAAATAGCTATCAGACTAGGCAAATATGATTTTGCTTTTCACATGCTTCTTGCTATAAGACAGAGAATTTAATCAAATCTGCATTCAACATGACAGCTTCCAGACTTACCCGATCGTATAGTGTTGTGTCCTCTCCATCATCCATAAGTGGGACTGAAGTGTCGAAGAAATGTTTGGATCTTTCTTCGCGATTCTTTACACCTGCAAGAGCAGGGAAACAACTGTGATTAAAATTAAGGATTTGCCACTATATATTTAGCATGGCCTAATAATTTTCAGCACCTAGGCACTGTCTGATGTAGGCACACATTCACAGACTTAATGTTTCTGAGATGAATGGAAGGAGGAAAGCTGAGCCTGAATACTAGCTTCTTAGATATGGAAGAGGTTCTATATCAGCAGTCATTTCAATGAAACAATCAATGTTGCACTGTCACAGCCTGCAAAACGGAGCCCTGTTTTATCCAATGCACTAAACTGCGGGTTACATTGACCTTATATAGACCAGTGTTTCTCAATCTTCCTAATGCCGCGACCCCTTGATACAGTTCCGCATGTTGTGGTGACCCCCAACCATAAAATTATTTTCATTGCTACTTCATAACTGTAATTTTGCTGCTGTTATGAATCATAATCTAAATATCTGATATGTAGAACGTATTTTCATTCACTGGACCAAATTTGGCACAAAAACCCAATATGACCAAATCTGAATACTCGTGGGGGGGGGGGGGGTTGGTTTTGTCATTTGGAAGTTGTAGTTGCTGGGACTTATAGTTCACCTACAATCAAAGAGCATTCTGAACTCCACCAACAGTGGAATTGAATCTAAGTTGGCACACAGAACTCCTATGACCAACAGAAAATACTGACAGGGTTTGGTAGGCATTGACCTTGAGTTTTGGAGTTGTAGTTCACCTTACATCCAGACAGCACTGTGGACTCAAACAATGATGGATCTGGACCAAACTTGGCACGAATACTTAATATGCCCAAATGTGAACACTGGTGGAGTTTGGGAAAAATAGACCTTGACACTTGGAAGTTTTGGTTGCTGGGATTTATAGTTCACCTACAATCAAAGAGCATTCTGAACCCCCACCAACAAAAGAATTGGGCCAAACTTTCCTCACAGCACCCCATGCTTTGAAGGGACTCGCTGGTGTGAACCTTCCCTCCAGCCTCATGGGCTCTCCCTTGCCCGCACATGTGCACCACGTTGCCATGCGCTGAACATGCCCGCTCTCCCCTCCCTGCTCGGAGTCTCAGAAACAGCCCTCCCCTTGGCTGAGAGGCTGGCCAATCGCAGCGAAGGAGGGCTTTTGATGGGAGGATTCGCTGTCTGTTTCCAAAAAGAAAGAGTACAGGTAGAGAGATCTTCAGCCTTCTTTGCCAAAAGGGTTCCTAATAGGCTTGGGCGGTTTCGTTCGTTAATTTCGTAATTCATTATTAGCTTACGATCCAATATTGAGCCATGCAGGACTACTGTGAGGAGTAATTAAAAATCAAAACAATTTTTCCAATTTATTTCGTATTGTTTCGTAATTGGTTCAAAATTGTTTCGAAATTGTTTCGTAATTATTTCCGTATGTCTGGTGCAAGTTTTATAGTTGTTTGTTTTATCAATGATAAAAAATAAATTATCACACCAACAGTCAACAACAGAGGGAGAGGGAAGCTTCAGAAGTTCCCCCTGTCCCATTTGGAGGGTTTTTAGCATATTGCGCAATTGTGTCCGCCATTAACGAATCGATTCGTAATTTTACAAAATTTCGTATATTTCGAACTTTTCTAAAGGAAAATTTCGGAATTCTTTAAAAAAACGAAACGCAAGGGCCCCCCTAAAAACGAAAAGAGTTTAGAACCAAATTTTTCCATTGTTACCCAAGCCTAGTTCCTAAGACCAGTAGAAACCCCTCTGAAACCCAGGTTGAGAAACACTGATATAGACAAACCCAAAGAAAGGGGAAGATGATGCTCAGCATGCAAGTGTCATTTGATTCTCAGCTTACGTTTGAGATAGTCAGACTGCCCGTGCCTGAAGCTGGTGGACAAATCCTGAAGCGTCTGGGCTAAGCTAGAAACAATATTCTTCAGAAGCCGACGCTCTTGGTCTGTACAGCTTCGAGACCTGCCATGTAATGTCTGGACTGCTCTCTGACACCTGTGGAATAGCTTGGAGATGGAAAGTGGGGCAGGGGAGGAAGAAGAAGCCATTTCCATTACCAAATGAACAGTTCAAGCTGCAAAACAAACCATTTAAAAAAACTTATGCAAAGATAGCTCACAGAGGCTGTGTTGTCTTGTATACATTACATCTGCTTTTAATATTTTTATAAGCCACTTCAAGAGTTCATTTCGAGCAAGAGACAAGCTTTCCAGAGCAATAAAACCACTGAACTGTGACACAATTTCATTCAAAAAGAGAAACACTGACACAAGAACTAAAAAAGATGTCCAATTCATGTTTGAAAGAAAACCTCACGGATACCTGTGTGATTTCTTGGGTAGTTATTTCTATTGCATGTTCCTCTTCACTGCTATCATCCAGAGTTGGTCTGTTCATATGTTTATCATGCAGACTAGCTAGTTCTTTCATCTTCTGCTTTATCCTGGAGATCTCATACCGAATCTAAAAGGCCAAGAGTCAAACAAAGAAAGGCTCAGATAAAACGAGGCTAATAACTTGGTGGGATTACAGTAAGAAATTTCTTATCTAGTTTTCACAGATTACATAGCTTTGTGGCTGTTTCTGTACAAGTGGCATCTTACTGTCAGCACTGAATACTGTATACTATGGCATTATATCAATGACAATAGCTTCCCAACTATTTCCTTAATACATCACTTTCAATCCTATGTTGCCTCCTTCCTTAAATAGCTTGAAACAAAGTGAAGCAAAGAGCTTCACCTGTTCAAACAAAGTAGAAGGTAGAAAACATTTCAATAGTATTCCAGGAATTAAAGTCACATTTGGTCCTGCACTTTTGAGACCTCTATTGTGCTAGTTTCATGTTTCTACATCAGTGGTTCTCAACCTGGGGTCCCCAGATGTTTTTGGCCTTCAACTCCCAGAAATCCTAACAGCTGGTAAACTGGCTGGGATTTCTGGGAGTTGTAGGCCAAAAACATCTGGGGACCCCAGGTTGAGAACCACTGTTCTACATGAAGGTGTTTTTATACTTTGAACTTTTATCTTCTAGGAATGCTTATTGCATTTTTAATGCTGGATAGGTTTTTGTAATTTTGCATTTCATTCTAAACATTTATTTATTTATTTATTTGCAGTATTTATATACCGCTTTTCTCTCCCCTGGGGGAACTCAAAGTGGTTTACAAAAAATAATGGCAAAATTCAATGCCTGACATATATAAACCAAATCATAAATCAAACAGTATATGACTAAGCATAAAATACAATAGGACAAATTCACCATAAGATAATAGGACATTTGAACATGAAGTATAAAAATTAAAAACACCTAATAAAAACATTAAAACCACATGATCCAAACTTGTAGACCAGTGGTTCCCAACCTTCCTAATGCCACGACCCCTTAATACAGTTCCTCATGTTGTGGTGACCCCCAACCATAACCCTAACATTATGAATCGCCATGTAAATATGATTTCATTCACGGGAGCAAATTTGGCAAAAATATCCGGTATGCCCAAATTTGAATACTGGTGTGGTTGGCAGGGGGATTGATTTTGTCATTTGGGAGTTGTAGTTGCTGGGATTTATAGTTAACATGTAAACAAAGAGCATTCTGAACCCCACCAACAATGGAATTGAACCAAAGTTGGCACAGAAAACTCCCATGATCAACAGAAAATACTGGAAGGATTTGGTGGGCATTGACCTTGAGTATGGGAGTTGTAGTTTGCCTACATCCAGAGAGCACTGTGGTCTCAAACAATGATGGATCTGGACCAAACTTGGCGTGGATACTCACTATGCCCAAATGTGAACACTAGTGGGGTTTGGGGGAAATAGACTTTGACATTTGGGAGTTGTAGATACTGGGATTTATAGTTCACCTACAATCAAGGAGCGTTCTGAATTCCACCAATGATAGAATTGGGCCAAACTTTCCACACAGAACCTCCATGACCAACAAAAAATACTGTGTTTTCTTATGGTCTTTGCCAACCCCTCCGGCACCCCTTCGTAACCCCCTCAGGGGTCCCGACCCCCAGGTTGAGAAACACTGTTGTAGACTGAGCCATTCCAGATGTCGATTACACATATTCCATATTTATTTGTTGTACTGTGTTACTTTACTAGTCAAAAGCTTGGTTCCATAACTATATCTTAGTTCCAGGAAGGAGAGCGCTGATCTGATCTCACTGGGGAGAGAGTTCCAGAGTCGAGGAGCCACCACTGAGAAGGTGCTGTCTCTTGTCCCCACCAACCGCATTTCGAAGTAGGTGAGACTGAGAGCAGGGCCTCCCCAGAAAATCTTAACCTCTGTGACGGTTCACAGAGGAAGATACGTTCAGACAGGTTAACATCAGAATATCAAGATCAAACAAATCAAATGATCCTAGGACAATTGGCTGCTATTTTTACAAAGAGACACATTTACTTGAAACTATACCCATTATCTACACTTGAACTCACTTCTTCTATTCCATCAATCCACTTTGGAGGTAGCCTCTTTGTTACACAGACAGCTGCTTCAGGATCTAAACTAATCCCAGATACTAGTGCCATACGATCATCTGCAAGCTGTAAAAAAAAGAGAACAATCTGTATTTAAACATACAATAAACATACAATTCTCCCACCCTGAACGTTCCACAGATATATAAACCGCACTTGCCCAGTTTCCAACACACCTCACAACCTCTGAGGATGCCTGCCATAGATGCAGGCAAAACATCAGGAGAGAATGCTTCTGGAACATGGCCATACAGCCCAGAAAACTCACAGCAACCCATACAATAAAGAATTAGATAAGACTGGAAGGCCCATATTATATGATTTAGGGAAGTGATTCTCAACCTGTGGGTCCCCAGCTGTTTTGGTCTTCAACTCCCAGAAATATTAACAGCTGATAAACTGGCTGGGATTTCTAGGAGTTGTAGGTCAAAACATCTGGGGACCCACAGGTTGCGAACCACTGATTTAGATGCAGGCGAAATGTCAGGAGAGAATGCTTCTAGAACATGGCCATACAACCCGAAAAACCTACAACAACCCAATGATTCCAGTCATGAAAGCCTTTGACAGTACAATGATGTTGTTATATGCAGTACCTAAAACCTTTATGCTTATGAGTTAGTCATATTCAATTTTTTGACAATTATTGATTCCTTGCCAAAGCATCATACACTCATGCAAAAAGAAACCAACATGTCATCATGTTTTCCTGCTAGGCAAAGCAAGAGAAGCAAGCAAACAAAGAGAAATGATGGGTTTAAGGAAAAGGAAAGGAAGGCTTGCACCACCATTTAAATGAATAATAATATTTATTCTACTATTGGCCTGTGATCATCCACCTAAAGACAAAGAAATACTGTCAGATTTTAAATAATCCTACTAGGGCTCATTCTACACTGCCATATATCAGATTATCAAAGCTTTGAACTGAATTATATGAATCTATGAGTTATATGAGTCTACATTGCCATATAATCCAGTTCAAAGCAGATACAATCTTGATTTTGTTGCAAAGCAATGCTCAATCCTCTAAATATTTCTCCAGCAACAGCAAGTGTATCCCTGTGGGAAAGAAAATCAGGCATTTCCAACTCGATGGCCCAACCGAGCGTCTTCCTCCAGGTGCAAACCAAGAATGGGCAACTTGGAAGTCCCTGAACAGACTCAAAACAAACAACTCAGCATCTGTATGGTTACCCACAATGCCCTGCCTCATGCACAGAGGAAGAACTGTTTGAAGCTACAGACAATGCAACTACTGTTGGCCGTTTTTGGTCTAAAACTACTTAGCAGCTTGTGTTCCCTTTATTTTATCAGTTTTATATGTATCTATTTATGCAATGCTTATGACACAAAATAAAACTGTGCATGAATGTACTCATACTGGTATCATGATTGTAGCAACTGGGCCACCCTTTCTCCCCCAAACACCCATAACTTTCTCCCCCAAATGCCCTCAACTGCCCGTAGCTTTGATGGTGTTCTACTTCACCTAGCTTTTCATTGTGCACTTTGCAACCCACCGCAGATCTTTGGGATAGCATAGGACTAATCTGTAATGTCTCAATTTTTAAAAACAAGTCGTAGATGGAGGAAATTGAAACACAGAGGGAGGAAATTCCTTCCTTAAATACAGAAAGAAGCAAGCCTAAGAACAGGATTTAATTAGCCCTTGCTCCATCATTGTGAGACAGAGCTTTTTGCAATTAAATCCTGCCTACTTCCTCTTTTCAGGCACAGCCAGCTGGAGGCTGCTCCTGACAATACAACCCATGGAAAGGCATTGTTTCTTCAGGAAATTATACAAAAGCTCTGATGTTTGCCTAAAAATTAAAGGAAGCATTAGACTCAAATGGCCTCAAAATGAACAAGGCGCTCAATTTTAATGCATTTATATTATTTATGGATTTTGAAATAATTATTTTGTTTGGCCTTTTGTGCCTTCTATTTGATGGAGATGTTATACTCAAAACAACTCAGTGTGCGAAAGCAATTTCAGGAGAGCAGAACAAATGTGAAAACTGGAACAGCCTTTTGTTTTAAAAAATATTACTAACTCCAAATGAAAAGTGAGCCTCATATCTAACAATTCATATATTTAAATCTTTATTAAAATCAAGGCACTTTACTATTATTCCATTCTGAAACATCACACTCCCCACTGGACATTTCTGTTTAGCTTTAGTTGGCTGTTGTATATTCAGAAACCACCAAAGAGAAGAAGGCTTTCTCCCGTTTCCCTTTTGCAAAGCAGCAAAGGCATCAGTCTGATTGCACTGAGCTGACCAGATTGCATTGAGCTGACCATTAAGAAATATGGAGAAATGAAGATTTACACAGAATAAAGAGACATGGGAAAACACTCCAAACTCTTTAAAAGTAATGCAAAACTTTGACCAAACTCAATAATCAGAGAAATCATAATCAATTACATGGAGCTGAAACATGCAATATCCAAAACAGTCTTCTGTGATCTCTCTTAGGTAACTCAGAACTGAGAAATCTGAGCTAAAGGACGGAATGGTGTGTCCAGTATAAACAACCCATGCACAACATTTTCCTTGAAAGAACATCAGTATTAGGCAAGCACAACTATACCTCATCCAGCTCCTGAGGTGGTTTGTGGATCCCATCAGCCCCATCCATATAGGGACAGCAAAGTTTTAAGAGAGGGAAACAAAAGAACAGGACAGAGCACAGGATACAGTCAGTTGAAGGTACACAGGGATTTTATTGTTCAAAGCTGCCAGTTTAGCAAAGGAAACAAAACAGTTTCATAAAATCAGTTATCAGCTGTTCAGTGGGCTACTATTTAGCCTCCTGAGCTGTTGCATCTTCTCTCTTTCAATACATTTCAAAACACTGTCTTGATCCTTAATGAAATGCACATTTTAGAGACATTACAAAACACACTTTAAAAGAGATATCTGTAAATGAAAGAAAATTAAAATTCAATTTCACATTATATAATTTTTAAGCATAGTATCAGAACCCCACTGAATCAGAGTATAAATCTCAATATTCTAATTTCATTCACTGCAAACTATGGAGGCGTTGTGGTGACATTTATAAGCCACGATGTTTCATTTTGTCAATTTTACTGGAATTATAAAGTGTGTGGAACATTTGGGTGGGAGAGCTTGAGCATATGCAAATTCAAGTCATTATGCAGATGATGAGAAATTCTAAAAAAAACCTATATAGATATTGTTCAGTAATCATTTTTGGGTTTATTTATAGCATTTATATTGAAACTGTTCTTCAGGGCTGGTTTCAAAAAAAAAAGTCTCACCAGGTTATAGCTTGAATAATCTTTTTTTTTTTTTTTTTTACAACTGATGCTACAAAATTTTTGAACAAGACTCTGAATGGTCACTTCCCACTGGAGTTCCTTCACGGGCAGGGAGTTGGATTAGAGGACATTTGAGGCCACTTCCTACAGTTCTGTGATACCACCACACCAATTTTAATCTTAGCCTTAAGCTTCTTTCTCTGCTAAACTAACAGTATTTTCTCTTGCCTCATCACAGCAGGTGAAATATGAAGATAGGCAGAATACACAATTCTAGCAACACCTTTCACCACTCTACAAGTATTGGAGGAAAAATGTCTAGATTGGAAACTAGAATTTTGGTGCATGTCAAAGTCAGGTATTTTCTCTGTGAGCACCTAGAGTTAAGATAAAAACATTACATCTTTATCCATGGATTTGTTAAATCATAGCCTTCTAATACTATCAATTTACATAAATGTTATTTATTAACTGCATCCTCTTCAGGGAAGTTAGTTAATGGATTTCAGTAGAAACTCACTGTAAAACATTTTATCTCAATGAGCTAAGTCCACAGCTTGGTATTTATCTAGAACCGTTCAGCCCTCTCCATTATATTAACAAAATGTTAACATGTATTTGTGTCAAAAGACTGATAGTAATACATGCCTTTGTTTTCCTACAGAACTGAAAAACAAATGCAGATCTAAGATGAATTGCATCGGAGCCCCTCTGGGCTCCGATGCAATTTATGTTTATGTATTATAAACACAACAAGATGAGTCCACAGCAGACAAGATCACTCTGCTGGCTGTTGTATTGGATTACACGTCAGACATTCCCAAGTGTCTAGGACTGTGTAATGTATCAGCAAATAATGCGTGCAGATCCCAGTAAGGTGGCCTTCTGCAGCTGGCAGATGGTAATTTTGTCAGTGCCGATTGTGTTTAAGTGCAGGCCAAGGTCTTTAGGCACTGCCAATCACCACTGGGACCACCTTTACTGGTTTGTGCCAGAGTCTTTGCAGTTCAATTTTTAAATCCTCATATCATGTCAGCTTTTCCAGTTGTTCCTCTTCAATCCTGCTGTCACCTGGGATTGCAAAATTGATGATCCATACTTTGTTTTTTAACATGATTATTATTATTATCATTATTGCATAAATCCCATGCTCAGAATACAGCCAATGGGACAAAAAATGATTTTTCTTAATTGAGCTTTCAATATGCTGATACCTATGAAATTACATTTAAATCTCAACAAACCATTTTGCTTTTTACATAGATGCTTTTTTACAAGATACATGTCAACACACACAATCAGAAATCCCAGGGAAGATGTAATCCTGTCTATTCTCTGGAGTTACTATAGTTTTCATAGCTATAGCAAGACACTGGCATTGGTTAATTTTTGGATGCAGATGGGGATGGTTGTGCCTCTTGTTTACATAAATTACAGTAATGCTAGAAATTAGGTGAACATATATATAGATGAATTTTGCAAATATCTAAATATTCAAATACTCAGCCATATCATTGGGGTTGGCAGCATTCATTTGCACATGTCCAAAAAGGAGATATAACATGTTTGCTTTCAGACATCCATCAAACTTATCAGGCTGTTTACTGACAAATGTCAGCCAAATTTGAGATGTACACGATTCCAATTCAAACTGTGTAGGTCAATTTAATTGTTCACCACATTAAGTGCTCAAATACACAAAACTTTCTCCAAATAAAATCACAGAATCATAGAAATATAGGATGTTATTATTATATGAAAGTAGCCTTAGATACAGAGGAAGATACTATAATATTTTGTTGTTTAAAATAGTGTTAATTTTAGTAAGACAGTTTTACTTATTTCATACTGAACAAGCTAAAACCAGACGCTGGCGTTGAATTTATCTGAACCAGAGCCCAGAAAAATAGTTCTTTTTTATCCTGGTTAGGAAAATATGTTCAGAATATAAAGCTCTTCTGTAGCTAGTTACTGTTATCCTATTACCTATTTTAGTGGCTACTCTATTTTCTAGAGACTTTGCAAATACATGTTAAAACTGCAGATTCCTAAGAAACCTTGGGGATCCAAGGACTTTACATTATAATCAAGAGAAACTATTGGTAAGAGCTAGAGCGCAGTGCCAAAAAAAGAAGCACCATGGAAAATATATTGCCAGATGTGACCTTTGCCACTGTAAAAACGTTATTTAAATTGTATAAATGTAAGTTCACAAGTTGCTAGTTACAAAGCAAACTGTTTACACAGTTGAATCGTAAGTATAAAAAATGCCTATTCATGCAGAAAGTGGTGTTCATGCAAACAAGTGGAAAAGGCGTGAAGAGAGATCTACTGGTGGGCCCTTTCTCAGATAGATGAATGATCTGAACTAAAAAAGGAAATGAAAACAGCTGATGTGGTTCTTGTCAGTTCCTAGCCAGAACAATCTGCGTTATTTTTAAAGCAAGGAATTTAGGACATGCCAAACCGTCTGCTTTAGTTATTTGAATACGTCTGAAAAACATCAGGATATTTCATTTATATGAACTGTGTTTGACATTTTTAACAATAAGAAAACCCTGTCAATAAATTTACCACCATGCCTCACGCTAAAACAGGGAAGTCTACATAGCTCTGGAAAGCAAGTTGCCAAGAAAAGCCGTAGAGAAGGGGTCAGCAACCTACAACCTTACAGCCATGTGGCCTGCAACCTACAAACATCTGTCTGTTTGATGGGAACATGGGAGAGGGCCCTTTCAATGGCTGCTCCTGCTCCTAGGCTGTGGGACTCCCTCCCAAGACAGAGCAGGATGGCCCCATCCCTGCTGGCCTTCCACAAGTAATTAAGACATTTCTTTGTGGATGTGGTGCAAACTGCTAGGAAGGTTGCGTGTGGCCTTTGATGGAGGGGGGATTGTGGGCTTTGAATATATTTTAATGGTATTCCTTGTATATTAACTTTCATATCCACCTACAAATGCTTCATTTTTTAAGTATTTGTCTTATTTTAAATTTGTATTTGGTGTATTATATTTGTTAGCTGCCAATGATAATAACAACATTTCCAAAAGTACCCTATATGTAACCAGACTCAGTAAGAGCAATCTGACTTTTCCTAAAAGTTACATTTATGGCAGATGGAGCAAGTAGATATGTTTGCTTATGTTTGCTCTGGCTCTGTCCACTTTTTACTTCAGAACCACACATTACAGGCATATAACCCTGATAAGATTACTTTGAAGCAGGCCTGTACAACCTGTGGCCCTCCAGGTGTTTGGGCATCCAACTTCCAGAAGCCCTAGCCAGCCTGTTCAATGGTCAGGAATTCTAGGAGCTGAAGTCCAAAAGATCTGGAGGGACAAAGTGGTGCAGGCCTGCTCTGAAGGAATGTAGCCCATTCAAAAAGCTTACTTGTCTCTGAAGCAGGCAGAGGTGGTCTTCAAGATGTCTTTTGACTAGTCATGTGCTTTTAGGGCAAACCTTGCCCAGTTTTGTATCCCAGCTTTCGTTGGGAACCCCAATCTGTTTTTGAAAGCCTCCCGAAATCAGGATGTATTTTTGGATCGGGACCCCGAATTTTGGACCAATATTGGGGGGGGGGGGCTTCCCATCCACTGGCACCTCTTCCTGGAGTTTTCCTTACTTGGCACCTGCTGTTGCTCCTCTGCAGGCAGGTCCAGAGTGAGCCTGCAGGTCCCGCCAGCCGCCTCACACGCCCCACCACACTCGGAGAGTGTGTGGCAGGGCATGCAGACAGCCCTGGATCATGCCTATGGCCCCCACCACATTCTCAGAGAGAGTGTGTGTGGTGGGGCCTGCAAACAGGACCAGAGTGTGCCTGCAGTCTAGAGCCAGGCCTGTCCAAATGCAGGCAATGAGGTGGTTTCGGCTTGACACAAATGAAACGGTAGGAACAAATTTCGCACCCATGGCAACTTTTCATTACAATCCATCATACTTGACTATGTTGGCTACAAATGATTCCCAATTTAAGCCAAGAACACATCTGAAGGGATATAATCGCCTGTCTATATTCTAGAGGACACTGTACTTCACAGTTTTTGTTATTTTGTGCCTTCAAGCTATTTCCAACTTATTGCAATCCTATCATGGGATCCTCCATCATGGGCCTTCAATTTGTTTTACCATAAATTGTAAGCCACCTTGGATCCCGTACTGGGAGAAAGGCACAATAAACATTAAATAAATGAGTACAAAATAGGAAAATGAAAAGAAAACCAGTTCACCTCCCTTCCAAATGCAATGCAAAAAGTAGAAAACCTGAGTGAAACTTGCAGCCACCAAAAGACCCATAACTTCCCTCCTGTCAGCTACCAAATAAAGGTGTCCTTAGCTATTTGTAAGGAATATAACACGCACTATTGAAGACCTACACCCATCAGGGAGCTGTGACTGGCTACAAGTCCTTGTTAAGAATACACAGGAACAAAATTTATTTGCTTCTAAGCATGTTTGACATTGTTTACCTTTAAAAAAGCAAATATGACAATGGGTAGGGAAATTTACACCCTCTGGGCATTTGAATTAAAATAATCACTGTCCTTTATCATTTTTTTAATGCTGACAGAAATGCATGTGCCAAAATACTCTCAGCACTCTTTCCTCAGGGGAAAAAATCTACACCAGGCAGGGGCAAACTTTGGGCCTCCGGGTGTTTTGGACTTTAACTCCAACAATTCCTAACAGCCTTCTTAACAGTCCAAAATACCCGGAGGGCCAAAGTTTGCCCATGCCGGATCTATATTGTAGGATGAGGGCAGTATGACACCAGTTGAACTGCCATGGCTCAATGCTATGGAATCATGGGAGTTGTTGTCCTGCAGGGTTTAGCTTTCTCTGCCAAAGGGGTGCCAAAATGCATTAACTCAACAGTACAGAAGCACCTTAAGAGGGTTTCCTTTAGAGCCCATGTAGATATATTTATTTATTTATCTTGTATACCGCTACTCCCAATTTGGCTCGGAGCGGTTTACAGAAGCAGATTAAAACAATACAATTAGCTTTAAAAATAACAATAACAAAACAATAGGCGGCGAGAACAGGCATAGATCAAGGTTCCATGTTTTTTAAACACCGAAAAAAGGGAAGATGGTTGGGACATTATCAGGGTTCAAATATAGTTTGGGGGCATAGGCTGCACTGTCTCTTTCCTTGCTTGTTAGTTAAAGAGATGTCAAGCTGCATTAATTCTACATAACTTCATAACAGGCAAGTCCCATAACAGAATGAAAAACCCCACCTGGGGGAATGAATCTCTTAATGCAACAAATCCTTATGGAGAAAATAAACATGTTATGGTTTTTATGATTTTTCATTGATTTCAATGTATAATGCATATTGTATTTGTATGTTTATTGTTGTATTGATTATTGCCAATTTGGAAGGTGCTCTGAGCCCCCTTTGGGCTTGAGATAGAGCAGGATAAAATACAGTATAAATAAGATAAAGGTTTCCCTGACATTAAGTCTGATAGCAGGCATGTAGCCGGGGGGGGGGGGGGGGGGGGGGGGGGGGCCTAGAGGGCTTCAGCACCCCCCCCACCGAAATTCTAATGGTGGTTCGCGAAAAGGCCTTAAAGGTAAAGGTAGTCCCCTGACATTAAGTCCAGTCATGTCTGACTCTGGGGTGTGGTGCTCATCTCCATTTCTAAGCCGAAGAGCCAGCGTTGTCCATAGACACCTCCAAGGTCATGTGGCCAGCATGACTGCATGGAGCGCCGTTACCTTCCCGCCGGAGCGGTACCTATTGATCTACTCACATTTGCAAGTCTTACTGGTGCATTATTTAAACTGTTATGTTTATTCATATCATGATCTGATCACCATGCTCAATATATCCCATATGCATGGGGGTATTGGGGTAACGATACAAAAGGTTTGCTAGGGTAGACCCTCTTTCACTCAGATTCAGCCCCCCCCCCCGAAACTCAGCCCCTCCCCCCCCCCGAATCAAAATCCTGTCTACGGGCCTGTCTGATAGTGTCTGACTTTGGGGGGTGGGCTCATCTCCTCTTCTAAGCCAAAGAGCCAGCGTTGCCTGTAGACACCTCCAAGGTCATGTGGCCAGCATGACTGCATAGAGAGACATTACCTTCCCGCATAAGTGGTACCTATTGATCTACACACATTTGCATGTTTTCAAACTGCTTGGTTGGCAATAGCTGGGCCTAATGGCGGGAGCCCACCCCACTCCCTGGATTTGAACCGCCAACCTTTTGGTCAGCAAGTTCAGCAGCTCAGTGGTTTAACCCACTGCACCACCAGGGCCCCCAAAATAAAATAAATAAACAGAAGAGGGAGGAGAGGAAAGTATGAGAGAGGAAACAAAGAGAGATACAAAGTGAGAGAGAGATGCTTGCTATCAGACAATTCTAAGCAGTTGGCACTAAAAACAGCGAAATGTGGGATACAGTAGGACGAAGGGGGACTCACCGCAGCAGCCATGCTACGTGAAGTCAGAGGGCTGGAGCTGTAACTACTCACTTGCTCAGCCAGCAGCTGCCGACTTTGGATCGCGTTGTTCCGCAACAACAAGAACGCGTCTGTTAAACGCCGGGTGGCCATGGCGCTAGGCTTAAGGGACTCCCTTAATCACCAAAACCCCAAATATATTAACCTATGCTTCTCACAGGTGGGCCAGATTCCCAAGTTGGCTTCCTCTCAGTGTAAAGTCCTTCAGGTGGAAGGTTGAGAGGATTTGGAAACCATGAAAGGAGCATGAAAAGGATCCCTCCTTTAAGTTGTGGCCTTTTCCTCTATCTTTCTCTCTCCAGATCCTTAAGTTAGCTTTTCCCCCTTTAAAAAAATCAGGACTAAACCACTAAATAATCTATGGATCCCACAAAAAGTGTGCTCTCTCTCTTTCTCTAAAGGATCTTTCCTTCAAGACAAAATCTGGACTTCTTTTAAAGCAGAAGGTTGAGAAGATTTAGGAAGAATTACAGGGGCATCCCAGAGACCCCCTTGAACCAAAACAATCCAGAGGCCATTCCTCTATCCCTCTCCCCACCAATTCCTAAGTTAGGACAAAGTCCTTGATACATATCTGGATCTTTTGGAAACCATGACCCTTAAAGGCACCCTGAAGGCTCCTCTCCCTGAATAATCCCTTCTGGGACAAGGCAGAGCCCTATTCTCGGCCCCCTCCAGCACCCCTCATCTTTCCTCTCCCCGGCCCCGGATGGATCTGCCTCTGACCCCTTCAGCACAGCTCACTTCCGCATTGTGCTCCGGACAAAACTTTCCCCCGCGCAGCAAAGAGCCGAGGAAGAATAGTTCCGGGCGGTTCCAGGACCGGATGTAGGGAAACGAGGAAGGAGAGAGAGGCGCAGTTGTTGTTTTGAACTTCAACTCCCAGAAGCCCAACGCAGCCTGTCCCTTGATCAGGCATTCTGGGAGATGAAGTCCAAAACACTCCAAGGAGCAAAGTTTGGGGATTGCACACAGTAAAGTGAATGCAGCCTGGCATCACTCAATGCTGTGGAATCCTGAGAGTTGTAGTGGTGTTAAACTGTATTACTTCTACAGTGTAGACCAGGCATGTCCCAGAATTGTGGGAGTTAAAGTCCAAAATTTATTTATTTATTTATTTGGAGTGCTTCTACCCCGCCCTTCTCAATCCCCTAAGGGGCACTCAGGGCAGCTTACAAAAGGCACAATTCGATGCCTAACAGTTCACAAAATACAGTACAATATACAATACACAAATTTACCATATAATGTCAACAGTTATAACTAATTAAAACAATCAAACAGTATACTAGCAGCAATAAAATCATCTTGTGGTCAATGTTAGCCAATTCATAGTCCGTAATCCATCTAGCATCGTCATTATCCTATCCTACTATGGTCGTCATTGGTTGTCTTTGTCCATCTGCCAGCTTACCCGAAGGCCTGGTCCCACATCCAGGTTTTTAGCTTCCTTCTGAAAGCAAGGAGGGATGTTGATGACCTAATCTCCCCCAGGAGTGCATTCCACAGGCGAGGGGCCACCAATGAGAAGGCCCTGTCCCTCGTCCCCACCAGTCTTGCTTGTGATAAAGGTGGGGCCGAGAGCAGGGCCTCCCCGGAAGATCTTAAACTCCGAGGTGGGACGTAGAGGGAGATGCGTTCTGACAGATACTCTGGGCCGGAACCATATAGGGTTTTGTAGGTCAAAACCAGCACTTTGAATTTTGCTCGGAACTGGATCAGCAGCCAGTGGAGCTGACATAACAGGGGGGTGATATGCTCCCTGTATGACGCTCCGGTGAGTAATCTGGCTGCCTCCCTCTGGACTAATTGAAGTTTCCGAACAGTCTTCAAAGGCAACCCCACGTAGAGTGCGTTGCAGTAATCTATCCAGGATGTAACAAGAGCGTGGACCACCGTGGCCTACCGGCTGTTAGGAATTGTGGGAGTTGAAGTCCAAAACACCTGGAGGGCCCAAGTTGGCCCATGACTGGTCTAAATCCATGCCAAAGATTTATTAGAATCATAGAGTTGGAAGAGTCCAACCTCCATCCAGTCCAACACCCTGTCAAGAAGCAGGAAAATTGCATCCAAAGCACCCCTGACAGATGGCCATCCATCCTCTGTTTAAAAGCTTCCAAAGAAGGAGCCTCCACCACACTCCGGGGCAGAGAGTTCCACTGCTGAACAGCTCTCACAGTTAAGTTCTTCCTCATGTTCAGATGGAATCTCCTTTCTTGTAGTTTGAAGCCATTGTTCCATGTCCTAGTCTCCAGGGAAGCAGAAAACAAGCTTGCTCCCTCCTCCCTGTGGCTTCCTCTCACATATTTATACATGGCTATCATATCTCCACTCAGCCTTCTCTTCTTCAGGCTAAACATGCCCAGCTCTTTAAGCCACTCCTCATAGGGCTTGTTCTCCAGACCCTTGATCATTTTAGTCACCCTCCTCTGGACACATTCCAGCTTGTCAATATCTCTCCTTCAATTGTGGTGCCCAGAATTGGACACAATACTCCAGGTGTGATCTAAAAACATATGAATACAATAACAATATAACATTACAATAAACGCAATCACAATGACAATGGGTGAGCCACATGTACAGGATGGAATGTTAAAAAAACTCGAATGAGATAAGAAGAGGAGCAAGTTATTTGCAAGAGGGAGCTCATAAAAAACACAGGGTTATGAAACCAGACTTTCCCATTTGGGGGGGGGGGTGTACTCCATTGAAAGAAGCGTTGAGGGGAGCAGTAGTGTCATGTTGTGCACCTACTCGCCAAAGGCGCAGCAGAAGAGCCAGGTTTTAAGGTTCTTTTTAAAGGTTTCTAAGGTAGGGGCTTTCCTGATCTCTCCAGGTAATGAGTTCCAGAGTCGGGGAGCCACAGAGGAGAAGGCTCTCTCCCTTGTGCCCACAAGATGAGCTTGTGAAACTGGCAGGAGCGAAAGGAGGGCCTCCCCTGAAGATCGGGTCCCAAACCGTTTAGGGCTTTATGGGTGATAACTAGTACCTTGAATTGGGCCCTTCAATTCAATCTCCCTTCAACTGTGGTGCCCAGAATTGGACAGTCAGGCCTATAGCGAGGGGGTTTAGGGGTTCAACCCCCCCCCCAAATGTTTCAGATTTTTTTAAAAAACCTGGTTTACTCATGAATTTTAACTGGTTAACCAAATCCCCATGCTAAGTCTATGAGATGCAAAAAATTAAGAGTCCCTCCAGAACTGCAAGCACTATCTCAAGCAAATATTGACAATTTATTCACACTGTCATTACTTGCAGCAATAGCCGATGTAGCGAAGTAACCAAATTGGGTGTGTGTGTTGAATGTTCTCATTAAGGAGGCCAGACTTGGTGGAGGTGGTTGACAGGGGCGGAGCTGCAGGCTATTGAAGGCTGCTCTGCTCCTTGCTGTGCTCTTTGCTTCAGTGTGAGCTAGGAGGCAGGTTTCAACCCCCCCCAGCAAAAATTTCAACCCCCCCCCCCTGAAAATTTCGACCCCTCCCGAAATTTTTTTCTGGCTACGGTTGGATTCTATGGACACAGTATTCCGGATGTGGTCTGACCAAGGCAGAATAAAGGGGTAGCATGATACCCAGGATCTAGAGACTATACTCCTATTGATGCAGGCCAAAATCCCATTGGCTTTTTTTTGCCACGGCTGTTGTGGTTCAGCAACACCATGATGGGACTGAGAGTGCCAGTGGGCATGATGGGAATGGGAATACAGATGCAGGTGTGGGATTTCAGATTTCTCAGTTTTCTCAGCCTCAGCCACAGTCTGTAGCTGGAGAGAAACCCTTGTTCTCAAGGGAACGGAATGTGGCTGATAACACACTCGGTGAAGGTCACAGTGAGCCGCAGGTGTTAAGGAGGAAAAGTTTACGGATTGCGGCCAAATCTTGAGGCCATCTGCTGGTGGGAAAACTGCTCGTTAGCTGTTCTGTTTAATGTTCATGTTTTGATGTTTTACCTATAAGTAAGCTGCTTGGGAGCTGATTCAGTGTCAGTTTCAACTTTGCAATATGGATCGCTGTGCCTTCGGCTCCAGGGCTGGGGCCTTGGGGATTGCCTGCTTCTTCTTGTAACCTCATGCTATTTCCTGGATTTTATCCTGTTTCTGTGCTTCAAGTTTCCTGCTTTGATTCAAGAGAACTTTTGGACCTTTACTTTGTACTATTGAACTTTTTACTGCTTTTACTTGGATTTGTTTGAAACCTCAATAAACTTCTTTCTTCTCAAGTTTGGCTGGTTTGTCAGAGAGCAAGGTGAAACTTAACCTGAGACGCAACAACGGCATCACATTGTTGGCTCATGCTTAACTTGTTGTCCACAAGGATTGGTAAGATTTATTTAGGAATATTGGGCTTCTTTGTCTCGCCAGGCACATGGACCTACAGGGTGCCCTGTCACCATTACTGGTAACCAAGTATCGGAACTTGGTACCCGCACTTCAGGTTTAGTTATCCGCGGCTCGGATCTCACTATCCGTGGCCATTTTAAATTGCTGTATTTCAGAACTCTCTGCCTCAGAGTGAGGTGGAAGCTCTTTCCTTGGAAACTTTTAAACAGAGGCTGGATAGCCATCTGTCAGGGTTACTTCGTGCCTTTTCTGCATAACAGGGGGTTGGATTCTATGGCCCATGTAGTTTCTTCCAATTGTATGATTTTATGATTCTATAGCATAATATTCTATTCTAAAAAGATTAATGGAAGTGGACAATTCCCAGGGGTCAGATGGACTTCAAAAAATATGCCAAAACAAACAGACAGATATATATATATCTTCATGTTACCTGTGTTTTGTGCTTTAGCACCTTGTTAACTTGGATGCTACAGGAACAGTTCTTAGAATGTCCGGCCAAGTCTTGAGTAAAAATGTGACAATGCACAGCATGACTAGTGGAAGCGAGTGAGCGAATAAGTTTTCTCTTTTTTTGCTGCTTTTGGCTTAAAGTCAGTCCTGAGTCATAAGTAGCAATATGTGGGAAATCAAATGGATCCAGGAACATGGATAAAGTCAGATGCCAGAACAGACAAGGAATGAATAGTTGTGCCCAGAGCCAATGGTAGGATTGTACGTTTGCTTTGGTCAAACCCCAAATTCAGAAACGTAACATGTTACTTCAGAAAAGTCCAGGCTTTGTTTTGGGACTGTAGTGAAGCAGACCTTTTTCTTTCTCTGAGCGATTGCTCAAGAGCTTAGCCAAATGCTCCGTTCAAGTTCAATTGCGGACGCAGATGAGTCAGGGAAAACAGCCAACAGGGTTCAAAAGAAATCAAAGTATTTTATTTAGCAGCTGCTAGATGACTTCCGACGTAACGGGACGTCTCTGGGGAAGTCACCCAGCACAAAAGGTTAGTGTTACTTTTATACATGCAAAGGGGTTCGGCTTTAAGAGCCGCCCCAAAGATTAAATCATTGGTTAAGAAAGCTGTCAATATTATATTTATGTTAAGCAATTAGATCATACACTTTAAGTTTCGCTTCTCAATAAGCAAGCTCTTTTTGGAAACATCACGAGATGCTGAGACAGCTGGAGACTCTGCTGATCTGGCAAGTCCCTCTCTGCAAAGTCAGCACGTCTCCTGACCGATACTTCACCCTTGCACAAAAAACTTATCTTTGGCACCAAAACCTGTCTTTGTTTCCCATATATGGTCAAGTCCATATCCGTTCTCTTTTCTCCATGAAGACCCCGGCATTTTGTAAAACTCAAACCTGTATCTTCTGCCTTAGTAGGTCCATCTACACTGCCATATAATGCAATTTTAAAC